AGCGGGGCCACGGCGACGTCGAGCGCGTCTGGGACGGCGCGCGCGATGGCGCGCGATGGCGCGTGTCGCGGCGGCGTGGTGCGGCGCGCGTCGGGTCGGCTCGCGGGGTGGCGAGCGCGAGGGGTGTGGCTCGAGCGGGACGCGCGGTCGTTCGCGTCGAGCGCGACGGCGAGAGACGGGAGCGATGACGACGACGGCGACGACGATGGCGGTGATTCCGCGAGTGGTCGAGGCTCGGGGAAGTCGTCGAAAGCGAAGAGGGTGACGTCGAGGGAGTCGTTGCGACGGTTGATGGACATGCGCGACCCGGCGGCGTGGTACCCGCTCGCGCGCTCGATGCGGAGAGAGATAACGCTCCACGTGGGGCCGACGAACTCGGGGAAGACGCACGCGGCGATGGAGCGGTTGAAACAAGCGGCGAGTGGGGTGTACTGCGCGCCGCTTCGTCTGTTGGCGTGGGAGATTAGTGAGAGCATGAACGCGGTCGGCGTCGCGTGCACGCTCGTGACGGGGCAGGAGATACGAGAGGCGCCAAACGCTCGACACGTGAGCAGTACGGTGGAGATGAGCGACGTGTCCAGCGTGTACGATTGCGCTGTGATTGATGAGGTGCAGCTGTTGAGCGATCCGCATCGAGGGTACGCGTACACGCGCGCGCTCTTGGGTCTCGCGGCGATCGAGCTTCATCTGTGCGGCGATCCGCGCGTGGTGCCTCTGGTGAAGAAGATCGTCGAGTCCACGGGGGATCTGTTGACGGTGAAGGAGTACGAGCGATTGTCACCGTTAGAGGTGTCGAGCGAGATCGTGAAGAGTGTCAAAGATGTGCGAGAGGGTGACGCTCTCGTGGCGTTCAGTCGAGCCGACGTGTACAAGATGAAGCGAGAGCTGGAGAAGAAGTCGAATTTCCGCGCTTGCGTCATCTACGGCGCCTTACCGCCGGAGGCGCGGTCGCGACAGGCGTTGTTGTTTAACAAGCCTGAGAGTGGGTACGACGTCCTCATCGCGTCTGACGCCATCGGTATGGGTTTGAACTTGAACGTTCGGCGTGTCATCTTCACCACCATGTCCAAATTCGACGGCGTGGGAACCAGACACCTCGAAGCGCCAGAGGTTCGTCAGATCGCTGGGCGCGCTGGACGTTACGGTCTTGATTACGCGGGCGGTGGGAGCGTGACGACGATGAAGCGATCTGAGCACAAAATCCTGGTCAATGCGCTCGAAGGCGAATTAAAACCGCTCGACAGCGCGGGCATTGCTCCTTCGCTTGAGCAGGTGGAAGAATACTGCGCGATTCACCGGGGCGCAAGCTTGCTCGAGGCGTTGCAAGCGCTGAGTAATAAAGCGAAGTTGGCTTCGCACTACAGAATGCGCAACATGAGCGAGCCAATCGCCGTGGCGAAGATGTTGAAAAAGTTTCCGCTTGCGCTGGAGGATCAGTTTACGTTCGCAATCGCGCCGGTTGACGTCAAAGATCCCATGGTGTGCGCGGCCTTGCTCACGTTTGTGAAGACATTTTGCACACACGGTCGAGTAGGTGTTAGGCTCATCTCTCTTCCGCCTCCGCGCACGCCGAAGAATCCGATTCAGCTCCAAAAACTCGAGAGCGCGCACAAGTGCCTGGATTTATACCTTTGGTTGGCGAGAAAACTTCCAAAGGCGTTTCCCGAGCCCGAGCTCGCGGACGCGTACAGGACCGCAACCGCGACCGCAATCAGCGCCGGCTTACAGTTTTTATCCACGATCTCCGACGAGAAGAACGGTCGGAAAGAATTCGATGGCGATACGAGCTATCTATCCAAGAGCGCCGTCAAGCGCGCGTTCAACGCTGCCAAGGTCGCGATTGAAAACATCGAGGAAGAGCGCGCCCGAGCCGGTCTCCCGCGCATAGACCAAGCAGAACGCGCGGTGCGATTCTCGGATTTCAAGTGGACGAACGGGGGAAAGACGAACGATGAGGCGACGAAACTGTCTTCCCGAATACCGAAATCAAAATCGTCTCGCGTCTCGGACGCGAAACATCCAAACGACCAACTCGACGCATCACCCCCGCCGCCGTCGGGCCCGACAAAAAAGTCGTTCGTCGCGAAGAGATCCTTCGCCAAACCGAGCTGGCTTTAGCCGTAGAACGATTGTAGACGATTCATTTATTGTTCTGTCGCGTCGTCTTGCGCCGCGTCGACGAGCGTCACCGCACTCACGCGCGCGCGCGACGCGCTCGACCTCGAGCATTTTCAAGGGACTTCGCACGTCGTCTCCGCGTCGCGCTCGAGCGCCCGCGCGTCGTAGAAACGACGCCCTTCGGCGTTTGCTTCGTCAAATGAGTGTCGCCGCCGCCGCGCGCGTCATCGCTTCATCGCCGCGCCGCGGCTCGCGACCGCGACCGCGCGCGCGGTGCGTGGCGTCGACGTCTGGGGAAACGTCGGCATCGCAACCGCGGCCGTGGGCGGTGTCGCTCGCGCGCGTGTTCGAGTGGGAGGACATCCTCGAGGTCGCGGGCGACGACGCGGAGACGCGCGCGGTGAGCGACGACGACGACGATGACGCACCGACGACGAGCGGTTCGAACGGTCCAGAACGAGGATGTAAGGATGAATTCATCGTCATCGACGGTGCAAACGTGGCGTGGGGGCTGGCGCAGAAGCTGAAGAGTAAATTTCACACCAAGTCGCGGGTGCCGATGTCGTCCGCGGTGCTCATGGCGTTGAATCACGAGCCGTGGCGACGGCGAGGGATACGCACGCACGCCTTCATACCGCGAGAGTACGTCATTGGGTACGTGAACTCGGTGTGCGATGGTGGTGGATTAGCGACGGTGAACGCGGAGTGCGTGGAGTATTTAGGAAAAGGAATGTGGTGTAACCGTCGGCTGATGGACGAGGTGGACAAGGGACGATTGACGCTCGTCTCTCGCGCGGGCGACGACGGAAGAGGCTCGCGAAAGGCGGACGATTTGGTCATTCTTCAACGCGCCAAGGAGGCGGACGCGTGGATATGCAGCAACGACAAGTTTCGCGATCACAGACGCGAGCGAAACATCGGCTTTGCCGGGGGCAAGGCGCTCAAGGAGTTCGCCCGACTCCGCAGGATCGATCACAACTTCCTCATCGCCCCCGGTTTGGACGACGAAACGTTACAAGCGATGACGAACGCGAGCGATTGGTCTCCGAGATGCGGTGCGAGCTTCTTCGACGCCTACGACGGTCCGTCGCCCCGTCTCGTCGGCTCGCACTCCGAGCTCGATCCGTTCCCGCCGCACGCCGCGCCGCCCGACCTCCTCCCCATCACCTTCGAACCGATCCCGACCGACGCGATGAAAACCGCTCGCGCGCACTTCTTAGCTCGCAGGCTCTGGGAAGTCCCTCGCGTGCGCGCCTAGGTCATCCATCCGCGCCGTCGCCGCGCCGCCGCCGCGCCGCCGCCCGGCTTCCGCGCGACTGTCACGGTGTCATCATTTCACGAGTCATGACTCGTCCCGAGTCTCACAGCACCGTCCCGCCGCCGCCGCCGCCGCCGCCCCGCCGCACGTCGCGCCTCGCCTCGACGCCGCGCTCGACCCTCGACGCTGGACGCGATGCAGTACAACTTCAAGAAGATCGCCGTGGTCCCCCCCGCGAGCGAGTTCATCGACGCCGTGCTCTCGCGAACGCAGCGACAGACCCCCACGGTGGTGCACGCGGGGTACGCGGTGACGAGGATTCGACAATTTTACATGCGAAAGGTCAAGTACACGCAACAGAGCTGGAATGAGAAATTGTCGAGAATCTTGGAAGATTTCCCGCGCGTGGACGACGTGCATCCGTTCTACGGGGATCTGTTGAACGTGTTGTACGATAAGGATCATTACAAGTTGGCGTTGGGGCAGCTGAACACGGCGCGGGCGATGATTGATAAGATTGCAAAGGATTACGTGAAATTGTTGAAATACGGGGATTCGTTGTATCGGTGTAAGCAGTTGAAACGGGCGGCGTTGGGTCGGATGTGCACGATCATGAAGAAACACGCGGCGAGTTTGGCGTATTTGGAACAAGTGAGGCAGCACATGAGTCGTCTGCCGAGCATCGACCCGAACACGCGGACGATTTTAGTATGCGGGTACCCGAACGTCGGGAAATCGAGCTTTATGAACAAGGTGACCAGAGCGGATGTAGAGGTACAGCCTTACGCGTTCACGACCAAGTCGATCTACGTCGGTCACACGGATTATAAGTACCTGCGTTGGCAAGTTTTGGACACACCGGGAATTTTGGACAGGCCGCTCGACGAGCGAAACACGATTGAGATGCAATCCATCACCGCTCTCGCGCACTTGCGCGCGGTGGTTTTGTACATAGTAGACATTAGTGAGCAGTGTGGTTTCACCATCGCGCAGCAAGCGGCGTTGTTTCACTCCATCAAGCCTCTGTTTGCAAACAAGCCGTTGGTGGTGGCCATAAACAAAATCGACGTACGAAAGTTGGAGGACCTGAGCGAGGCTGATCGTTCGCTCATCGATGGCATGCGGGACGCCATGCGCGGTCCGGCGGCGATGCAGCTCGGGGACGACGATGCGTTCCCCATCATGTCAACACTTAGCGAGAACGGGGTGATGGAGGTTAAGAACAGGTGTTGCGATTTGTTGCTCGCGCACCGCGTCGAGCAAAAGCTCGCGAGCAGACGCGCCGGAGAGGTGATGAACCGCTTACACGTCGCCACCCCCGTGCCTCGGGACAACAAGGCGAGACCAGCTTATGTGCCGCCGACTCTCGAGGCGAGTCGCGCGAGGAAGGCGGCCGGGGAGAAAATTATTACGGAGAAGGATTTGCAAGAGCAAAACGGCGGCGCCGGGGTGTACTCTGCGGATTTGCGCAAGCGATACATGTTGGAGAACGACGACTGGAAGTACGACATCGTTCCGGAGATTTACAACGGCAAGAATGTGGCGGATTTCATCGACCCGGAGATCGAGGCCAAGCTCGCCGAGCTCGAGCGCGAAGAGGAGGAGCTCGAGGCGAAGTGGGAGGCGTCTCGCATGGACCGCGAACCGCAAGAGCCCGAGTTGGACGAGGACGAGCGCGCCCTGCTGGGAGAAGTTCGCACCAGGCGCAACAAGCTCGTCGCCGAGCACAGGCGCAAGAAGTCCGCGGCAAACAACAACCCGGTGGTACCGAGGAAGGCGGACGCCGAGCGAAAGTTGAACACGTCCAACATGAAGGAGAGCCTCGAGTCCATGGGCCTGGACGCGAGCGCCGCCGTCGAGCGCGCGCGCTCACGCTCGCGTGTTGTCAAGCGCGGCCGTTCCACCCTCCGCGACCGCGACGAGGACATGTCCAATGCCGACGGCGAGGACAAAAAGAAGATGCGCACCTCCAAGTCTCGATCCAAGTCTGTCGCCAAGCGCGTCGGCGATGACAAGGGCGCCGGCTTCAAATCCGTCGACGACCGCATGCGCGCCGCCAAGCTCGCCGACAAGGCTCAGCGCAAGCGAAACAAGCAAGCCAAGGCGGGCGAGGCGGACAGATCCATTGGGAACACCTTACCGAAGTGGCTCAACTCCGGCAAGCGCGGGAACGGCAAGACCGATCGTCGCTAATCCTTGTAACATCCATCTCCACGTCGCTTCCACGCCTTGGTCAACTCGTCGCGAGCGCAGATCTCACTCAGCTGAAATCATGTCGACCATCCACACACGCCGCCGCGCGTCATCGTAAACCGCGATGACGAGCGCGAAGCCCGCGAGAGCGCCCCGCGCGTCGGACGAAGACGTCCGGGAGCTCCGTCGAGCCGTGTTCGAGACGGACGCGTCGACGAACGCGCGCGGCGCGGGCGATGCGATCAAATCTAAAGACGCCGCGATCGAAGCCTTAGCGGAGGCGCTGGCGTCCAGGGACGACGCGATGGCGTTCAAGGAACTTTTTACGGAGCTCCGACCGTCGTTCGAAAAGGCGCCCAAGGCGAAGACGGCGAAGATTGTCCGGGGGTTGATTGAAATCATGGGAAAGATTCGAGGCCACGACGCGTTGCAAGTGGAGCTGTGTGAAGAGCACGTGGAGTGGGCTCGGCGCGAGCGGAGGACGTTTTTGCGACACCGGGTTGAGCTGCGGTTGGCGACGTTGCATTTGGGGATGCGGGATTACCCCGAGGCGCTGCGCGTCATCGGAGGTTTGGCGAGAGAGGTGAAGAAGCTGGACGATAAGCTGTTATTGGTGGATATTCATCTCTTGGAGTCGCGGATTCACTACGCGTTGAGGAATCTGCCTAAGAGTAAGGCGTCGTTGACGGCGGCGCGGACGAACGCGAACGCGATCTACGTGCCGCCGAGCGTGCAGTGTCAGATTGACATGCAAAGCGGTATTTTGCACGCCGACGAAAAGGATTACAAGACGGCGTATTCTTACTTTTTCGAGGCGTTCGAGCAGTTGAATTCGTTAGACGAGAAGGAGACGGCGGTGACGGCTCTCAAGTACATGCTGATGTGCAAAATTATGTGCGGGCAGGCGGAGGACATCGGTGCGCTCATCGCGAGCAAGGGTGGTTTGCAGCACCAAGGCGAGGCTTTAGACGCCATGAAGGCGGTGGCCGAGGCGTACAAGGCGCGATCGCTCAAGGATTTACAGAGCGTTTTGCGTGGGTACGATTCTCAGCTCGGGAACGACCCTATCATAGCCGCCCATCTCGGGAGCTTGCAAGATTCCTTGATGGAGGAAAACTTGAAGCGTCTCATTGAGCCCTTCTCCCGGGTCGAAATTGCGCACATCGCGTCTCTCATCGAGCTCCCGCTCCCGGAAGTGGAGATGAAGCTCTCGCAGATGATCCTCGATCGTAAGTTTGAGGGAATTCTCGACCAAGGCACTGGATGTCTCATCGTCTACGACGACCCGTCGCCGGAGACGACGTACAAGGCCTCCATCGATTGTCTCGTCGAGGTTGGCAAGGTTGTCGATTCGTTGGCTGCCAAGTCGTCCAAAATCGTCGCGTAAACGTTGTAGTGACTACAAAATCTTCTAGAAGAATCATGAAAACTTTCGGCTCTTGACAACACTCGTCTTGACACCGGTAAGTTCCCCGCCGTAACCCGCGGTTTGCTCCTTGACATCGCGAATCGAACCCTTTCGGCGAGTGACTGCGCGAGCATGCTTGCCACGAAGACGCACACGCGGGTTCTTCGTTTCTTTGCTGCGATGCGGCGTGAGACCCCTGTTTGCCATGATCTTCGCACCGATTTCGCGCTTGCCATCGACGTCCTCCTCGGGGGCGGCGATGAGGCCCGGCTCTCTGGCGTACTTCTCCGCCTTGTCCCGACGCTTTCGATCGCGCAAATCCGCCGCCGCGACGTATTCGTCTTCGTCGTCGATACGCGGACCACGAGGCTGGTCGTCTTCGACATCCATACGCATACGTTCTCGGCGTGATAAAGCGCGAGCGACGCCGCGTTCGTACTTCGATCGGCGTTCCTGCGATGTGAAAAAGGTGTGTACAGGTCAGACGCTGTTTCGGTTGTTTGGCATGTGTGAGAGTTTGGGTGTGTCCCGGTCGCTTCGCGTGCCCGACGGCGATATCGACGCCGACAAGCATTACGATGCGAACGGTATTGATGTAGCATCAATTTTGACCCCGGACGATCATGGAAAGGACAACACCCGAGTCTTCGATATGATGATGCAAGTCCAAGCGAGCGAAAACAAACGAAAACGAAAATACTCACCCCAAGCGTATCGCGAATCGGCACATCGATTTCGCCGGACGCGATCTCCGGCTTTGCTGTCGTGTAACCATCGGCCACTGTGTCGACCAAGCGGCGCTTGCGCGTCGTCTTGTCCAAAACTTCCGTGCGTTCGACAAGATCGGCCACGTCGTCGCCGAAATCGCCCACGGCGGCGAGCGAGTTGACGTTTCTCGTTGACGCCTTTTGGCGCTTGCGCTCTTGCTTGGAAAGCGGTACACGCGTGAATAGATCTTCTTCGACGCGCGCACGAGCCTCCATGCGAGCAATCTCGCGCTTCGCAAAGGCGTTTTGGGCCAAGTCCTCGTCGCCCGCGCCGAGCTCCTCCGGCGCTTCGCCGACCTCGCGCGCAAGCTCCTGCAATGGAGAAAAAATAACATGTCAGTCGCCGGTCTAAGAGACGTTCAATCACGTCGAGCGCAATCGTAGAATGTCCAGCTCTTGATTGGATGTTCGCCGACGGGAGACGCGCGGCACCCTGCCCAAGATTTGGTCTGTGTGTTGTCTGCCAGTCTCCACTGAGTGAAGGCCTCGAGCGTCTCATTGAAAGAGACGTCGTAGGTGACCTGGCATTCGCGCGAGCGCGCAAAACGCATTGAAACGAGTTTGCAATGCGTACCTTGATGAGTTGCGAGCGTCCAGCGCGTCGGCGGAGTTCCTTGTTCTTGCGCAACTCCTTAGCATCTCTTCCGCCGATCTCGTAGTCCATGGCAGTCGGCAGCATTTTGGGCGGTCGATACACGCCGTCGCCACCCTCTTCACCTTCCTCAGTCTTGGAAACCAAAGCCTTGGGATTCGGTGCGAAACGCAAGGGATCGGCACCATCGTCTTCCGCCGCCTTGCTACCCTCAGCGCGATCCGACGCGCTCGCGAGTTTCAGTAGCTTGTCGATCTGCGATGGAACAAGCGTCTCGAGTCAGTCTCAAATAGTTTGCGGTCGACCCTTGTTCGTTCGAGATAAAAAAAAGTGACGCGAAGACGACAACGACCGACGGCTCAGTCCCTTAGATGTTCTGAAAAAACCGTCAGTGAGTAGTCAGGCCAAATGCTGTGTGCATATCATCACCACCGCCGACCGTCGTCGTCTTCGCCTGCGCTGACGAGAAAAATAAACAGTGAGTCCTCCATCGTACCTGATACTGAAGCTTCTTGTCGATCGGTCTGAGCTTTTCGAGATACAAACGGATCTCCACCAATCGCTCAATCACGGGATGATCCTTCACCGGTCGACCCTCCGCCTTGAGCAAGAGATAGAAGACGATGGACGAGCAGTAACTGAGCATCAATAGGTACTTGGTGTCCAAATATGAGATTCCATCCTCCGTCGCGAACGTTCCCTCGCGCGCCGCCTTGACCAACGGCTCCACACTCTCTTCGATCGCATTTAGCGTGGATGTGAGCTCGTTCGCGAGCGCTACGAGTTCGGGGGCGTCGTTCGCAGCGGCGGCTTCGTCCTCCGCCGCCGTACGCTCGGCGCGCTCCTCCGCGGTGAGCGTCTCCACTTCGATTGCTCGAGAGGACTTCTTGCTCGACGGTCTCGCTCCATCACCTCGTCGCAAATTCGCCGCCTTGGCGCCGAGCGTGAACTCCTCCTCGCTTTCGGAATCGCTCTCATTGTCGACGCCAAAATCCTCCGCTCGCATTTCCTCCGCCATGAGCTTTCGCATCCGTCGCACCTCCTTTTCCTCCTCCTCACGGTCCTCCTCATCGCTCAAACCTTCGTGGTCAACGTCATCATCACCGTAGAAATCCTGTTTCTTCCTCCCCTTGATCCCGAACCCGTCGCTTTCGCTCTCGCTCTCGCTCGCGTCCTCTTCCGCCACCGCGTCACGACGAACCTTTCCTTCCAATCGTTTTCTCTGCGCCTTCATCGCTTTCGCGAGCGCCGCCTCTTCGCTATCGGAAAATTCATCGAACGCATCCGAATCATCTTCGTCACCGCGACCGCCCTCGCCGTCGTCGTCGTCGTCGTCGTCGTCCGAGTCGTCCTCTTCATCCGTCACCGCCATCAATCCCTCCTCGTCCTCTTCATCCTCCGCGTCGTCATCATCATCGCTCCCACCACCGAAACCGATGTACTCCTTATCGACGCCAGCGAATCGTTCGTCCGCGCGCGCGTTCGCGTCGTCGACGTCATCGCGCATCCACGCCGCGCGTGTCGTCTCGCGTCGTCCCGATCGCTTCGTCGGCGTCTTCTCGCGCGCGCGCGCGTCCATTTTCGACGCTCGCGCGGTCGATCGGCGCGTCTTTTAAAGCGCTCGCCGACGCGTCGTCGTTCGACGCGCGCGGGCGCGCGTGGGGCTCACGTCGCGGTCGCAAAGTGCGGACGCGCGCGATGCGGGTGGCGGCGGCGGCGGCATTTTCACACATAGCGTTCGACACACGATAGTATGTATGTCGTCCTGTTACATGGGCTCAAATGACGCCGAATACGTCACACGCCGACGCATGGACGCGACCGACGCCCTCGCGGCGTTCCGCGCCGAGCTCGCGGACGCCGAGGGGCGACGGGAGCGCGAGGAGGCGACGCCGGCGTCGTTCGTCGACGACGACGGCACGGCGTACGCGTGGGACGTCGCGCTCGGACGATTCGTGGGGGTGCACGAAGAGTCCCTCGAGGGAGGATTCGTGACTCAAGAGGATGATGCGTCACACATGACATTCGTCGACGACGACGACGACGCGCGCGCGCGCCTGGACGCGCTCGCGGCGTTCGAAGAGATTAACGCTCGACGCGTGGCGATCGAGAGTGAAGACGGAGGGACGAAGGCGGCGAAGGAGGCGCGAAAGCGGGAGTCGGCGCTCGCGCGCGCGGCGGCGAAGGCGAAGCGGGCGCGGGAGGAGAGAGAAAAGGAAAATGCTGGGGCGTTCGAGCGAGGACGAGCGAAGTCTTCGGCGGTGTACGTCACCGGTTTGCCGAGTGATTGCACCGAGACGGAGTTGTTTGAGACGTTTAAGAAGTGCGGCGTGGTGAAGTTGGACTCGCGCACGGCGAAACCGCGGGTGAAGCTGTACTCCGGGGAGGACGGGAAGCTCAAGGGCGATGGGTTGGTGGTGTTCTTGAAGGCACCGAGCGTAGATTTAGCGATATCGTTGTTGGACCAGGCGGAGTTGCGTCCTGGAGACGCTTCGACGGTGATGACGGTGACGGCGGCGTCGTTTGAGCAAAAGGAGGACAAGGACGAATCGAGAGGGGCCAAGGTGCCGAGGAAAGGAATGTCCAAGGAGGAACGCAAGCGCGCGGCGGCGATGCTTCGAAGACAAGAGGCTGAAGCGCTCGGTTGGTCCGGATTCGACGACGAAATCGACAAGAAGAAACTCATCGTCGTCCTGAGACACATGTTCAAGCTTGAGGAAATGTACGCCGACGCCGGATTACGAAAGGAACTCGAGGAAGACGTCATGGAAGAGGCGCGACGAACGTGCGGACCGGTGGAGAGCGTGAAGACATATACGACTTCCAAGGATGGCACGATGACGATTTGTTTCAAGTCGATAGAAGCCGCCGACGCGTGCGTCACCGCGTGGAACGGGAGGTGGTTTGATGGACGCCAAATAGCGGCGTCCATCTGGGACGGCAAGAGTAAATTTGTCTCGGAAGAGAGCGAGGCGGCGCAGAAGGAGCGCCTAGATAACTTCGTCCGTGAATTAGGCGGTGGCGACGAGGACGAAGATAGCGAAGACGAAGATAGCGAGGAAGAAGACGAGGAAGAAGAGGAAGAGGAAGAATAAAAAATCGTTAAATAGCGAGCGAGCGAGCTAGCGTCTAATAGCACATGATGACCTTTGGATTTTCCTTGAGCTCTAAAATGCACTCGTTCACCTCCTTCGCGCTGTACACCCACGTCGACGCCCATATCGCGGCGTACTTCCCGGTGTGCCCCCTGTCCTTTATCACGACCTCCGCCTTCACCGTCGCGTCTCCGCCCACGACGCGTCGAACGACCGACCGCACGAACCCCTCGTCCTCGACGTCCGCCTTCAAACACACAACCTGATACGTGTACTTACACGGGAACTGCTGAATCGTCTCGAAGATCTCACCGACAGAATTCTCCTCCGTCTGCGTTTCGCTATCCGCGGCGTCGTACTCGCCTCGCAACGCTCTGACGTATAAATCAAACCTCGTCGCCCCAAACTCGTTCAGCGGCTTCCCCGTGGACTCGACGATCAAATCACCAGTCTCTGGATCGATCGTTAAATCTTTCGCCCACGCCGGGGTGTCCACGCTTTCGAAATCATCATTCGTCCCGGGCGCGTCATCAACATCATCATCATCGTTACTTTTCCTGCGCGTCGTTATCGCGCGTGACGCGCGTGATCGCGCGCGCGCGGTGGGCGTGACGTGCGCTCGTCCGTGCGCGCACACCCGCGCGTGCGCGCGAGATGCCACGAGCATGTCGCGAATTGTGGACGGCGCGGCCACGCGGGACGGAGGCGACAGATTTTTCCGTAAACGTAATAATGTTAAATCAGACGGTAATGACGCCCGTAAACACGGGCTCGGCCGGACCAGTCATGATGACGTTTCCGTCCGCTTCGCGCCAGTGAATCTCGAGCGGACCGCCCGGGAGCTCGACGACGCATTCGCGATCGACGCGGCCCTCCAAGACGCCGGCGACGACGGTGGCGCACGCGCCAGTGCCGCACGCGAGCGTTGCCCCGGCGCCGCGCTCCCAGACGTGCATCTTAACGTATCCGCGGTTAACCACCTCGGTGAACTCGGTGTTCGTTCGCGCCGGGAAGTTTACGTGAGACTCGAATTTGGGACCGTACGTGCTCAGGGCGAAATCCTCAACCTTGAGACCGGGACCGTCGGCGCCGAGCTCACCGTCGCCGGCGCGACCGAACGTCACGCAGTGCGGGTTACCCATCGACACCGCGGTCACGAGCCACTTCTCGCCGTCTATGTCCATCTCGCAACGAACCGCGGCGCTATCCTTGGTCGCCGCGAGCTTCGTCGGGACGTTCGCCGGCTCGAGCACGGGTTTCCCCATGTCCACCGCCACCTGTCCATCCGCGCGAAGTTCGGGTTGGATCAGACCCGCCAGCGTCCACACCTTGTACTTTCTCGGCGCGCTCCCGTCGACATCGCTCACGAATCGCGCCAGGCATCGAATGCCGTTCCCGCACATCTCAGGTTCGCTCCCGTCGCTGTTAAACATTCGCATGGAATAATCCTCATCCGTCCCCGGCCTCGCCGGCATGGCGAAGATGAGTCCGTCGGCACCGATTCCAAAGTTTCGATCACACATCTTCGCCGCCTGTTCCGCCGTCACCGGCACCGCATCGCTTGCGCGGTTATCGATGAGCACGAAGTCGTTCCCCAAACCTTGGTACTTTGCAAACTCAAAAGTCTTTCCAGCGCGCGCGCGCGTCGTCGATCCGCGCGTCGCCGACCGTGGCGCCAGCGCGCACCGCACTTGGGCGATCGGCGCGCGCGCACTGGTGAGCATGCTCGCGACGTGAGATGACGGGTGGGGAAGTGCGGGATGAGACGGCGCGGGGCGGCGGCCCGGAACGCGCGACGGATGGAGTGGATGTTTACGCGCGAATGCTATCGCGATTTCGATCTCGAACGAAACGCACGGGCTAGGATGTACGCGGTGTACGCGCCGACGGCGGCGGTGGCGTACGCGCGAAGGGCGTGATCCCCGAGCGGGTCGCGGGCGATTTCGCCGACGGATCGAGCGAGCGCGTCGGCGAGCGACGGTCGTCGGTCGTTCTTTTCGCGTGCGGTCGGTGATTTCGCGTCCGTCGCGCTCGGCGTGACCTCGGTGGATTTCTCCTTGTTCTCGTCGTCGTCTCGGTCATCCAACGGTACCGAGCGTCGCGAGGTGATCGTTGGCGGCTCCGGTTCGCGCGCGGAGTCGACGTCGTCGACGCGCTCGTTCACCACAACCGCTCGTCCCATGTCGTCTACCGTGTACGTGAAGCGATACAGCCTGTTAATCCCGACGTCACGAATCCAACTCTTGACCTCCATCATGATTTGCGAATCGAGGAGATCCGATTGGTCGTCGATCCATCGCATCGCGGCGTCAGCGGCGTCTCGTTGCGAAGCTAAAATCTGACTTGCGTACAACCACGACAGATTCCCCAACGCCTGCATCCACGCCTCGCGCTTGTCGCTCGGCACTGCATCGGACTCCACGACGTTCAAACGCCTCGCCTCGTCGAAGAGCTCCAATATGACGCGCTCAATCTCGAGTTCCTCTGCGGTGTTCGCGTTCTTCGCCGGTCCCTCCTCCCACTTCAGTTTACACCACAGCATGCGAAAAGTGGGCCCGAACGCCCGTTTCGCCCTCGGAACCCCTCTCGCAATATCATCCTCATCTTCCGCGATCGTCCGTCCCAAACCTCGCGCCGATTTAAACTTACACTGCACCCACAAACACGACGCGATCCAACACGCGTCGCGCGAGCTCAAATCCTCCGGAGGCCACCGCATCGCTCTCAACTCCGCATCCATCTCCCGTCGCAGGACATTCCGCTCAGAATTTTCATCCTCATCCTCACTACACGAACACTCATCGTAGATCTCGTCCAGGTAATCCTCCGGTCGCCGCAACCGTCGCGCCGCCGCCTTCGCGCGCCGTCTTCGCGCGTCGTCGTCGTCATCCGTCTCATCCCTCGCCCTCGTCTCGCTCGCCCTCGCCCTCGCTCCAGCGTTCACATCGTCCCTCCCTCGCACCAACGGCCTCGGCGCCGACGGATCGATCGCGTACGCCGCGTACACGTCTCGACACATGGCTTCGCACGCGTGAAAGTGTAAACACGTGAATAAACGCTCGCACTGCTCGAGCGAGACCTCGCTCCCGAGGCTCTCGACGCTCGGCGGACGCGGGACGTCGTCGTCGTCCACCGCGCGCGCGTCCGGGGGCGTCATCACGACGCGATGCGAAGTGCCGTCGTCACTCATCGACGCTCGACGTGTTTTGGGTGCAATTGTGAGAATTCGTCAATCATGTCGAACAAGACGCGCGCCGAGCGGAGGAAACGAGCCAAGGCGCGATTGGAGACAGAGGTACGCGGGCGACGCGGCGATCGAGCGCGCGAACGCGGGCGAGGGCGCGGTGAGAACGACGGACGCGGTGATCGCGTGATGCGCGGCGGCGTGGAATCTTTGAGCCGTGTGCGCGATCGACGCGCGCGGAGCGCGGATGGACGCGACGAAGCGATCGAACGCGTGACTGACCGCGCGTTTGGGGGGCGGCGCAGACGGCCAAGGCGTTCGAGGACGCGGCAAAGGCGATTTCGATGAACAACGCGCGCGGCGAGGCGACGACGGCGAAACGACGTGGACGGGCGGCGAAATCACCCGAGGTCGAGGACGAGGTGGAGGTGGAGTACGTGCCGGCGCCGATGGAACTCGAGCTCGAGGGTGCGGGCGAGGCGGAGAGCGTGAAGGAGTTCGAGGAAATTTTCGAGGCGTTTCGAAGACGAGGGTCGAGCGCGGGCGAGGTCGGGACGAGCGCGGACGGCGCGGTGGACGTCGATGGCGACGACGCGGATGCGAATAAGGAGGAAGAGGATGATAATGATGAAGATGATCAAGTGACGGAGCTGTCGAATAAGCAGAAGAAGGAGATGCGAAGGATGAAGGTGGCGGAGTTGAAGCAGCACTGCTCGAAACCCGAGGTGGTGGAGGTGTGGGACGCGTCGGCGAATGATCCGAGATTGCTCGTCTTCTTGAAGGCGCACAAGAACACGGTGCCGGTACCGAGGCACTGGAGTCAAAAGCGGGCGTTCTTGCAGGGCAAGCGTGGGATCGAGAAGCCGCCGTGGGAGCTCCCAGATTTCATCCGAGCGACGGGCATTCAGAAGATTCGCGACCACTACGCAGAGAAAGAGGCGGAGAAGACGATGAAGCAGAAGCAGCGGGACTCCAAGGCTGCGAGAGTGAACCGCATGGACATTGATTACCAGATTTTACACGACGCGTTCTTCGTCTATCAGTCCAAGCCGAAGATGTCTGGAGCGGGCGACCTGTATTACGAGGGCAAGGAGTTTGAGGTGTCCATCGGGCGTAAACCGGGCAAGCTGAGCGAAGAGCTCAAGTCGGCGCTCGGGATGACCGACGGCGGGCCTCCACCGTGGTTGATCAATATGCAAAGGTACGGACCGCCGCCGAGTTATCCACACTTGCGCGTCCCGGGTCTGTCGGCGCCCATCCCGGCGGGAGCGCAGTTCGGGTACCATCCTGGCGGTTGGGGTAAACCTCCGGTGGACGAGCTCGGGGTCCCGATCTACGGCGACGTCTTCGGAAGCACCAAGCCAAAGACGAACGATATGACGCCGTACGATGTCGCCGTGGATAAGACGAAGCAGTTCGGCGCCATCGACGAGGAATATGAGGAAGAGGAGAGCGAGGAGGAGGTTGAGGATATCGAGGAACAGCAAGAGGACGTGGAAGGAGAGGCAGGGGAGGAAGTGGACGACGGAACCGAATCTGAGCTACCGCCTGGAACGGAGACTCCGGACGTCTTGGATCTTCGCAAGAAATCCGACGGTCCAAAGACCCTGTACAAGGTGTTGGAATCGCAAGACGCCTCGGTGCGTGCCGACCAAATCGTCGGTTCGTCGCATACGTACGTTATCCCGGGCGAGGACGACAAACCCAAACGTCGCGGTCGCGCTGGCGTAGAAGTCACGCTCGATGCCGACGCGCTCGGCGACGACGGCGTCGCGGACGAAGACGCCATGCGCGCGGCGTACGAGCGTCAAATAGCGGAGAACCGCGCCGAAAAGGCGCACGAGGACTTCTCCGACATGGTCGCCGACCACGCCCGATCGCAAAAGCGCAAAGCTGCGAAGGATAAGAAGGAGAGCGACGCGAAAAAGTTCAAATTCTGATCATTTAACGAAGATGAAAGCGATTCAATTGTCGCCGGCGTCGGCGCACCGCCCGCGTGGTCCCAACAACCGCACAACTTGCGCGCCGCGCCATACACCCCGTCGCGCGCATCGTCGACGCCCGACGAATCGCTCGAGGCGTGGGAACCGATGTTTACGACACGATCGCGCGCGTGCGTGCCCTCGAGCGCACGCGAGCGAGCGAGCGAGCGAGCGAAACGCTCACAGGCAACAACGACCACTCGCCGCGGTCTCGCCGACGACGACGCGTACAACGCGGCGATGCGGGCGTACAGCGCGTCGCCGTACGAGTATAAGCATGACATCGGATTGTGTGCGTGCGCGCGTGCGCTTTTCGACGCGCGCTCGATCGCGGCGCGACGCCAAGCGCGACGGCGAGCGAAGGCACGCTGAAGACGAACGATGACTGACGCGCGATGACGAACGGCGCGGGATCTCTTCGTAGATTATCACAGGATAAAACCGTTTCTCATCGTCGGCACGCAACCGCAGACACCGGCGGATGTCGATCGCTTAAGGGAGACGGAGGGCGTCACGTGCGTGTTCAATACACAACAGGAGAAGGATTGGAAGTATTGGAATGTGGACTACGACTCCGTGCGAGCTCGAGCGATCGAGACGGGAATGCGACACGTTCGATATCCGTTCGAAGACTTCTCAGCGGACTCGTTGAGGGAGGGTTTGCCCTCGGCGGCAGCGATGCTGGACGCGGAGATCGAGCGCGGTGAGACAGTGTACTTGCACTGCACGGCGGGGATGGGCCGTTCGCCGGGATTGGCGATCGCGTACATGTACTGGTTTTTAGACGCGTACAACACCTTGGACGGCGCTTATGAAGGGTTGACCTCGATCAGACCGTGTGGACCGAAGAAGGAATCGATCAGAGGTGCGACGTGCGACTTGTTGGCGGCGATCGAGAGCGATGGTAAAGTAGAACCACTGAAACGCGAGCTCGAAGAGAACGAGGGCGTGGTACTCTCGATCGTGTCAAAAGAGCGCATTCAACGCGCGGTGCGTGCGATGCTGCTGTCGACATCGGATGAGACGGTTGCCAAACCTTGGTGGAAAGTATGGTAGCCGTCACAACTCGGCATGCGTCGCGAAAAGCGGCATTTTCTTGCATTTTTTCCCGTGTTCGCCGCCGTCTTTCTATCGGCGACGATACACACGGCAGTGGCCAACGATGCGGAGATTCTAACTCCATCACTCGGCATATTTAATGATTTTTTTGCGACTGCCTTGAACGGCGGGCAAAATGCGTCGACGGCCGGATTCTTCATGACCGGAGGAGACTTTTCCGGATTTCTCGACGCCGCGAGAGCGCTCGCGCACGGTGATGACGTTTACATCACGTCTTCGCTCATAGACGCGGTTCTCGGCGGCGTGGTCGAATCGGAAGATCCAAACTTTGATTTGTCACCCCGAGGTTCCGGCGACGATGGCGATGTCACATCGGCAGACATGTACGTCGAGAATGCTGACTCTGATTTCGAGCGCGCTCGTCGGCGGGCGTTTGCAAAGATGTTCGACTTCGCCCTCGGAGTCACGTCCGAGAGCATGCGAGCCGTTATAGATGTGAATTCAACCTCAGGAGCTCGGGTCGAAGAGACCTTGCTCGAGGCCACGCGCGAGGCGAGGAACTTTGCCTCGCAAATACTCAACGCCGGCGGCGACAGTGGCAAACGAGAGGCAGCGATAGCTTTATACGATCGCGTTGAGTCGGGTTTCGTCAGGGCGCGGAATGTCTTGCGCCGTGCTGCGATGGCGGAATCATCGGCGGAGCTCGCGGCGAGCGCAAACGAGCTCATCGGTGACGACGACGCGACGTACTTCAACGACGGTAATTCGCGATGGATCATCACGTCGTCCACTGGACCGGTTCGATACGTCCAGGAGGATCCTGCTCGCGATCGCGCGCGCGGCCACTCGCATCGCGACGTCGCGCTCGGAGTCGGCGCGTCGCTCTCCTCGCTCGCGCTCGTCGTCCTCGTCAATGTTCGCCGACGACCGATATCTAAGGCGAACGAATCGCTCGAAGACGCAACCACATCAAACATTACGCTCGAACCGTCGAAGCCGACCGTCGAGGACGCGTTTGCGCGGATTTTGTAACTCATGACAGCTTGCGCGGACGCGTCGCGCGTCACTCCATGCCTCGCGCGTTCGCCCTGCGCGAGGACGCCCCCGCGCCCGCGCCCTCGGCGTCGATCTCGCACTACGACCTCGACGCCCTCGTGCACGCCTTTGGCTCGCTCGGCTCCGACGTCGTTCGCGACGTCGCGCGCGCGTCGGACGGGGCGAAATCAGCGTTGGAACTCCTGCGAGCTCTGTCTTCAACCGGCGCGGTTGCGCGAGAGTTAATCCAGGGCGATTCCGAGGGCGGATTCCACGCCGGGGCGATCCCGGACGATGTCAGGGACTTGATATTTGGATATCTGTCTCCGAAAGACGCGGCTCGCGCGGCGTGCGCGTGTAGAGAGTTTAGAGTTTTGGTTCGCGGTTGGCGACGAAACGCACGGCGGTTAGATTTACCGCGCATGGATGGCGTCCTAGACGATGTTCGGGGAGTGAAGCGAGCGATCGAAAGCGTCGGATCGATTATTCGGGCGTATCCAAACCTAAGCGCGGTGAACTTTAAGCGGTTAGGGGAGACGCTTCGAAAGGCGTGCGAGGACGACGAGCGCGCGGCGGACGCGCTGGGTGGCGTCTTGACGGCCATCGCGGCGAATAACGCGTCGGGATCGATCGATGAGATCGATTTCACAGGGTGTGGGGAGTGGTTAGAGGCGCATGCAGTGGTGGAGTTGGCGGAGCGGTGCAGGGATTTGTTCCCGGATTTGGCGTCGCTGTCGCTCGCGCGGGCGAAACGCTTGGAGGGCGACGGATTGGCCGCGGCAATGAGGATGTGTGGATCCTCAATCCGCGAGCTTAGGTTGACCGGGTGCGTGAAACTGGACGAGGGTGCAATCATGCGAGCGATTGACATCGTTCCTGGTCTGCGCACGCTCGATTTAACCGGTTGCCTCGGTCTGAGACGCCTGACGCTCGAGGCGCGAGACGCGCCAAAGCTGGAACAGCTCAAGGCGGTGAATTGTTCGTTGGAGAAGTTTGTGCTTCGCCGCGCGTCGAGAGATAGTCATTTAAAGGTGGTGAACGTCGCCGATTGCTCCGCACTTCGCTCCGTGCAGGTGCAGTCGGAGTCGATGGAGACGCTCAGCGTAGCGGGATGTCGCTCGCTCGAGACGTTCAACGTAGCCGCGCCTAGGTGCGAGACTCTCCTCGTGAACAAGTGCGCATCCTTGCGAGAAGTCACGGAGGTGATGAACGTAGTGATAATGAGAATACCTTCCGTGAAAGTGCTTAAACTGGACAGCTGCAAGAGTCTCACCACGAACGGATTCGCGCAACTTTTGGATATGTGCTCCGGTTCGCTCGTCGAGCTCAGCGCTGAGGGATGTCTGAGCGTCGCCCGAGCGAGCGTTTCGTCACCGAATCTCTTGCGATGCGCCCTGAGTGGATGCTCGAGATTGGAAGTCGCACGAGTTTCAAGCGAGAAGTGTCGCTCGTTCATCGCTCGCTCGTGCAAGGCGTTGACAGAGGTGCGTTTCGATCGAGGCGCGTACGAGCTCGAAGAACTAGACGTGAGGAACTCGTCGGCGCTTCGTCGCATCGCCGGCGCTCGGCAATCGCACATTCGGCGCGTCGACGTCCAGGGATGCTCGGGATCGCTCGATATCTCGGCACAATCATAGGCAGCTGGCGGGTAATTTAGACGCGTACGTAGAAGATGCTGTAGTCAAACGTAGGATTAGAACAGCTCGGCGAGCTTCACCCGCTCGCTCTGGATCGCGCCGTGGGTCTTGAACGAGCGCGGACATTACGAGTCGTGGATTTGCCGAGATTTGGGCAACATCCCATCGCGTCGCCACAGCAGTCGCCGTATGCTGAGCACGTGTCGTCGCAGCAGCACGTCGGCTCCTGAGACGTGGCGTCTGGGTATATACAAAGGCCGCAGGAGTTCGAGCACGTATTCAGTGCGGATCCACACGTTGCGGTCGGTGACGGTGACGGCATCGGTGACGGTGACGGCGTGGGCGCTGGCGTGGGCGCTGGCGTGGGCGTGGGCGCTGGCGTGGGCGTGGGGTAGTAAATCGTCGATCCGGGCGTCGAGCCGCCGAACGTCGAGCCGCCGCCGGTGCCTTGCACAGCTTCGAAAATCGCTCGGATGATCATGATGGTCGTCTGAACTTGGGAAAATATCCGAATCATCGACGCCGCGTTCGGGTACGCGGACGCAAAGCCGCTCAGCGCGGCGCCGATGTTCAGTGGATTGAACGCCGACGTCGCCCAGGCGCCGCCAAAGCTCTCGAATCGAGCCTTGGAGTCATCCACGAGGCACGCCGAGGAACAAAATGTGCGAGCGAACTCGGTCGAACCACCGTTCGCGCACACGTCGGATGCACACAATGGGAACACGCATCGTTCGAAAGCATCCGCGCGCGTCGGCGGCCCGGACCACGCGCACGACGATTCGAGTCCGCACGCGAACGCGAGCACCTCGCTCTCGCACGGCTCAGAACTCGCGCGCCCACTTCGACTATCGATCGGACACACGTTGAATATCCCGAGAGATTCCGCGGTTCGGAGAAAATCCCGGTCGAGGACGCCCGGGGGCGCTCGCGCGCACGCCCCGCTCGCCGCCGCGACGGTTCGACTCGCGAGCGCGAGCGAGACGAGAAGCGCCCACGCCACGCGCGAGCACATCGACGCGAGCGAGCGATGAGGAGACGAGTACACGCGAGAAATGAGGTGACCGAGATCGTTGTCCCGAACGCGTCGCGCGCGTCGCCGTGTGTCCATCTTCGCGCGTCCTCGGGTTCGCGAACGCGTCTCGTCGCCCTTTCCAGGGACTCGCCTGAAACTGAAAACACACCACCGCTCGCGCGCCGTATCCGTGCCATTACAACCTCATTTCACCGCGCGCGAGATCAACCCCGACCGCGATCGCGATCCATCATCGATCCACCGTCCGTCGTCGCGCTCAATCGTACACGTCGGCGATCCCCAAGACGCTCACCAAGAGCTTAATCTGATCGACGAAATCCACCCCGGTACCGTACTCCGTCATCATCCCCACCAGTAATCCAAACATCGTCCACCGTCCGTTATTAATCTCATTCTTCGCCGTCCATCCGAACACCTGGCTCTCCTCCAGCGCGTCGTCGTACCGTCGATCCTTAAAGTACGTCACCATTTCCTTTGCCCGTCGGCGTTGTTCCTCCACCGTGGTCGCGCGTTTCATCGCGCGCGTCGTCGTCGTCGTCCCTCGACGCGGCGTCGTCGTCGTCGTTCGCGTTCGCGCGACGCGCGCGCGCGCGGGCGCGGTCGTCGACGTCCCGGCGCGCATCCCGTCGCGCGCGTTGTGGCGTCGACGTCATCGCGTCGCGTCCGCGCCACACGTCGTCGCCGAACCCTACATCGCCGTATTCGAGCGCACTGGAACCCATTTCCCGCGATCGATCGACCGCGCGCCGACCGTGGGCGCCGACGTGGACGTAGTGTGTGACGATTACGGCGATCACGCGTCGCGCGTGGGACGTCAGCGCGGCACGGGTGTGCGCGTTTTGGGCGTGCCCGTGACACGCGGGTGTTTTCGAGCGGCGTCCACGCGCGTCGACGCCGACGCCGACGCCGACGCGGGACGCCGACGCCGGACGCCGACGCGGATGGCGTCCGAGGCGTCGCCGAGAGGGTTCAAAGCGCTCGCGCGCGCGCGCGAGCGTGGGCGCGCGCGAGCGAATGGGACGCCGTGGATGATGTGCGCGCTCATCGCGGTGACGCTGCTGCGCGCGCTCGTCGCGGTCGTCGGACGTGCACGACGACGGGCGCGGCGACGGAATCAGGGGGTGGACGTCGTGGATGGTGTGGCGGTGGGGCGGGCGTTCGCGACGCACGCGAGACGGTTCGTGGAGGCGAGGGATGCGGCGGCGCGGGCGGCGGCGGCGCGGGCGTTCGCGCGCGACGGATTGGGCGCGGGAAGCGATGACGACGACGGTGTGGGCGACGCGTTCGCTCGAGGTGCGGTGCGTGCGTTTGAGGAAGTCGGATCGGGGGATGATGGAGCGGGTGCGGACGCGGATGCGAACGAGGCGCCGCGGACGCGCGTGAGAGATGAAGCGGACGCGACGGACGCGACGGACGCGACGGACGCGCGCTCGAACGGTCGAGCCGAGCGAGGGCGAGTCGCGATGACGAAGACGAAGACGAGCGATCATGACTCGTCCGTGACGTCGACGGTACCGGCGATGCCGGCTCGACGGCCGCCGTCGCCGTCGTCGAGCGGCGTGACGACGACGTCGATGTGCGAAGAGGACCGAGCGCTCCTGCGAGAGGAATTAGAGGTCCGTAAACTCGAGGTGTCGATGAGCTACTTCGCCTTGGTGCAGAAATTTACGAGCAACGCGCTCAGGGCAGAGGGAAATAAGATCGCGGCAGACGTGCACGCCGATACGAAGAAGGATAGAGAGGAGCGAAGAAACGAGAGCGCTGTTGAAAGGTTTCATCGCATGACGTGCGACGCGCTCGCGATGGGTTTAGTGACGACGTGCGCGACGATGTTATCGCTCGGTCGACGCGCCATCTCGAGCGGGTACGACGGGTGGTCGACCGGGTGCGCGGCGTCCGCGCGGGCGGCGTTCCACGGCGGACGTGTGAGCGTCTTCGCGACCGCATCGTACGCCAAGTGCGTCGTCGCGGAGAGTGCTCGAGGCGCATTCGGTTTAGTCATGATTGCCTTCGTCGCATTGATGCTCGCCAAGATGGACATCACCCGCAGATTCCGCGCCGCGCCAATGTTCGTCCTCGCGTTGGTACTCTTTGCCGGCGTCGGCGCATTGGGCGAACGCGCCGTTCGAGCTCTGGGTGGCGATCCCGCGCTCTGGCTCCTCGCCTGGCGTTCATACATCACCGCCATAGCGTGCGCCGTGATCTCTGCGCCGAGCGTCGTTCGCGCCGACGGCGTCGCCGACAGCGCGTCGTTCCGCTGGTCCTTTTACGCCGTCGTCGGCGTCGGTGCCCCCACACTCGTCGCCCGCGCAGCCTTCGGCGCCGCCGCGAGTGACGTACCGATGTTTGACACTCTCAAATCCTTCCTTAGCCTCTATCTCCCCGGTCGCGAGTCCCCGAAGACCGCTGGAAGACTGTATTACGTGTAAAATCGAGCCATGAGATGAGAAAAAATTTGAATTGTCTGTCAACATACGAAACTGCATTCACCCTTACTCGCGCCCGCTCGCCCTCAAAAGTCGACGCGCGCGAGGTCGTCGCGTTCTATAACGATGTCTGCGTCGTCACGTCGCGATGCGACGACCGAGAGGCTCATCGCGTCGACGACGTCGAAGCTTTCGTCGAACATTTCTCAAATTCGCAAGAGAGCGCTCAGACAGCTCTGCGTCGCCTCCGTCGCCGGCGCGTGCGATCGGTCCACCGTAGCGCGCTCGCCGGAGCTCTTACGAGCGTTGCTATCGATGTACGACGCTCAAGACGCGTACACGGAGCTGGATGGTCGAGCGGCGGGCGACGCGGAGGAAAAGGCGAGCGAGACGTGGTCGCCGGCGACGTATTTGACGTGGTTGTGCGAGCGCGAACGCGTCGCCGCGGCGTGGTTGGAAGAGTTCGGCGCTCGTGAATACATGGATGCAATATCGGACGTGCGACGCGATCCCGAGCTCGATCGGGGTTTCAGGCGGTTGACGCGGGCGCTGGATGACGCGAGAGCTGAGGCGAGGGCGAGCGAAGAGGCAACAAAGGAGGATTTTGAATCTTTCGCCTTCGACGCCGAGCGCGAGGGATTAATCAGACGCGTAAGGGAGCGAAGCCACGACGAGGCGACGACATCCGGGAGCGCGAGCGATCGTGGCGATTCCAGGGCCTCGTTCGCCGCGGGCGCGAGAGGCGTGTTGAGCGCGAGAGGCGACGGCGGATTCGAACTTCCCAGAGTCGACGTCAGTGAGGAGGACGCACAGTATCTGTACGCGTTGACGCAACATCTCGATACGTGTGGGCACCATGCCCTCGCACTTGGTGGGTTGCGCGAGCTCAGGCGTGCAGTTATGGATTTGCCGGTAGAGGCGGTGACGCGTCTGGCGCCTCGGGCGCTCGAGCGCGCGTGCGAGTTACTTTCGGCGACGAATCCAAAGTTATCGACGCCGGAGACGCGACGAGAGGCACTGTTACTGATTCAACAGTGCGTGTCGGCGATGCACAGGGAAGTCATGGACTGCACTCGCGATTGTCTGTCGGCGTCCGCGGACGGACGAACGTCGAAGGCTCGTGCGCCGTCGCCGGACTCCACCATCGCTCGGATTTTTCCACCCACCGGGGTCGTTCAATCGACGAGGACGCTTCCCATCGCGCATGTGTTCGCAACACACGTCATCCCGGCGGTATGCGAGCCATCGCTCCGCGCGAGTGCCGTTCGAACCGTCCGATTGCTCCTGCCGCTGCTTCAAGTTGCGCCAGAGAATGTTGACGCGCAACCGCACGCAGGCGCTTTGCTGCGATTGGGTCAGTACCTCGACCTCTGGGAATCCTCTCTAGCGGTGCTGGAGTTCGAGTCCGGTGCCGCGAGTGAGTATTTGACGTGCGTGCAGCTTAGCGCCGAGCTCGCGGCGTGGGCAGGCGGGGCACCAGAGAAGGGTGTCGGATCGGCGAACAAGAGTCTCGCCAAGCGCTGGTACGTTATTTGCATCGACGAAGTGATCGCCGCGGCGGATCCGCTCGCTCGACATTATTGTACACGTGCACTGATTCAAGTACATCCGTCGCTCCCGCTCGAGCTTTCGCTCGTGAAAGAGGCAGACGAGTGTCTAAGAGCGGTTGCCACGTCTGCGGCTTTGGGCGTTGGCGCCGCGGCGTTTGCAAAAATCGTCTCCAACGCCGCGCCAGCACTGAGTCTTCTGGGTGCGACGTTTGATGTCATGCCCTTCACGTCCCGAATGCTCGCGACTCTCTTCGCGCTCGCATCCGCGAGCGCCGAAGACGTGGAAGACGTCGTCGCGGCGACGCTCACGATGCTGACGCACTGCATGGAGGGAGTGCGCATGTCTGCGTACGCCACGCTCGCTGCGGCGGAAGTTTCGGCGTTTGCGATCTTGGAGCACCCACATATGATCGAGGAGATCATTATTGGAGGACTAAATCACGTATCGACCGCTCGGGATGCGGCGATTTGTCTCGCAACCCTGTGTGGTGAATCTGACGTGGATTCGCGTCGGCGAATCGCGGCGCAGTTGGCGCAACATGCGGCGTGGCTCGATGCTCTTGCGGGAGATGAAACGGTCGGAAAGTCCGTTATCATGGCACATAAGATGATTGAGCACGAAAGTGACTACGGGCGTCTGAGCACGCTCTCAACGTCGCTTCGGGGGCTGTTTCATCAAGAGGAGAAGACGCGAATCAGAAGCGCCACAGATTTGGCTCACGGTATTTCCCATGGACTGACGTCGGCCGCTCAAGTGCTTCTAAGGTCGCACGACGATCCATTCGACTCTGTTTTGTTGACAGACGAAGAGTACGTTCGCGAACCGGCATCGTCCGTCGCGGACGCGTTCAAAGAGAGTCTCAGATTGAGGACATTTGACGACGTACGCGCAATGTTGAGACGCTTCATCTTCGACGACGTTTCGTCGCGCGAAGAGCTGACGGCTGAACTGGAGATCATGACGAGTGATGAGCGACTTTCAGCTGTGTTGGCCGATCCGAGTTTACTGGACGCGCTCATCAAGTTGGCGATCGATTCGTCCTCGCATGTCTCTTCAGTGACTGGCGCGCTTCGAATTCTCACCTCAGCGTTGAGTGCGTCGGCGCTCGTTCGAGATATGCTAGCGCGCGAAGATGGAAGAGGCGGACGCGTCACACAGCTGTTAGGTCTCGTGTTCCATCCACAGCGACGCATTCGAGAGGCCATGGCGTCGTTCCTGGCGTCGTTCCTGTTCTCGCCAGTCGTCGATTCAGTCGTTGCTCGCGCAGGCGCGAGTAGACCGATAGAATTCAGCCTACCGAAGGTCTTCCTTGAGACGTATAGGTTTCCCACGTTCGTTCCGGAGTTGGTAAACCCACCCATGGTGGGAGATTTCGATGCATTCATGAACAACGACGTCGATCGACATCGCGTCTTGTACATGTTTAGACGCAGACAGCTTCTCATGCACAAGTATGATGTGGCGCACAATGAAGATGCGGCGCTACTGGCGTTTGCACTCGGTGATGAAGACGAAAGCGATGATGCCGAGATTCGCGTGATGCGTGATGCGGCGAGAATATCGTGCTCGTCAGTGGTTCTCGGAAATTTGGTCGGCGAGTTGGGTGAAGCGCGCTCGCACGAGGCAGCGGCTCGAGTGGTGGATTCTTTGAAGACCAACGTGCAAGCGAGTCGCATTCACGCCATGAGCGTCCTAGCTTCTCTTGGCCGATGGAACGAGTCGTGCGAGCGATTCCTGCGTCGTCCACCGCGATCGACGTCTGATACGTGGCTTTGGGTGGGCATGGCGGAGCTTCTCACCGAATCTCTGGAATCGTTCATGCGCGTCGAAGAAAGTACGCTTCCACCGGCGGCTTTGGAGACGCTCATCAATGTCGTTCGCGACGTCATCGTCCCACTCGCAAGTAGCGGCGCGTCGCTCAGCAGCGATGTGAACAGTGACGTCTCGCGAGACCCGCCGGTTTTGAGACACCCCATCGCAGCCGGCCAAGCCTTGGGGAGCGACGGCGGCTCCGCGCGCGTCGCGCGCGCGACGGCGGTTCACGCGGCGATGAATCTGCTAACGCTAGTATATGAAGCCGCGCGGAGATTCAGGATTTTTGCAGCGCCCGAAGTTGACGCAGACGCGTTGGTGTCGGTGCTCATTGAGCTCGATTGCATCGGCGTCGTGTCGAGCGAACTGATTTCAAAGAAGAGTTGCGACTACGCGGTCAGATGCGCCGCCGTGAATGCGGTGACGGCCGCCTTGCGTCTTGGCGGCGTCACCTCGACGGTTGCGCTCAATTTGGTGGACGCCATGCTGGGGCACGTCTACCCATCGTACACGTCCGAGGAACACCGCGGGTCTCTGCTCATGAATCGCGCCACAAGCGCTCTTTTGCTCATCATGGAATCAAACTCTTCAACGGACGCGTGGTCGGATGCGTTCTACGAGCGATGTGATATTGGTTGGTTAGGGGATATGCTCATCGACCCCACACCGCGCGGACGCGCCAGAGCTTACGACATACTCGCAGCGGCGGTCGGGCCTGGATCGCCCGTTGTCGATGTCATCGCCGTTGAGTTCCCGAACTTGTTCGAGTTCGCGGCTGCGTGCGCGATTGACGACAACGAGGCGGCCATCACTCGAGCGGCCGCATTCCGTTGCGTCGCATCCATCATCGCGGGGAGCGCTGCGGCGGAGATTTCCGTGGACATCCCGGACGACGGCATCTACGCCGGCGAACGGTCAAAGGTTGCGTTCCCGTCCATACCAATGCTCGCTGCGAAGGACGTTTGGAGAGGTTTCGCACGAGTGATCATGAACGACACGCATGGTGATGTAGAGCGCGTCTCCATGCTTTATCGCGGTGCCTCAGCGGCTATGCTGGCGGCGGCACGGATCGACGCGATTGGCGTCGCTGAGGCGTTTGATTTCAGTCCGACTCACGAGACGGATGGAAACATGTGGCACGGCTTGTTCGCTGTGCTCCGGCGAGCGACGTTCGTTGGATACGGTTCATCAGACTCCGCGACCGCGGCGTCGAACGTGGCGACTCTTCTTGGGGTCATGGCGATCGCTGGAGCGCGCACTTTCGATGCCAAAATTGCGGCTGCATCTCTTCGCGATTGTCTCGACAAAGCCGTGAGAGCACTGCGACGCGGCGGATGCGACAAAACCGCTCGCGCCGCATCGCGGTGTGCAGAAGCTCTTGCGACGATGTTAATGGTCCACTCGCGTGCGCACGATGATGCTCTCATTCCGATCAACGGCATCGCCGCTCATTGCGCTGAGATTCTTGCGAGTGCGGTTGAGTCCGGAGCGGGCCCGGGACGCGTGCGAGCCTCCACCGGAGCGTGTCTCCTGGCGTCGACCGTGTTCCGTTCGAACGATCTATCGGCGCAAGCGATCGATGGAGCACCTGCTCACGTCGGGGCATCGATATTACAGTCACTTTTAGTGCTCTGGCATTTCCGCTCGCTCGGAAACTCCACGAAGCGGTCGATGGTGCCGACAATGTCAATCATAATCTCCGCCACGCGAAACGTATTGGCGTACGATCTGAGCGCCAAGGCCGCGGCGTGCGAGTGGGGTTTGGTGGAGAGTTTAATACAAACCACGCGAGAGGCGGTGTCTCGATCGACGCGCCCGGACGGGTCGTACCAGAGCGTGCCGACTGCTATGGACGTCGCGTCCGCGGCCAGGCGCGGAGACTTCCTCGGCGCCGCGATGGAGCTAGGCATGGACGTCGATGGAAAGGAGCTCCCGTCCACAGTGGCGCTCGGTTCGCTGACATGTTTAAGACATCTTATGTATTCATGTCCAGACGCCGACGCTGCCGACGTCTGGCGAGAAGAGATTGTGAACGAAATTCGTGAGCGAGCCGTCGACGGCGGCGTCGTCTCAATGTTCCAAGCTTCGTGGGCGTACGCCAAGCTCGACCGAACGGTGATGTGCGAGCTATTGTCGCTCGTCGTAAACTTTGTCGCTAAGGATGCGACATCGAAGCGCGCGATCACGACGGCGGCGTCGTGGGCAGGAGACGACATCGACGACAAGCCGAAATCGTTTGCGCAGCGACTGTTGGATTACGCGTTCGAATCCAAGCACGAGCCTGGATCACCGAGTCTCGAGCTCGCGCTCAAGTCGCTCGCGTCGTTGAGCACGGTCGATGGCCCGGCGCGATATTGGCTCGTTCGCTCTGTCTTCGTCGGCGAGACGTCGATGACACTCGCGCACGCGTTGACCAAGGTGCGAGCTTTGGATGACGACGCGCCGGATGCCAATCGCGCGAGGTGGATGCGCACTGTCACCGCGTGCGTTCGCGCCCTCGCCGCCGTGGCCTCGTTTGCGGATGGTCAACGTACGGTGCTTCGAACTGACGCCGGCGTTCGAGCGCTCGATCTCTGTCTCGAGGTGGTCGCGAGCGGCGACGCCGACGCGAAACGCGAGGCGTTTGTGCTCATGCACAACCTCGCGTACCACGCTGATTCAAAGTCGCACTACGCCGCCAATGAGGCCGCGCTCGATTGCCTCGTGCGAGGAGCGGGTGACGCGGACGATAGATGCGCGTCGGCGTCGTGCGCCGCCCTCTTCGCGCTCTCGCGCAGTCAAAGAATCGTCGCGCTCCTTCGCGAGTCGGGACGCGATCGAGCGCTCCGCGCCGCGGCCAAGCGTTCCGCTGGGGACACAGATCCGAACCACGACGCGAGCCATCGCGCCCACCGCGCGCGATGCCTCCGAGGTCTCCTCTTAATTCTATCTGCGAGCGAAAACATCGATCGCTACGGAGTGTAGTGTAAAATTACAAAGTCAAAGTAAACGCCCTCGCCCGTCCTCACCCCCCCCCCGAGCGTCCTCGCAAGACATCCAACAACCCCGATCCACTCCTCGTCTCCCGCCTCGCCTCAGAAATCTTCGCATCCGCGGGTCCCACCCCACTCGCTCGCACCCCTCGTCCTTTCCCACCCGGAATCGGCACCACGCTCCCGCTCGCCCGCGCCCCGCGCGTCACCCGCACCTTGGTGCCGTCGTCTAAAAACATTCGACACACCCGCACCGCCGCCCCCGTCTCCGGATCCGCGATCGCGACGTTACTGTAATGCAACGGCGCCTCCACGCCCACGATCTCTCCCGGGCGTCCGTCTCGGCCTCGGACGTGGCGCTTCACCAGATTCGTCCCGGTGACCCACACGCGGGTATTTTCACGATCGACCCGCGCGATCGTCCCCGTCTGTCCCTTGTCCCGCCCCGCGCGCACGACCACGCGATCGCCGGCGTGGAGATTCCACGACGTCGGCGCGATGGCGTTTCGCAGCAACTTTTTCACCTTTCGCGCAGACTTACGAAACGCCGACGACATCGCGGGCGACGCGACGGGCGGCGCGCTCTGCGGCCGCGCCGCGGGCCGCACATCGTCCTCGGCGGCGCTCGACTACGGGACGTGTCGTCGTACAGAGACTTTAGGTTTACCATAAACCCTAAACCGTCGACATCACCACCGGACACGTGGTGATTTGCATCACCTTCACCACCGATCGACGGTGATTTCACCTTTCGAGCGCGCGCGAGCGGTGTCGAATAGGCTTAGGAGGTACCGGAATAGGGGTCAAGGTCGACCCCCGGGACTGCGCGTTTTGACGAGGACAGCCGCCTATCGATCGACGTGAGGTGCGCTCGGGGTCGACCGGTGACGCCATGGACGCGTCATCACTGTATGTCCTCGACATCGGTGACGAAATGTGCGCGTGCGTCCGCGGCGCGCGAGCGATGGGTCCGCGGCGCGCGCGCGGGGCGTCCGCGGTGGCGCGTGGGATCGCGCTCGCGGTCGTCGCGGTCGCGGTCGCGGCGCGATCGGTGGGCGCGACGACGGGGCGTCGGTCGTCGGCCGAACGGACGCTGGAACATCGTGGAAAACGAGACGTCGTCGTCGTCGTCTCGCTCGATGGCGTCGTGCGCGCGCTGGATTCGGGCACGGGTGATGTCGCGTGGTCGTTCGATAGCGGTGGTGCGCTCGCGGGGGCGTCGTGGGAGCGAGGTGGGGGAGGGGACGCGGATGCGGCGACGCGGCGCGCGGGCGCGGATTTCGTCGCTCGACGGGCGGGAGACGTCGATTCGGACGTCGAGCGCGGTCGTAGGAACGTTTTTCCGGGCGTTGACGGCGCGTTGTACGCCCACCACGTCGGACGAGAGGGTAAACACGTGGTGCGACGGTTGCCGGTGACGACTCGGGAGTTGGTGGATGCGAGTCCGAGCGCCACGGCGGACGGAGCGCTCGTGGTCGGGCGACGGTCGTCGACGATTTACGCCTTGAATCCGCGAACAGGAGGGGTAGTGCGCGTCGTGAACGTCGATGGATCGACGACGAGCGTGGACGCGGACGAGGTCGATGACGAGGGGGAGTTGATTTACGTCGGTCGCACCGAGTACGTGGTGCGAAGCGTCGACGCCGCGTCGGGGGCAGAGCGCTGGAACGTCACGCACGGCGAACTTAGAAGTTTAACCAGGGACTCGAGCACGGGGACGCTGAAGATTGGAACCGATCGCGCGCCGTCCTCGGGGTCGTTTGCGATCGGGCCGGGGAACACGGTGCGAAGCGTGGACGCGCGCACGGGTAAGACGAAGTGGACGCACACGCTCACGTCACTCCCGCTCGGGGTGAGTGACGCCAGTGGACACGTGGTCGTGGATAACATGGCGCAGATACACGGTGAGAGCGACGATAAGATCATCATCGGCGCGCACGAGGGTGGATTGTTCGCGCTTCCGTACACCGCGAGCGCCGCCGCCGGTTTGCCAGACGGCGGAGACGCTTCGAACGCTCTCGTGCCGACGAGCGGGCGAGAGTCGTTCGTGCGAATCGATGTCGAGAGCGATGCAGATGACTGGTCGTGCATTCCCGATGAATTAGTCAAGGCGACGCTCGATAAGACTTCGGGCCAGAGCCGAGTTCCGCGAAACGAGGCGACGCGCGCGGCGCTCAATGCTCTACTCGTGGGAGGCGTGTCCGTGATCGTAGTATTCTTCGCGAAGAGGAGCCAGGATAGTTCCACCGCGATTAGCGACGCACCATCGACCGGAGATGAGGTGGAACAGCTTTCGGCCGCGGCGAAGAAGCGAGCGAAGAAGCGTGCCAAGCAAGCAGAGGCTCGGGCGGCGGAGGAGGAGCTCAAGGCGAAAATTCTCGCGAGCGTGGAAGAAAAGACGCGTGAAGAGACGCGAATCGGGAGGTTGTTGATCGAACCCACCGTGTTGGGTTACGGGTCGTGCGGTACGATCGTTTTCGCCGGCGAGATGGATGGTCGCCGCGTCGCGGTGAAACGCTTGCTCGCTCAGTTCCACGAGCTCGCACGAAAAGAGCTTGACGCGCTCATCGCCTCGGATGAGCATCCAAACATTCTGAGATGTTTTGCTCTTGAGGAGGATGAAAACTTTGTGTACATGGCGCTTGAGCTCTGTGCGTCGTCCCTGGCGCATCTCGTCGATCCGGTGGACACGGGCGATAACGTGAACGTCTTGGACATCAAGTGCGTGAACGCCAAGACAAAGTACCCAACGCCGGAGTGCATGCGCATTATGTACGACGTCATCTCTGGTCTGGCGGCCCTCCACGAGCGAGGGATCGTGCATCGCGATCTGAAGCCGCAAAACGTGTTGATTACGGCTTCCGGACGAGGAAAAATTGCCGACATGGGTCTCGCGAAACGCGTGAACATCGCCGAAGGCACGTCGTTTGAGACGCACGTCGCCGGTGGACCCAATGCGAACAGTGTGGCAGGTACTTCTGGTTGGCAAGCTCCGGAGAGACTGTCACAAGGCCGACAGTCGCGATCCGTGGACGTGTTCAGTTTCGGTTGTTTGATGTACTACGCCCTCACCGGCGGGTCGCATCCGTTCGGATCCAAGCTCCAGCGCGACTCAAACGTCATGGCGAACAAATCCGACGTATCAAAGCTGACTTTTTTCCCCGAAGCACAGGCTTTGGTGAGATCGTGCATTGACGCCAATCCCTCAGTTAGGCCGTCCGCCAAGGATATTTTATCGCACCCTATTTGGTGGGACGCCGGGAAAAAGATTCAGTTCCTTATCGACGCCTCCGACCGAGTGGAGATGGAAGATCGCGTGAGCGATCGAACGCTCCTGAGAGAGCTCGAGAAGCGCGCCAAGGGCGCCATCGCGTGCGAAGACTGGACGAAGAAACTGGACCCGGCGTTGCTCGAAAACATGGGCCGCTACCGCGAGTACAACGGAGCGTCAGTGCGCGATCTCCTTCGCGTCATACGCAACAAAGCCAATCACTACCGCGAGCTTCCACCAAAACTTCAGCGTGCGCTCGGATCTTATCCCGATGGGCTCTGGCAATACCTCTCGATTCGATTTCCATCGCTCTTGCTCTGCGTGCGAGACTTCTTCGCTCCCACGGCGGAGAGCGAACCGACACTCGCCAAGTACTACGTCGACCACGCGTCGTCGCAACACTTCGCACCACCGCTCGGCACGCCGGAGCCCGTCTCTCACGCCCCCATGGTGGCTCCACAAATTTTCCCAGAGCGCCCCGGACGTGAACTCTGTGAGTTCTACATGAAAACCGGTCGGTGCAAGTTCGGCGCGTCGTGTAGGTTCCACCACCCGCGCGACGCCGGACACTGGGACGTCCCGCACCCCGCCTCTCGAGGCGCGTAGCGTCGCATTGTTAACCCTATTATTAGCCCTAGCAACCGTCGAAGCGTCCGATCGAGGCGCCTTCGATCGCGCGCGCCGTGAACTGTAACCAACTGTACCCTATCGCCCATCTGTCCGGTCGCGTCATCGCATCGTCCTCCGTCGCCCGCGCGCGCGCGTCGCACACCGCGCCGCGCGACGCCTCCGGCGCACCGAGCCCGAGATATCGCCCGTACGACCGACGCTCGACGTTACCGTCGCTCGCGCGGACGAGTGAGACAGAGCGTGCGCGTATCGCGATCGATCATTTTTGAAATCCACTCTGGATAGATCGCGACCGCACCGACGACGATCACAACGAGCGAGATGGCGTGCGCGCGAGCGAACGCGTTACACGTACGATGCCCGACGACGACGGGCGCGCGACGGGCGAGCGCGCGACGGGCGTCGCGCGCGGTGCGCGCGGAGGCGACGGGCGCGGGCGAACCGACGGGCGACGGCGACGCGCAGGTGATCGTCGTCACGAGTGGGAAGGGTGGCGTCGGTAAGACGACGTCGAGTGCGAATCTTGGGATGAGTATGGCGCGATTGGGCTATCGCGTCGCGCTGATCGACGCGGACATCGGACTGCGTAACTTGGATCTGTTGCTCGGGCTGGAGAACCGAGTGATGTACACGGCTATGGAGGTGTTGGAAGGCGAGTGCCGGATGGAACAGGCGCTGATTCGCGATAAGAGGTGGCGAACGCTGGCGCTGCTCCCGATCTCGAAGAACAGAGCGCGATACAACGTGACGAAGAGCAATATGAGTACGCTAATCAAGGTGCTGAAGGAGATGGAGTTCCAATACATCATCATCGATTGCCCGGCTGGGATTGACGTCGGGTTCATCAACGCCATCTCAGTTGCGGACAGCGCCATCATCGTGACAACGCCGGAAATCACCGCTATCCGAGACGCCGATCGAGTGGCTGGCCTTTTGGAGGCGAACGGCATATACGACGTCAAGCTACTGGTGAACCGCGTGCGAGCTGACATGATCAAGAAAAACGACATGATGAGCGTCAAGGATGTGCAAGAAATGCTCGGTGTGCCGCTCTTGGGCGCTATTCCTGAAGATACCGAGGTCATCGTGAGCACCAACAGAGGTGAGCCGCTGGTACTTAAGAAGAAGCTCACGCTCGCCGGCATCGCTTACGAGAACGCCGCTCGTCGCATATCTGGCAAGACGGACTATCTCATCGATCTGGACCGACCTAAGAAGGGCATTTTGCAGCGCGTGGGCGAATTCTTCGCAGGAGACGACGAATGATTGCGAATCTAATATCAAGGTATAACGTACAGTATCGCACCGTTTGCTCACATTACCTATCGCGTCGCCTTTCCCCGCATTACGCGTCGACGAATGCCTATGACGCTAAGTGCTATTTCTAACGCTCCTCTCACGTCGCGCCGCTCCCGACGTCGAATTTACATACGCAATCGTACAGATTACCCTTCAAAAGCGTGGCCACCTCTTCGTGTTTGATCATCGCCAGTTTCAGGCAGTCAATTGTAAACTGCGCAAATAGGTTGGTCTCGATCCCTCGCCCCATGCCCTCAAGCACAAGAAGATCCGCGTCCTTCGCCTCGGCGCAAATCTCGGGGGATAAATATCGTAAATCAATCACGGGCATGTCGCTTCCCGATGAAACGACGCGCAAGCGTCCCCTCGCGATCGCCTCGCATAACGTTTCGTCGTCTTGTTTGACGAGCAACGGAAAGACGTGCTCGCGTAGTTCGCGCGCCGTGATATCGTTTATCGACGGCGTCTCGTTCGCCGCGAGCACGACCTCGGTCCCTCGTCTCAAGAGCTCGCGAACGAACGGAATCATCCCTAGGCACACGTCCGCGCCGGCGTTATCAACGAACACGATGGCTTTTTTGTGCCGCACCTCACGAAAGCGCGCTCTCAAAGCGTCGAAGTCGTCCACGCACCACGGTCGCGGTCTGAGCGTCTCCACCGTCCTCGCGAAGTTTACCCCGCCGTTTTCGAACAATTCGGTACTTGCCGCGGCGCCGAGATCGAATATGTTCCCCGCGAACGCGCCTCGCACGAGCTCCAAGAGCCGCGCGTCGTCGTCCTCCACCGCGTCGCACCGGGCGAACACCCCTAACACCGCTCGCATCGCCGTCTCGTTCTCCTCTCGTTTCACCTGTTCAAAAACATCCGCAAACCCGTGCGAGCGTAGTAACCCATCCCGAGCTCGACACAGTTCGAGACAGTTCGCCCCTCGCCACGCCGCCGGCCACGCCGTCCCGCTCGCTTCTCGACACGCCTTCTCCGCCTCCGCGTCGTCTCCGAGCTCGACCGCTCGCAAGACATCCTCAAACGCCCTTCCAAACGCCCGCGCGCGCTCTTCTCGCTCCGCGTCGTCCGCGAACGCCCGCGTGTCCCCCAACGCTCGAACCTCGAACGATGTCGTCGAGCGCCTGAACACGTCCACCCACGCGCTCGCGCGCACCACCGCGTGCGCGCTGTCCCACGGCGCGAACGTGCACGGGTCGTATCCGTCGCGGAGGTGGGGCAGGGCCGTCGACGCGCCCGGCATCGCGTCGCGACGTCCGCGCGCGCGCGCCGCGCGCGTGGACGTGCTGGATAACACCGACGAGTCATAAAGGGCCATCGAGAGACTCCGAGTCCTCGATGGGGGTCCACGCGGTCGAGCGCCCGTTCGTTGTGCGTGAAAGGCGTACACGTGCCTGGAATACGATACACATATTCAATGTCGATCGAGCGGTATATATGCGAGCGCGTGGGACGCGCGCGCGTGGGACTCGCGCGCGCGACGACGCCGCACACACGCACGCGTCGCACTCGCGCATCACGATGTTCGCCTGCACGAAGGTTCAAGCCAACGTCTTCGCCGTCAAGTGCGTCGCGATCGCGAGCGTCGATCGCGCGGAGAAACGCGACGCGAGCGACGCGCACGGAGATACGGCTGGGAACATATCGCGATCGTGCCTCGACGACGGATCGGGATCGGCGATCGCGCGCTCGAGCGCGCGCGCGCTGCGTGTCATCGCGTCGCGGATCGATGACTGACTTTTATGTGCATTTTTCCATCGCGTAGGACGACGAAGACGGTTCGCCGATCGACGGTGACCCGCGCGGAGGGCGAAGCCGCGGTGCGTCGAGATACGCGCGATACGATGGGCTTGTGCGAGTGATTCAGCGCGTGTTTCGGGGAAATCGCGAGCGTGAACGAGTTGTTTCGGGTGAACTCGACTGACGATGAAACGTTCGGGATTTTTTCAACGACGCAGAAGCCGGCGGCGAAGCCTCAGGTCGGCCCGCCTCGCGGGACCATGGTGCGTGTGAGCGCGCGGGGTTGAAGACGTGCGGCGAACGAGCGCGCGCGCCCGCACAGTGGGAAGAGATCATCGTGCAGAGGCGACGTCGAAGGGTGAGAGACTGACGAGAGGGATGCGTTCAAAACTGTAGGTGAAGATCTTGCGCCCGGAATCTTACTGGTTCAACGACTACGGCAAGGTGATCTCCGTCGACCAAACCGGCGTGCGTTACCCGGTTGTCGTTCGCTTCGAAAAGGTCAACTATGCGGGTGTTTCCACGAACAACTACGCGCTTGATGAGGTTGAGTACTGAGCGGTGCGACGTGGGTGAAGCCGTGCGCCGAGGGTGGTGAAGCGATCGTGTCCGGCCTCGCGCCTGAGATGAGCGCTCGCTCGCCGCTCGAAAGCGCTGCGGCTGCAAGTAGTAGGAGACGAGGAGGTCAAAACATTAGCACAAGCACATACAGCTCACGGATCGCACGAATAGTAAGTTTATTTCAATGCGAATACCCGAAGATCCAGGCGAAACGCTCGACGCACTCGCAGACGATCCGCCCGAACACCCATCATCACCCTTTCGTCACGTCCTCACCGCGCGACGCGTCGCTCGTTCGGTCGTCATGTCGCGCGACGGCGAACGCGAGCGTTTACTCGCCGTTCCATCTACGTCGTCCGCTGTCGCGACGGACGACGAGCGATACAGAACGGACGCGAGCGCGAGCGCGAGCACGGACGAGTCGCTCGCGTCGTCCTGGTCCCTGCGCACGCGTCGATCGCGCTCGAGTCTCGCGCTCGCGGTGACGGCATCGATCATTTTCGCGATCGCGTGTGGCTTCGCGTCGCACGGGACGTCGAGTGCGCGTCGTGGGCGAGACGCCGCGCGCGTGACGGCGCTGGGTGTTGGCCCGGACGGCGACGCGGTTGACGTTTTAGACGTCGATGAGTTCGAGGCGATGGACGAGTACTTGGCGGATTTAGGGCTTCATGGGCACGGTCGACGTCGGGAGCGCGTGCGGGAACGGATGTTCGAGCGCGGGGACGGAGCAGCTAGCGCGTTTGCAGGTTGGATGGAGCGCGAAAGGGGCGAGGCGGAGGAAAAGGCGAGAGCGGTGATGCCGAACGATGACGTGGTGTGGATGGTACGAACGGCCGAGACGTGTAATGCGGCGATGGATTCCGAGGGGAAGTGGGTCCCACGCACGACGGAGGAGCGTCTGGACTTGGATTGGTTCCACACGTCCGCTGTGGAGCGCGTTAGAGAGCATGGCGAGCAAACGTCTTCGAGGCTGAGGCACTCGCCCGCGCACAGAGAAGGTATGAAGTTCAACGCGTGTCCAAATATAGTGCACGTGGGCGCGGAGTACACAAGCGACGCATGGCCGTCGCTCGTACGCCAGCTGGGTTATGCGCAAGGCTTACGCGGTGCAACTTCGTCCGCCGCGGAGACGTTGGAGCAGGTGAGCAAGAATCCACGCGGCCCAAATTTCGTTCTCGCGGGGCGTGACGTGCCGAGCTTTTCCGCGTTGATGCGTGTTTTTAACAACGTCAAAGGGCACGACGGGAGGACTTTGGCTCGTTCGCAATCAATGATGATGGTGGCAAGCGTGCGAGACCCGTTGGAGCGAGCGATCGAGGCGTATCTTCAATATGGCGTCGCTCAGCGCGGCTGGACGCCAACCGTTGAAAATTTCGATGCTTTCATGTTCGGTGAATACGGGCGTCCGGCGCACGTCATGAACATTCAGTTCAAAATACTTGCGGCGAATAAATTAGTGAATAGGACACTCAGCGCCAAATCAGAGTTAGGCAGAGACATTACAGACGAGGAGATCGTGAGCGTGTTGGATGCGTACGATATAGTTTCCACGCCTGAGTACGAGCTAGCGGCCCAGCTCTTCTTGAAGCACATGCTGTATCACGTTGTGTCGGTGAGACAGCTTTTGTCGGCGCCGGAAGTCGGCTATGCGAAACTCGACCCGTTCGGCTTCAAAAGATTTCGCGTCGACGACGTGGCAACCGTCTTGCCGAGGGCCATATTGGATCACATCAAGAATGCGACATTTGTGAAAAGGTTCAACAGACTGAATGCGTTGGATCGAAAACTTCATGAAGGCGCAAAGGCACGCTTGCTTCGAATGTGGAGCGAACACAGAGTTGTGGGTGATTACGTTGAGTGGCGCGATATCGTGCGACAGTGGGTCTTCCCGAGACTCGAACTCACAAGTGGGTATAGAAATGCGAGCGAACTATCGCACAGTAACCCGCGCGTGGCGAAGAACTGTCCCGTTCATGATGAAAAGAATTGTTCACTGGCGTTTGAACGTGACGCGCCCGCAATCCTGGACGATGAGAAGCTTCGACACGCGGATGAGGGCTGTCTGTTTGAGAATCAAGGCTGTTTCGCTCGCGAGATGAATAATCTCGGACTGGATCATTACAAGATTACTCGCGATGGGCGAGGGAAGACACGGTTGACGATGCAACATACCGAGCGCTTGTACGGGATCGAGCAAGTGGCAAAGTGTGCGGAAGAAGCGTTTGTGTCAAATATACGCTTCTGTCACGCAAACGAGTCGACATTTGGATCGGGAATCGTGGGTCCGACCATGGCGGCGATGTCTGACAGAGTCTACGTATTGTGTGCTGCGGGCTCGTGTGAAAACACGTGCTACCCTTCCATCTGGCGGGACAGGCTACGCGTTGTCGACGGCTCCAGGGTCGACACTTGTCTTAACCTAACGGATAAAGAGACGCATTTTCACCGTGCGACATTATCGCACGGCGCAATCGTTGCTCACGCGAGGCAGTCGAACCTGCCGCACGTCGCCATCGTGGAGGGAGACGCAAAGTTCGTTGATCCCACCGAATCCTCCTACGACGTCCAGCGGTCGATCACCTCCGTCCGTCGTCTTCTTCAAGAGACAAAAATGAGCGAAAGATCCGCGTTCACGATCATCCGCCTCGGCTACCGCGCGTGGGAGTTTGAGAGGGGCGCTGGAAAAACAGCGTGTCCACACGGTTGCGGTTGCCGCTTTTCACCCTCGGAGGGCAAAGCCGCCTACTGCGTCGTCACCCGCGCACAATGCGACCTCCGGGGTTCACACGCCTACATTATCGGTAGGGACGTGTACGACCTCATCCTCGAACCGGTGCTCGTGAAGCACCCTCGAGAATCCAGAGTGATCGACTTTAACGTCCTCCAGCGATTTCCGCAGCAAGTCGTCATGTCGCCCATGCTCGCCGTGCAGTCATCCGCCGTGGGCGACTTCTTGGGCGAGCGCGACCAGCTCACCGTGGCCGACGCCTTCACCCACACCTGCGCCGTGCGTTAATCCCCCGCGCGTCACCGATTGTAATCCTACCCCGCGCGTTCGCCGCCGTCATCCGTCCCCAGCCTCCGACGTCCCTCTCGCCCAACCGCCAACAACCCTCCGCCCTCGCAACCCTGTGGGCTCTCGCCGCCACCGCGCGACGTCACCACCGCGCGCTCGTCGCGGGCGACCGAGCGCGGAGGGCACGAACGCTCGCGCACGCGCGCGTCGTGCGTCGCTCCGCGTCGCCGTCGTCGTCGAGCGCGCGCGAAACGCGAGGCGCGCGCGAAACGCCGCCGCCGCCGCGCATCGCTCGACGTCTCGAAACGCGCGCCGACGCCGACGAAGATGCCGACGTTCCGAGACGATGTCCGACAGGAGGCGCCCGCGGACGCGGCGGCGATCGAGTTCACGAAGATCCCGTTCGCCCCGGCGTCGACGCCGCGGAAGATTCGATCGGTGAAGTTTTCGTTGATGTCGAGCTCGGAGATCGCGCGCGCGGGGGTGTTTCACGTGTTTGAACGGAATCTGTATCAGATGCCGCAGCGAACGCCGATGGTGAATGGAATATTGGATCCGAGGATGGGAACGACGGATAAGCGCGGGGGAGAGTGCGCGACGTGTCGAGGGAGCATGGTAGATTGCGCGGGACACTTTGGGTACATCAAGCTCGAGCTGCCGGTGTTTCACATCGGGTACTTTAAGAACATCATCAGCGTGTTGCAGTGCGTGTGCAAGGGATGCTCGAGGATTCTGTTGAACGAGGATGATCAAGCGACTTTTCTGAAGCGGTACAGAAATCCGAGGTTAGAGCTCACGCAGCGGCGGTTGCTGTACAAGAAGTTGACGGAGAAGTGCAAGAGGTGCCGAATTTGTCCACACTGCGGCGATTACAACGGGGTCACGAAGCGCGCCGGGCAGACGCTGAAGATTGTGCACGAGAAGTACAGTAAGAATCCAGCGTTGTTGGAGGAATTCTTGAAGGAGTTTGAGACGGCTCTGAAGTACAACGAACAGCTGCGGGCATCGCTGCCAAAGGTGCAGGACGACTTGAACCCAATTCGTGTACTCAGTATCTTACAGCGCATAACCGATCAAGACTGCGAGCTATTAGACATCGCTGATCGCCCGGAACACTTGCTTCTGACACATCTTCCCGTGCCTCCGTGCTGTATTCGACCGTCGGTTGAGATGGATGGCGTCTCTGGGTCAAATGAGGATGACATCACGATGAAACTGATTCAAATTATTGAAGTGAACAACGTTTTGAGGCAAGGTTTGGAGAAAGGTCTCACAATCAATAACCTCATGGAGAATTGGGACTTTTTGCAGATCCAGTGCGCGATGTACATCAACAGTGAGCTTCCAGGACTTTCGCTGCAATATCAAGGCCCGGGTAAACCGCTTCGCGGCTTTGTGCAGAGACTCAAGGGTAAGCAAGGTCGCTTCCGCGGTAACTTGAGCGGGAAACGTGTCGATTTCAGCGCGCGGACGGTGATTTCTCCCGATCCGAACCTTGGAATCGACGAGGTCGGTATTCCCATTTACATAGCGAAGACGATGACGTATCCTGAAGTCGTCAATAGGCACAACATCGCGATGTTACGAGAGCGCGTGCGGAACGGCATGGCGGAGCATCCTGGCGCAAACTTCGTGAAGTTTGCATCCGGCGGTATGCAGTATCTCAAGTATGGTGATCGACGAAAGATTGCTAGCGAGTTACGTTTCGGAGACATCGTGGAGAGACATTTACACGATGGTGATATTCTGTTGTTCAATCGTCAGCCGAGTTTGCACAAGATGTCCATCATGGCGCATAAGGCTCGCGTGATGCCCTGTAGGACGCTTAGACTGAACGAGTGCGTGTGTACGCCGTACAACGCCGATTTCGACGGTGACGAGATGAACATTCACTGTCCACAAACCGAAGAAGCGCGCGCCGAAGCGATGCAGCTCATGGGCGTGCATCACAACCTCTGCACGCCCAAGAACGGCGAGATTCTCGTCGCCGCGACTCAAGACTTTTTGACCGCTGCGTTCTTGCTCACGGCCAAGGATGTGTTCTTCGATCGCTCTCAAGTCGGGCAGCTTGTAGCTTACATGGGTGACGCTCTCCTTTCCGTCGACCTGCCGACGCCAGCCATCGTGAAGCCGATCGAGATGTGGACAGGCAAGCAGATCTTTGGTATGCTCATTCGTCCGAAGGCATCTGATCAAATTTTCGTCAATCTCGAGGTTGCCGAAAAACTGTACAACAAGAAGGACAAAACGATGTGCCCGGACGATGGTTATGTCTGCATCCAGAATAGTGAGATCATGGCGGGACGACTTGGCAAGGCTACGTTAGGAAGCGGAAACAAAAATGGGTTGTTTTACGTGCTCAACATAGAGTACGGACCAGTTGCGGCGGCCGATGCGATGAATAGGCTCGCCAAGCTCAGCGCGAGATGGTTGGGAACACGCGGTTTCAGCATCGGCATTGACGACGTCTCACCAGCGGCCGAGTTGGAAGCTGAGAAACAACGACGCATCGAAGATGGATACGCAACGTGCGACCAACGCATTGCATCGTACGAGAAAGGCACTCTGCCGCTGCAAGCAGGTTGCAATGCAGAAGAAACGCTGGAAGCGGAGGTTTTGGGTGTGCTGTCGTCTGTGCGTGAAGCGGCGGGTAATGCGTGCTTACAGGCGTTGCCTCGACACAACGCTCCACTCATCATGGCACTCTGTGGTAGTAAGGGTAGCACTATCAACATCTCTCAGATGGTTGCGTGCGTCGGTCAGCAGGCTGTGAGTGGTTCTCGTCCGCCGGATGGGTTTGCACACCGCTCTCTTCCTCATTTTAAACGTGGGGAGAAGACGCCGGCGGCTAAGGGTTTCGTTGCGAACTCCTTCTACTCCGGCATGCGCCCAACGGAGTTCTTCTTTCACACCATGGCCGGTCGTGAGGGTCTTGTTGATACGGCTGTGAAGACAGCAGAGACTGGTTACATGTCTCGTCGTTTAATGAAGGCGTTGGAGGATCTGTCGCTTTCGTATGACGGCACCGTACGAAACTCCATGGGAGGCATCGTCCAGTTACGTTATGGCGACGACGGTATGGAGCCTACACTCATGGAGAGCGAGAATGCGCAACCCATCGAGTTCAAGCGATGTCTGATGAACGTCAAAGGTTTGCATCCCGCTCGAGGCGAGGCGCCTGTGACGAAAGCTGTACTGCACGCCGCGTTGGCAAAGTTCAAGAAAGAAAACAAACTGTTGAATACTGGCGACGAAGCCGACGGGCAAGAGCTCGTTTACGGCGGAGGAATCTCCGAGTTATTCTTCCGTCAAATGAGTGAGTTTATCACTTCGGAGATAGAATCGCCTTCAGATGGCGGTGCTGTTATTTCTGAGTCTCAGCTGAATACGTTTTTGGATGTGTGCATGCAGAAGTACAATGCGAAGCGCATCGAACCCGGGACCGCTGTCGGCGCTGTCGGCGCTCAATCCATCGGTGAACCGGGTACGCAGATGACGCTCAAGACGTTCCACTTTGCTGGAGTTGCTTCGATGAACATCACTCTCGGCGTTCCGCGCATCAAGGAAATCATCAACGCTTCAAAGAGCATAAGTACTCCGATCATCTCTGCATCGCTCATGAGCGATCGAGATGTAAAAGCTGCGCGCGTCGTCAAGGGACGAGTCGAAAAGACAACTCTGGGCGAGATTTGCTCGGACGCGGGCATCGTCGTTCGATCACACGAAGTGTACCTGGAGCTCGTGTTGGACTTGGAAGCCATAAACCAGCTGCAGCTTGACGTCACCATACACACCGCTCGAACCGCCGTGCTTGCGGCGCCAAAGCTCAAGCTGAAACCGCAGCACGTTTTAATTGCGGGACCCAACGTCTTACACGTGTTGCCGACTGAAGAATCTCTTGTCGAAGGAAAAGCTTTGTTCGCGCTGCAACATATGCGGCTCGCCATCCCAGGAGTCATCGTTCAAGGTATTCCCTCCGTCGGTCGTGCGGTCATCAACGACAAGGGTGATGGCACTTACAACCTTCTCGTGGAAGGTATCAACTTGCAAGCTGTTATGGGCATCGATGGCGTCAAGGGCATCGAAACGACGACGAACAATGTGATGGAGTGCGAGCGCACATTGGGCATTGAAGCTGCTCGAGCGTGCATCATCAAGGAAATCGATGACACGATGAGAGCTCACGGCATGTCGATCGATAACCGTCACTCAATGCTCCTCGCAGATGTGATGACGTACAAGGGTGAAGTGCTTGGGATCACTCGATTCGGTATGGCGAAGATGAAGGACTCTGTTCTAATGCTCGCCTCGTTCGAGAAGACGACGGATCACCTCTTTGACGCCGCGTTACACGGCCGCACTGATTACATCGACGGTGTCTCCGAGTGTATTATTATGGGAATTCCGATGCCGATCGGTACAGGCATGTTCCGTTTGCAGCATCGCGCGATGAAGCTTGAGGTGGACATCGACATGGAAAGGGAGGATGGTACTGAAAAGCTCATCACGACTGTCGTGCCAGAAGAGCTTGAAGAGTTGCCAAAGAGACCACCCTTGCTATTGCAAGGTGGATACTGCCGCCCCATCGAGGCGTAAATCACTTAGATGTTTAGCACATAGTAGAAAGGACGATGAAATGAATTTTTTACATGGTCTGCGATCATCCAAATTTGGCAATTGTTCGCCCTAAAATTTTTGCGGCATCCTTCATGTCAGCCAACGAGCAGTACTCATCGTCCGCGTGGTACGTGCTCATGAGACCGAAACCGATGAGTTGGATGTCAAATCCGTTTTGTTGCATCTCCGCGACGAGAGGCAGAGAGCCGGTGAGCGAATACGGTTCGGCGACACCCTTGACGTCCTTGATGACTTCGCACAGCGTCTTGAGCGCCGGGGACTCCAAATCGCATGCGATACCAGTGAGCAAGTGCTCGCCCCAGGTGAGCTCGATCGAGCCCTTAAGTATGCCACCCTTACCGTCCGGGATCACGAACTTGCTGAACTCACCTCTCGTTGGAAGAGACTCGATATCTGCGTTGATTGCCGCGACCTCCTTTTCAATGCACGCCTTGACGTCCGCCACCGGATAGAAGGGCGTCAAACGAATATCTCCCGAGATTGTCGCGTCCGGAGGAATCTGATTCAATCCGCCCGGTGCGCATGCGATCTGTGTTGGCTTCATGGTCGAGCTTGTAATGAACTTATAATCCCGCTCTTCCTGACACGCGGGGAACTCGGAGTAGAATTTTGCCTGCAAACGATCGATCACAGCCATCCCCATCTCGATCGCGTTGATTCCCTTATGCGGCAGACCAGAGTGGAATCTATGTCCCTGTGCCCTGAGCGACCATGTAATGGCGCCCGCGGTGCCGATGCACGGCTGACTGTCCGCGCAGTCGACCCAGATAACCGGACCGGGCTTGCAGTGCTCGAGCTTCCCGTTCGCCACCAATCCGTCCACCCCAATCCCCGGCCCGTTCGCTTCCTCGCTCGCGATGAATACACACGTTAGTGCAGTGTCCAAATCGGGTTTTAACTCCGCCAACTGCGCGAAAACCGTCGTCATGAGCGCCACGTGTCCGAGGCAGTCCGTCGTCCCGCGTCCGTACAGTTTATCGCCGTCGATCGTCAGCTTGAACGGATCGACGCTCCACGCCTCGGGATTTGCCGGTACGACGTCCAGATGCGATCCAGCGAACGTCAACACCTTATCTGAGCTCGCGTTCGCCCCTGTCGCCGGCAATTTAATAATCACGTTTCCGCGTCCCTCCGCGTACGTCACGTGTTCCACCTCCAACACGCCCCCGTTCTCCGTTCTGTACGGCTTGAGCGTCTCCAGCACGTGCTTCACCGCGTTGTCTTCCCTCGGGACGTGCGCGGTTCCCACGCCGGTATTCTGTAACGTTTTAGACTCACCGATCAAGTTTCCTAGAAGGTGCAAAAACTTTTCTTCATCGAGCTCCAACGCGTTGAGGGCATCGATCGCGGACGCGGCCGGCATGACGTCGGCACGTCTAGGTGCAGTGCGGACTTGGGCTTTCGGCGCGCGTCTCGCGTTCGCGGCGTGCCAGACGGGGGAGTGAGCGACGCGCGGGCGAGCGGCGACGAGCATAGACGAGTGAGGCGCGCGAGGGTGAGACGCTGATGTCTATGTCGATCGGATGCACGACTCACAACTCATACACCGAATCCTTCGCGTTCGCCATGTTTTCTCGGCACACGTGGGCGAGGCGCTCGTATCGCGTCCTCATGGCGTAGAGCTTGGTGCGGAGCGCGCTGAGCGAGCGCCGGCCCGACCTGGCAACCTTTCGTTGGAGGAAGCGCGTGAAGAGGAGCAGGCCGCCGTCGACGCGCGATTCTTCGGCTTCAATGACGACGCCACCTCGTAAGACGACGTCCACGAGGTCCATAGTGGCCGCGATGATATAGATCTCTTGCGCCGGCGTCTCGTCGTTGACGCGCACATCGCACAGGTGCATGGACGCCTCGCTCCGGCGAAGCATTATCGATGACTCGTCGTCGCGCGCAAGCTGAGTGACGAGCTTATTCTTCTCCGCACTCGTGATCTTCTTCGGTTTCTCGCTCGCGGGAAGTGGCAGAAGATGTCGAACGCAGGCGACGCCGGCGGCGGCGAGCGCCGCTCTAAGATCCTTCTCTCGCAAAGTCATACCCGGCAACCATCGAACGAGGCGCATGCACATGGCAACGTTCTCGAACTCCGTTCCTGACGCGGTGGACTCTTCCACAACTACGTCGAGGAGGTATCTAATCGCCTTAACCTTGAAGCTGTCCCACGATTTCTTTGGAACGCTCGCGACGAGCGCGGACGTCGCGCGTCTAAGGACGACGTCCAACGCGATTGCGCGCGAGTCCAACTCGATCCCGGCGTACATTTGTAAGATTCTCGCATATCCATCGATGTTCGCAAAGGCCTCGACGTTGCGAGCGAACGCATTGTCACAAAACGCCGTCACAATTTCGAGAGTGACGAAGAGTTCGTGGCGAAGTAATCGTCGCCGCGCGGTCGCAATCGCCTTGCTTGCTTGACCCGCCGCTGCGGGTAACGACGCGCGCCGTATCTGCAAGTAATCGCGCACACCGAGCGTTCGCAAGACGTCGCACACGGCGCTCGCGTATAGTTCCCACGGTGGTACCTCGCATTTTTGCCCATCGACGTCCGTCGACGCGTCCTTCCGGTGGTAATCGAATCGCGGCCCTCGCCCGTCATCGACCGATCCCCACATCCCCTCGAACCCGAGGGTGACTAAAAGTGCATCCCGAGCGCCAAAGCTCAGATCGGCGCACCCGCACGAAGTGGCGACGTCCCACAGCCACTCCATTGTCGCCTCATCGCATCGCTCGCTCGGCGCTGTCGCCCACCTCTCCGGCAACCATCGCTCCAAGAGCAATGCGCGCCACATCTCCTCCTCACTCACCGATGGCGCGAGCTCCTTTGCTCGTTTCACGATCGCGCGAAGCGGTTTCGACGCGCACGTCGTCATCCGCGCGTCGCTCGCGCGGACGCCATCTCGTCTGTCCGTAAACGCGACGTCGCCCAAAGTCTCAACAATCTCCCTGAGCTTGAATCCCTCACCGAGCGCGGCCAAGACCTCGTCTTCTTCATCCATCGCCCGCATCACGTCCGCGTCGTCTCTCTCCGCCTTTTTTCGCACCGCCTCTTCCTCTTCTTTCCGTCTCCGCTCGAGCGCCGCGTCGTCCGCTCGTCGCCGCTCCAACGTCGCGTCATCCCTCGCCGTCGCCCGCTCCAAATCCTCGCGCTCTCGAAGCAACCACTCTACCGACCCCTTCTTCACCGCGGACCCACCGCCGGGGCCGTCGGACGATTTCCTTCGCTTCGGCGTCGGTCGTCCGCGCGCGCTCGACGCCAACCCCCTCGACCGCATCTCCGCCCTGAACCCGAACACGTCCTCCTCGTCATCGTTCGACGCGTCCACGCGCATCGTCTCTCGCGCCCTCGACCCCGCGCGCGCCGTCCGTCCTCGCGCGACGCGCGTCGCGCGCCCATCGCGCGTTGTCCCGTTCATCACGCGCTCGACCGTCGTTTCCTCCTCCGTCGACGATCCACTCGACGCGCGCTCGCGCGTGAATCGTCGTCGATTTACCCCCACCCCATCGCCGCGCTCGGACGACCCGGACGACGTCGCGGGCGAGCGCGCGCGCGTCGATGCCATCGACCGCGACCGCGCGCGTCACGAGCTGACGCGGCGCATCGACCACGGACCATGGCGCAGACCGCGGTCGCGCGCGCGATCGCGCGCGCGTGGTCGAGACAATTATCCCCGCGCGCGCCGAGCGCGCGGCGTCGCGCGTCGACGATCGCGGCGGACGGGAAGGCGGCGGAGGTGGGACCGCTGGAGGAGCGCGTGGATTTGCGAGTCGGGCGCGTGCTGCGCGCGTCGAGGCACGAGGAGGCGGAGAAACTGGTGCGTCGGGGGGTGGGAATTACGTTCGTTCGCTCGAATCGCGCGCGATCGTTTCTCCGGGGGGCGGGGGAGACGAAGGTGCTGGAGAGATGGGAGGCGCGGATGGGGACGGGGACTGACGCGAGACGCGATTCGACGCGCAGTACATCGAATCCATCGACGTGGGTGAACCGGAGGGTCCAAGACAGATCTTGAGTGGTTTGGTGCCGTACATGAGCGCGGAGGACATCGAGGGGAAGCTGGTGATCGTGTTCGCGAATCTCAAGGTGCGTCGGGCGAAGCGACGGCGCGGCTCCGCGCGCGCGATGGGAGCGATGGACTGACGAGAAACGCGTTTGTAACGTCGATGCGCAGCCGCGTAAACTCGCGGGGATGCCGTCGAACGGGATGATTCTCGCCGCGTCCGATGCGTCGCACGAAAAGGTGGAGCTCCTTGTCGCTCCGGAGGGCGCCGTCGTCGGCGAACGCGTTCGATTCGGCGCGTCCGACGAGCCTCAATCCGAGCCTCAGACCCCGAACCAGATTCAAAAGAAGAAGACGTGGGAAGAGTTACAACCGCTTCTCGTCACCGACGCCTCGTGCGTCGCGACGTACAAGGGAGCGCCGATGATGACGTCCGCCGGTCCCGTGAAGTGCGCCTCGCTCGTCGACGCCTCCATTGGATAATCACTCCATCGCTCGCCCGCACGCGCGTTGATTTCTAAGACAGCACGCACCACCGTGTGTGTCATTTATTATTCGTTTCAATTCCATCCCGACTCTGCGTCGCCGCGCGCGCTCTCCTCCGCCACGGCCGCATTTCTCGACGCCGTGTCATGTCCATCGACCACCCGTCCGATTCGGTGTTGCGACCGTTCCTCGGCGTCAAGGAGCGCAGACGCTCGTCCTTCGCCAAGCGCGCGCTCGGGGATGATTTGGGCGTGGCGAAGGATGCGCACTTTGCAAAGGCTTTGAGTAAACACGGCGTCACCGAGGTCGTCTTCAGCGCGCGCGCGCTGAAGCTCAACCATCGAGACGAGCTAAAACATCGCATATTAGTCGTCTCCGACGTCGGTGTCGTGCTCTTGGACGAGATATCGAAGCGGGTGCGGAGAAAGTTTGCTTGGAAGGATGTGAGCGAGGTGCGCCTGAGCGTGCACGCGGACGACTTCTTCGCGTTGATCGCCCCGGACGAGTACGACGTGTTGTTGGCGTGTAATCGGAAGACGGAAGCGATCGTGGCGATGCGGAAGATGTGGAAGCGAGACGTGACGCGTAGGGGGGGAATGGACGCGCGCGGCGGCGGCGGCGAGACAGAGTTGAGAGTGACGGCGAGCGAGCGGTTCACGTACATGGCGAGCGCTCTGCGCGAGCGCAGGGTGGAGTTCACCCGGGTGGACGGAGGTGATGTGGACATCGACGTCGTCGACGTCGACGATGCGCGCGACGAGGATGAACGAGGCGACGACGGCCGAGCGCGTCTACGTCCGAGCGACGACATCGTGTAACAACAGGTTGTATTCTCGCAACGCTACCCGATCGCGATTCGCCCCCCTCCGCGACGCTCACCCCGGTCCAATCTTTGGCAAATCGTGATGCTCCGACATCTTGCTCAATTTTTCGTTAAACTCTCGCACCTTGTCCTTGTGCGATTTACTCGCCAACTCTCGCACGAGCCGCGCCTCGTGTTGCTTCCTGTACGCCTCCTCGTACGCCTTCTCCGCCTCGGTCCGTCGATCGCCCACGTCGCCCGTCCCTCGTTCGTCACCCTGCGTCGTCGTCGTCGTCGTCAGTCGTCGTCATCGTCGTCCACGCGTCGTCGCACCTCGGTCGTCGTCGCCGTCGCCGTCTTCTTCGCCCTCTTCTTCGCCCGCTTCGACGTCGTCCCGCCCTCCGTGGACGTCGAAGCGCCCGCGCGTTTCAGTCGCAGCTTCCCGCGCGCGACCGCGTCGTACGCGCGGGCGTCGGACATGAAGGCGTCGCGCGGTGACCGCTCGACGTCGCCGCGCCACCGCGGTAACGACCGACACGTCCTTCCAAATGTCCGAACACTCGTTTTGGAGCCATCGTATGCCCATGAAGCGTTCGTTTATCACATCTCCAACCTCCGAGCGCGCGCGCGCGAGTGAAGATCGCGCACACGCGCGCGCGCGACCGCGTTCGTGCCCTCGCGCGTCGCACCGCGCGATACGTACGTTTTCGCGCGTCAAAATCGTCCCGGGCGCGGACGGGAACGACGGTCGGCGGCGGACGGTGGAGGCGGGAAGGAGGAATCCCGCGTCGATCGCGGCGAGCGGGTGATTCGCGCGCGTCGACGGCCGAGGCGCGCGTCGCGAGGCGCGATCGCGAGCGCGAGAGACGCGGGAGAATATCGTCGAGACGGTGAGGGACGATGAGCGCGTCGAACGGTGGACTCGAGCTCAGGGTTGGGAATAAGTACAGGCTCGGTCGGAAGATTGGGAGTGGGAGCTTTGGGGACATTTACCTAGGTGCGTAGGCGCGAAGGGTTCGGTGGTTTCATCGCTCGGTGGTTCGTCGTCACGCGCGGGTGGATCGATTTATGGAAGGAGACGATGTCGTGTGGGCGCGGGCGCGAATGCGCGTGGAGTGCGGTGGACGACGTGACTGACGCGAACTCGGTTTCTCGCGCGCCAGGGACGCACATCAAGACGAATGAGGAGGTCGGGATCAAGCTGGTGCGTGACGAAAGATGCGCGCGAACGATGCGACGCGAACGACGTGGTGTGGAACTTGATGTTGGCACGCGACAGATGACTGATGGCGTCTGATTCTTTCGCCGCGAACAGGAAAGCTGCAAGACAAAGCATCCGCAGTTGCTCTACGAGACCCGGTTGTACAAAATTTTACAGGGAGGCACGGGGGTGCCGAACGTGCGGTGGTACGGAATCGAAGGCGATTACAACATCATGGTGATGGACTTGCTCGGTCCGAGCTTGGAGGATCTGTTCAACTTTTGTAACCGGAAGTTGAGCCTGAAGACGGTGCTGATGCTGGCGGATCAGCTCGTGTCCCGGATAGAGTACGTGCACAGTAAGAGCTTCATCCATCGCGACATCAAGCCTGATAACTTCTTGATGGGGCTGGGTAAGCGCGCGAATCAGGTGAACATCATCGATTTCGGTCTGGCCAAAAAGTACAGAGATCCCAAGACCCACTTGCACATCCCTTACAGAGAGAACAAAAATTTGACGGGAACGGCGAGATACGCGAGTATCAACACGCACGTTGGCATCGAGCAGTCCAGGAGAGACGACCTCGAATCTCTCGGGTACGTGCTCATCTACTTCTTGCGGGGATCATTGCCGTGGCAAGGATTGAAGGCGGCGACGAAGAAGCAAAAGTACGAGAAGATTAGTGAGAAGAAGATGACGACGCCCATCGAAGTGCTGTGCAAGGGGTTCCCACCCGAGTTCGTGACGTACTTCCAAGTCGTGAGATCTTTGCGTTTCTCAGACAAGCCCGATTACTCTTACCTCAGAAAGTTGTTCCGCGATTTGTTTATTCGCGAGGGATACCAGTACGATTACGTGTTCGATTGGACGATCCTTAAGTATCAACAGACGCAAGCGTTGACTCGTCCGACCGCGGGCCTCGGGGGGCAGGCGCAAGCTGGAACGAGTGGAGATCAAGGCGATCAGAGAGATACGCTTCGTCGTCAGACGACATTAGAGCGTCAATCGAGTGCGACACGCGCGGCCGGAGGGAAGGAAGTTCTCGCGACGGAACGATCTTCATCCTTCGCTCGCGCGTACGAGCGCCAGCGATCGAGCTCTCGACCGCTGACAAGTCGAGACGACGACGGAGGTCGAGCGTACCAATAAAAGTGCTGAATTTCTCACACACACTGTAGTCTGCAAGGAAAAATAGAGATACGAATCATTCGCCCGCGCTCGTCGACTCGAACGACTGTTCATCGTTTCGCCTCGCCGACGGTTACGTCGTCCCAGCGCGCCGCGCGCCGCCGCACCGCACCCCATCGTCCGACGCGCCGTCTTCGATGTCTCACGATCGTCGAACGTTCACATCCATCCTTTTCGACTCCCCGGACGCGGACGACGCTCCCGGGACGTCGCTCGAGGCGTCGACGATGAACACCGTTGGGCGCTCGATGGCTCGACACGTCACCAAAACCTCCTTCGCCGCACGAGCGAGCGAGGCCGAGGCGCGCGCGCGCGCGGTCGAGCGCGATGCGTTCGAGCTCGCGGGCGTCTCGCGCGCGCGCGCGGATGCGCGAGGGAGGGAGCGCGGGTCGATGGGGACGACGTCAAAGCGGGCGGGCGCGACGCCGCCGACGGACTCGGCGCGCGAGACGGAGAGACATCGGGAGATCGTTCGTTGGATGCACGCGAGCGTCGAGCGTGGCGCGAGAGGGTGCGTGATCGGTGACGAGGCGGAGACGGAGCCGATACGGGCGGCGTGCGCGTTCGCGAGCGAGATGTCGGCCAGACGGCGGAGCGGGACGACGAGCGCGGTTTTGGTGCTGTGCGCGCCGAACGCGGTGATGGCGTGGACGGAGACGCTGAAGATGTTTGGCGTGGGCTCCGTGGCGTTGGTGAAGAACGGGGAGCAAGCGAGGATTGCATTTGAGAGGATCGAAGCCGGCGCGGCGGCGGCGGCGGTGATGTCGCACGACGTGTACAGAAACGTCGTCGAAAAGGCGATGGATGTGGATTGGATCGTGTGTGTGTACGATGAGGTGCACAGATTAAAGTCGGAGAAGACAAAAGGGTACGAGGCCGCGCGTTTGCTACACGAGAAGGTATACCGCGTCGGATTGTCGGACCAGCTGTTCTCCAACTGCGACTCGAACGATTTGTGGGCAGTGCTGAACTGGATCGCGCCGTGGCAACTCGGCGATCGCAGTCTGTATAACTCGTACTTCGTCAAGCCCATCAGCGAAGGACACAAGGGGAAGCACTCTGATCTCGCGACGCAGCGAACTCGCGAGCTACACGCTCGATTGAGCACGATGATCACTCCCGGAATCGGCGAGGCGGCGCTGTACCAGCAATACGTCCCCGAGATTACTGGCACGAAAGACGACGTGTCCACTGCGAAAAGAGCGCTCGAGGCGTTGGCGAAATTTGAGAATCTAACGGTGCCCGAGATGGCGAAGAAATTGCTCAGAATGGACAGGAAGGCGCGAGACGCCTTGCGGCTCCGAGTCGTCGCGAGCGAAACTCTCGTCGGCTCCTTTGGAGTAGTCCTAGAGCAATGGCGCAAAGAGATGGAAATGACGAATGATTGATGGATAGCTATAGCAAACGCTTTTAAAAGGCAGCACTACTACTAGACTAGAAGACGATCAGTCGCGACGTCGTTAAATGAGTTCGTCGAGCAGACGTTCCACCGTCTTCGCGTCGAGACCCATGACGCCATCGAGCGAGCCGTCGATCCGCCTCAAGTACGGCTGAACCAGCTCGTGTTCAACCATGAGTCCACCGGCGCAGTGCATGCATTCACCCTCTTCGACTATCGCGTCGACGACGTCGTCCGGAATCGCGTCGAAGACCACCGTGTTCACGTCCACCGCGAGCGCCGACTTCCCCGTCGAAAGATCCGTCACCATGGTCGATCCGACGGTCGAAGGCGGATCGACGCCGTACCCGCGAATGAACGCGCGCGCCTCGTCTTCGCTCGACGGCTTCTCGCGAATCTCCCCTCGATGCACGACCACCTGGTCGCACGTGATCAGCAAACGCCGCGTCCCAAAGTCGCTCGTCCCGAGCTTTTCCTTCGCCGCGTCCGCCTTTGCGATCGCCAGCGCCCGGACCAACGCCTTCGGATCGTCCCGACGTATCGCCTTCTCGTCGATATCCGGCTTCACGACGACGTGATCGATCCCCATGGATGATAACACCGCGCGGCGCGTCGACGAGCCGCTGCCCAGGATCACCTCGCACTTCGCCTCTCGCACGCGCTCGGCGATCGATCGTTCGTTCGACGTCGTCGCCATCGCGCGCACCGATCGCGCGACGCGCGCGCGTCGCGCGACGACGACTCGGCGCGCCCGCGACGCCGCGCGCATGAATGTGACGCGTCGCTCCGCCGCGAGCGCCCCCTCCGCCGCCGTCCCCCGCCCGACGCCCGCGATGCAATCATCCCGTCGCGCCGTCACCCGTGGACGATGCCCTCGCCCGCGTCCACGCCTCGATGGCGTCCGACGTTTCCTTTTCGCTCGGGACGTTTCCCCCGAAGAGCGCCCGCCACTCCGTCCCCGCGCGCGCCGGCGCGAGCGCGCGCCAATACCCCGTCTTCGCGTCCCGCTCGCGATCCGAGCGATCGCGCGCGACCGCTCGGCCCTCTCGCGCCGCCCGCTTCGCCGCGACGCACGCCCAGAGATCGCTTCGCGCCCGTTCGCACGCGTCGAGCTCGCCCACGCGGTACCATCGCGTGAGTTGAAACGTCGGGTCTGCGCGCGCGCGCGACGTCGCGGTCAGTCGCCTCGTCGAGCGCGCGCGCGCGTTCGGGCGCACCGTAACACGTCCACAGACGCGCGAACGCCTCGGCGACGGTGGCGGGCGGGTCCGTCGCGCGCGTCATGATGTCGAATCACACGCATTCGCCGCACTTCGCGTCGTCGCGCGCGCGCTGGACGCGTCGTCGCGGGTATTGGTGCGCCACCGTCGAACGCGCGGGGTGATCGACGCGCGGGCGCGGGCGAGCGAGGACGCGCGGGATGGTTTGCGCGATGGCATCGCGCGTGGGTGCCGAGCGGAAAATAATGTGTCGCGTCGCGCCGGACGGGCGACGGGCGCGGCGACGGGCGCGGGCGGTGCGCGCGCGGGCGATTGAAACGCCGGAGACGGTGCGCGCGTCGGACGTGGAGGTGGTGGATGGACGGCGGCGGTTGCAGACGCAGGCGACGACGGTGGGCGCGGACACGACGTGCATTCGGTCGCTCGATTGGGATCGAGATCGATTCGACATCGAGTTCGGGTTGGAGAGAGGGACGACGTATAACTCGTACGTGATTCGTGGGGCGCCGGGGAACGCGGCGTTGATCGACGCGAGTCATGAGAAATTCCGCGAGTTGTACTTGGCGACGCTGCGGAGGGAGATCGACCCGGAGGAGATCAAGTACGTGATTTGCTCGCACACCGAACCCGATCACAGTGGGTTGATCGGGGACGTGTTAAAGATGGCGCCCAACGCGACGGTGCTCGGGAGCAAGGTGTGCCTGACGTTTTTGGAAAATTTGATTCACGAACCGTTTAAGAGCCGGGCGGTGAAGGGGGGGGACGTGATCGACCTCGGCGACGGGCACGAGTTGAAGTTCATCATGGCGCCGAATTTACACTGGCCGGACACCATGTTCACGTTCGACGCCAAGTCGAAGTTGATGTACACGTGCGACGCGTTCGGATCGCACTTCTGCAGCGAGGATGTGTTCGATAGCGACTTGAACGCGCTCATGCCGCATTATCGATTCTATTACGACTGCCTGATGAAACCGAACGCTCGATCCGTCTTGACGGCGCTTCGTAAGTGTGAGAGCGAGGGCGCGGATTTCGTCGGCATCTGTAACGGTCACGGGCCGCTCCTGCGGTATAATCTCGACGAACTCGTGGGCGGTTACAAAAATTGGAGCGAGTCGGCGTTGGCCAAGGCCAAGGCGAACGTCGCCGTCTTCTACACCGCCGAGTACGGTTTCTGCGATCGCCTCTCGCAGTCGATCGCCAGAGGCTTGACAAAGACTGAGACCGAGGTGGTGATGATGGATCTCTTGACTGCGGACTCGCAGGAAGTGATCGAGACGACGAAGCACGCGTCCGGCATCGTCGTGCTCTCGCCCCCGTCGTCCGGTCCGGCGAACGATCAGCTCGCGAATATCATCGGTGCCGTGGACTCTAAACAAAAGTTCTTCATCGCCGAGTCTTTCGGAGGCGCCGACGAGCCGGTGGATCTCTTGGCCACGAAGTTCGCCGAGCTCGGGGTCACGGAGGCGTTTTCACCGCTCAAGGTGACGAACGAGCCCACGGAGGGAGTGTACCAATTGTTCGAGGAGGCTGGCACTGATCTCGGTCAGCTCTTGACCAAGAAAAAGACGCTTGCTGATATGAAGAGCGCGATGTCTCCCGAAGTCGCCAAAGCGCTCGGACGCGTGAGCGGAGGCTTGTACGTCGTCACCGCCGCGCAGGGCGACGCGCGCTCGGCGATGATCGCTTCTTGGATCGCTCAGGCCTCTTTCGAGCCGCTCGGTTTCACCGTGGCCGTAGCGAAAGATCGCGCCATTGAATCTCTCATGCAGGTCGGCGACACGTTCGTGCTCAACTGCCTCCCGGAGGATGGTTACGAACCAATCATGAAGCACTTTTTGACGCGTTTCCCACCCGGCGCCGACCGCTTCGAGGGCGTGGAGTGGGCACCGGCGAACTGCGGTGCCCCGATCCTCGGCGACGCCGTGGCGTTCATGGAGTGCCGCGTGAAGTCTCGCATGGAGGCCAACGACCACTGGATCGTGTACAGCGAGGTGTTCAACGGCAAGGTGTTCAACTCTGACGCGCGCACCGCCTCCCATCACAGAAAGGTTGGATCGTACTACTAAAATCCACCGCGCATCCTTCGCTTGTAATCTCCACGTCGCGAGCTTTCAACCGACCCATCGACCGCGCGCGCGATTCAAACAAAGCACATCGTAATTACACAAGACATCGGCGAAAATATACAATCACAGACTCGTCGTCCCGACGAATCGCCGCACGTCCTCGCGAAATCGCGCGTCCCCCGCCCCCTCCTTTCTCGTCACATCGCTCGTCGCGCTCTTCACCGTCCCAGCCACAACCGTACGTTTCGCTCCCGTCACCACCGGCGACGGCGTCGGCGCCTCACTCGTGATCTGCGGCATCATCGCCGCGAATCCCAGCGCCGCCGCCAGGAACGCCTGCGTCGCCGCGTCTCGCGCGCGTCGCCCCCGCCGTCCCACCCGATCCCCTCCGCGTCCCGCGCCCCGTCGTAATTCCGACACGAGCGCGCGCGCGTCGTCGCCGTCGTCCGCGTCGGCGTCGTCGCGCGCGCGCGCGCGCGGGACGCCGCGCGAGGACCCCGCGCGCGCGCCCGCGCCTCGCCCACGCGTCGGCGTCGTCGGCGTCGCGCGCGTCGGCCCGCGCGCGCGCGGCGTCGCGACCGGCGCGGGTGCGCGCGTCGTCGTCGTCGGCATCGTCGTCGGCGGCGGCGTCTGCGGCATCGGCGGCGGCGGCGGCGCGCGACGACGGGCGTCGACGATGTGTCGACGGTGTGTCGACCACACGCGCTGACGTGGACGAGTGATGGACGCGGGCGCAAAGGGCGGGTGCGAAAGTGCGTCGGCTGGGAATACAAACAACAGGCGATGCGCGCGCGATGCGTGGTGGGCACGCGTGACGCGCGTGCGCGCGATGCGTCGTCGCGCGCGTGAAGGCGCGACGCGTCGAGGTGGACGCGCCATCGCGGCGGCGGCCTCGGCTCGAGCCGAGCCGGCGCGTCAGGAGACGGTGCGACCGAAGGCGACGGCGCTGATGTAGAGGTTCTTCGCCCACTTTTCTTTGACGTGTGTGGACGGGAACGCAGACGTGCGCAGTGTTTCTTGCGTCTCGTCGCCGGGACGGCGACGTGGGATGGAGAGGACGAAGGCAGCCTGGTCCGAAGTGGCGGCGCAGCACGTGATGCGGTACCCGGTGTTCCAGCGACGATGGATGCCCTCGGAGGGGTACATGAAGTCGAGCTCAACGCACTGGTTGATGTAACCGGCGTTTCGAGACATGACAACGGCCCATCTCGCGCCACACGTCGCCATGGAGGTGACGTAAAAGCCCTCTTTCCACTTCTTGTTGATCCACTTGAACGGGAACGAGTCGCTCACCTTGTACGATTGCTGCGTGTACGTCGAGCCTTTCGACATGACGACGGTGGCTTGGCCGTGGCAAGAGCCGGCGAGCGCGGTGATGTAATAACCATCATCCCATTGCTCGAGAATCCAGTCTTTCGGCAAGAACTGCGCGGATAGATTCCAAATTTGAGCACTGAAGCCGGTGCCGGCGTCCATGATGAGCGCCCAGAGTTCGGATGCGCACGAGACGCTGGAGATGAATAAACCATCGTCGTTACCCTTGTCAACGTGCTGTGCGATGCGCGAATTCGCCACGTTGTAGTGGTATCGTTGCTTCATCGGTCTGTGGGCGTTATAAATCGTGATCCACTGCTGAGCTGGGAGGCCGACGCGAACCTTTTTCTTCAGACGGTCCTTGTCATCCGTGTCAAACTGCATGTCTGAGACCTTACGCTTCATGCCAACCTTCTTCGCGCCCTCGGTGGAGATGGGTCGCCTTGCGACGGCACCGCACAAGGGCTCGAATAAAGCGGCCATGGCCCCGTACTTCGGCTCCTCGTCAAACTTCAGGTTGATTACCGACTCCATAAACTGCCTGAACGCGCTCGGCGTGTAACGACACAGAGCTTCGGGACTCGTCGCCATCTTCTTTTTACACACGAGGAAGCCCTTGTTATCGCCCTGGTAACCTTGCCACGGCAAGCGACCCTTGAGAAGGAACAATAAAGTATAAGCAAGCGACTCCAAGTCGTCTCTGCGAGACGCCGTTCTACCGAGATGCGCGTGCACCGAGGCGTAACGAACCGTGCCCCGAAAAACATCTGGACGTTGGTCGTACTCCGTGTGTTGGTCGCAGATCGGATCACGCCAGCGCGTTCCTAAACCTAAGTCAACCAAGTACAACTTCTTCTCCGTGGGCGTTCCAGGAGGTCCGAGCAAAAAGTTTTCGGGTTTGATATCGCCGTGGACGAAACCTTTGCTGTGGAAGTTCTCCAAGATTGCCAGCGACTCCACGGCGATGCACGCCACCATCTCTTGCGACATGATCTGACCGTTTGCATTCCACTTATCCCACAGCGATGGCCCCAAGAGATCCATGACCATGACGTAGTAATCGCCTTGACTTCCTTTGAAGTGCACCTTGGGCACGCCCAGAATCCCTCCCAAGGAGTTATACACACTCCACTCGTACGGCGGTCCGTAATCGCATCCTTTGCTCGATCTATGTTCAAACTTAAGCGCCACCTGATTCGCGTTCGGCCCGGTCGTGCACGCCGGGTCCGTCGGCTTTAACCTCCGTCCGACGTAAACCTGACCGAATCCGCCTTTCCCCAATCGTCTCTCCACCACGTACATCGGCGATCCGCCGACCTGCGTCTGCGCTCGTTCAAAATCACGCGCGTACACGCAGTCAGTCACCACGCTCGTCGTCTCGCATCGCGCTCGATTCGCGCCCCCCGCGCGTGCGCCGTCGTCTCCCCGTTTGAACGTCTCGCGCGCGTCGAATCGCCCGCCTCGTCCTCCCCCATCTTCCCTCGTCGACGCACCCTATCGGGAATCGGCAGCGTGGACGGATCATCCACGTTCTTATCCCCGCCGTGCTCCCCCGATCGCTCCTCGCTCGGTTCGTCCATCGCGCGTCGAGATCACCGCCCGCGTCGCGTTCGACGCCCTCGACGCCCTCGACGCCCTCGACGCCCTCGACGAGATCGACCGTCGTCGCGAGGTCAAGCCTCCGTTCGCGTCGCTCGCTCGCGCGCTCGCTCGCTCGCGCGCGCGCGTGCGTGGGCGCGGTCGCGCGACGACGGTCGAGGGCGTCCGCCGCGTCGGCGCCGCGTTCCTAAACCCTAAACCCTGATGTCGTACTGTGCGTCTCGCACGCCCATCCGTCGATACATCGGTCCGATCGATCGATCGATCGCCGTGCGTGCGTACTGTACGCCCGTTCAGGGGATGTGATGGGAACGCGCGACGCGAGCGCGACGGGCGCGTCGACGACGGGCGCGCGCGCGTTCGAGCGCTCGATGCACACGCGCGCGTGTGTACTACAAACGTTCGCGCTATCGGCGCCGTCGAAGTGCACCGGCTACGGCTACGCTACAGATACGCGTCCGCGAGCGCGTCGAGCGATGCGCGATCGACGACAGAGCCGCCGCACACGACGACGACGATGGGTCTATCATCATCGGCTAAGCCGTTCACGATGCCTAATTCTGGCGTGTACACGGCCGAGAGCGCGGCACCGCACGCGGGCTCGACGAGGATGCGATGATCGTCGGCGAAGCGCACGCACGCGGACACCGCCTGCGCGTCGGTGCACGTCGCCGATCGAACGCGCCCCGGTCCGAGAGCGAGGCACCTCGCGAACACCGTCGGCGATGGTGACGCCGCACCGAGCGATTTCGCTACGCTTGTGATCGCCGGGAGCGTCGCGAGCTTCCCCGCGAGCACGGACGCGTTGAGAGAATCCGCACCGATGGTTTCCATGGCCACCACCAACGTCTCGTCCAACCATCCCGCCCTTTCGACCCCTCGCAGGCATCCCGCGAGGAGTCCACCGCCACCAACGCACGTCACGATCGCCGCCGGCGACGTACCGCCCAAATCTTCCGCAATCTCATCGACGAGCGTGGAGTGCCCATCCCACGTGTCCTCGCCCTCGAACGGGTGCACGAGCGCCGCGCCCGTGGAGGTTGCGCGCTCTACCGCCGCCTCGTTCGCCTCGCTCCACTGCGCCCCGCGAACGATGACGTCTGCACCGTACGCTCGTAATAAACCCCTCACGCGCTCGGGCGTCGTCTCCGGGACGAAAACCTCGACGCCGACGCCGAGCTCGCGTCCCGCGTGCGCGGTCGCCAACCCAGCGTTTCCCCCGCTCGAGCTCACCAACGACTTCGCACCGTCGCGATGCACCGCCAGAGCGCACGTGCGTCCGATACCCCGAAGTTTGAAGGACCCGCTCGGCTGCGCGGATTCAAGCTTGAGCAAAACGTCCCGCTCGGCGAGCGCGCTCAGCGCATTCGATCGCACGAGCGGCGTCCGCACGTGTAGGTCCGGAACCTCCTTCACAGACTTGATCGGACGCGCGAGCGACGACGCCATAACGAACATCGACAGCGGGGCGGTGAGATCGCTGGACGCGCGACGAAATATGTCGTCCGCGCGTTTCCGCTCACCCAGCTCTGCTCCGCGCTCTCGCGCGCGCCTCGGCGCGCTTCTTCGTCTGCGAAAAAGCCACACCTTCGCGCTCGAGCCAACGAATAAAATCATCGCGCGATATTTTAATCCCAAATTTTCGCGCCTTGATCAACGCGTCGTCGACGTCGAGCGATCGCATCAGTAACGCGTCCTCGTGCGCCGCGACGTCCGAGCGCAACCAACCGACCAAGGCGTCGTCTCTCGTTTCCTCCTCGCGCGTCTCTCCCGTCTCACGACTCGCGCTCGGTCGCGAACCATTCACGACGATCGACTCCACCGCGCGCTTCCTCCGTAAACGCTCTAGAAGCGGCGCCACGTCTTCATCCTCGTCGCTCGCCGCCACCCGCGCCTCAACCGGGGACGTCGTCAGGTCCACGATCTCCCTCTGCCCGCGATCGCTCGATCCGGCGTTCACGCCGTCGTTCGATACCGGCATCACGCGTCGATGCTCGCGCGCGCGGCGCCGATCACGGCGTCACGACCGCGAGCGACGCTCGAATGTTGGATTGCGCTGCACGCACACGCTCGAGAAACGCACACGTCACCGCACTTTGCGCATCCTCGAGCGAGCACCGTCGCGCGCCGTCACCGCGAAACGCTTCGAACGCGTCCTCCGAGCGTTCGCGAGCGCGTCGATCGCGTCGAGCGTGGAGGAATAGCGCGCACATCGAGGGATGCGTGCGAGCTCGTGCGCGCGCGCGGTGGCGCTCGCGACGCCGACGCCGCGCCGAGCGCGATGCGCGCGCGGACGACGCGTCGCGCGATCGGCGCTGGAGACGGGTAAGCCCGAGACGAGAGATCGAGACGCCAAGCGCGCCAAGGAGGCGCTGAAACGCGAAGAGGCGGATGACGAGGCGCTGCGCGTCAGGGACGTCGTCGACGGCGTCGGCGCGGTGGTCTTCAAGCACGAGAATCGACGGACGTTTGAGGTGGAATACGGTGCGAAGAAGGGTTCGAGTGAAAATGCGTACGTGATCGAGGGCGGCGAGGCGTCGATGTTGGTGGACACGCCGGACGGGACGCACGCGCGAAATTACGCGGCGGCGATCGGGACGTTCGGGGCGAGCGCGAGAGACGCGGCGTATCACGCGATGTTACACGTCGCGCCGCGGCGGTTGGACGCGCTTGCGGCGGCGATTGCGAATCGAGGACCGGAGGCGGCACCTGTGGAGGTTTTGTGCACGAATCCTGGAGCGCAGTTGATTCAGCAGGCGTTGAAGGCTGAGTCGCCGCTGGCGAACGAGCGATTGATCGAGGCTTGGAAGAACGACAAGGGGAAGTTGCGCGCGCGATTGCGCGTGGTGCGAAATGGGGAAAGTATCGATCTCGGAGGACGTACCGTGCGATTCACGCTCGCGCCGACGCCACGATGGCCCGATTTGATGTTCGTTCGGGACGAGAAGACGCAGGCGCTCTTTACGTCTAAGTTTTTCAGCGCGCACACGGGACAGGCGCCGGGATTGACGGATGAGGGCGGGTTCGAGGCGTTCGGGGAGGATTGGAGATTTTACTTCGATTGTTTGCTCGCGCCCATGTCCAGGCAAGTGGATCCTCTCCTGGCGCGTCTGCCGCTCAAGGAGGAGCAGCTCGCTAAGGCAAGCGCGCCCGTGATGAAGGATAAGAGAAACATGTTCGAGCGCATGTTGAGCGTAAAAAAGCGCGAAGAGCCGGTAGGAGCCGAGATCGACCTCTATGAAGGCTTGGCGAGCGCAATTTTCCCCTCGCACGGACCGATGGTTCTCTCGTCCGTCACGGAGCTGTATCGCGAGTACAAAGAGTGGGCCGCAAAGGCCGAGGCCTCGGCGGAGTCCGCGTCGGTGGCCATCATCTACGCGAGTGCGTACGGGAATACGGGTGCGATGGCTCAGGCCATCGCGCGCGGCGTCGCCAAGACGGGCATACGTGCCGAGATGTTCAACTGCGAACTCGCGTCTCCGTCCGACGTCAGAGAAGTACTCAAACGCAGCGCCGGCTTCGCACTGGGCGCGCCAACGCTCGGTGGGACGCTTCCGACTCCGGTTCAAACCGCTCTCGGGGAGATCGTCAAGGATGGCGATCTGGAGAAGCCGTGCGGCGCATTTGGTTCGTTCGGCTGGTCTGGTGAGGCGGTTGGCATGATTGCCGACCGTCTCAAGGATGCAGGATTCAAGTCCGCGTTCGAACCGTTGAGATGCAAGTTCAAACCGACGAGTGAGACGCTTCAGCTATGTGAGGAGAGCGGGACGGATCTAGCGCAGGCAGTTCGGCAGAAGGCGCGTCGTAAACAAGTGCTTGATCGGAAGTTGTCCCCGACGTCCTTCGCCGCCGGCAATGATGTCGACGCCGCCGTCGGTCGCATCGTCGGTTCGCTTTGCGCCGTCACGACGAAGAAGGACGAAACTCAGAGCGCCATGCTCGCGTCTTGGGTATCGCAGGCGAGCTTCAACCCTCCCGCGATCACGGTAGCCGTGGCCAAGGATCGCGCTGTGGAGAGCTTCCTCATGACGGGCGGCAAGTTCAACCTCAACGTCCTCAAGGACGGCGACGAAAAACAAGTCGTCAAGGCTCTACTCAAGCCCTTCGCCCCAGGAGAGAACCGTTTTGGCGATCTTGACGTGGACATCTCCGAAAATAACGGCTGCGCCGTCGTCAAGCGCGCCCTGGCGTGCGTTGAGTGCTCTGTAGTCAGGCGCATGGAAGCCGGCGACCACTGGGTCGTGCTCGCCGAGGTCGAGACCGGCACCCTCCTCGACGCCGACGGCCTCACGTGCATTCATCATCGCAAGACTGGGGTTTCTTACTAGTACTCGCCGCTCTTCGGCGCTCGTGTAATCGTTCACCTCACAACCCGCGGTCCCGCGCGCGACGTCCGAGCATAGGGGACTGTAGACGGGTCGCGTCTCGAGAAGAAGGAGACCGCGGATGGTGCCCTCAATCCGCCCCTCGCGCATCGCCTCACGAGCGCGTGAAAGGCCTCAAGCGCGCGCGTGTGTTCGCGGCGTGCGCTTTGACGCCCACGAGCGCCCGCAAAGCGCGGAAACGACGCGCGCACGACCCCGAAGAAAGTGAACACCAAACATGGGCTTCAAGGAGTTGATGAAGGACTCCATCACGGAGATGTTCACCTACCGCACGACCAAGCTTGTGAAGACGAACGATCGATTCTTAGTGACGCTGCACTTCATATTCATGTCGCTCATCGGGACCTTCGCGCTGGTGTCGATCCTGCTGTCGCATAATTACATGGTGTTCGAGCTCCCGTCGCTGTACACGAACCTGGGGTATAAAAACTACGGCGATATTGTGACGGTGAACGAGGCGTACAACCAGCAGATCGCGAAGAATTCCACGGAGGCGTACTGTAAAACGGGATACGTGAACTGGAGGCGGTCGAATAAAATTTTTGACGACGCGTTCATGACGGGCGTTGACTGCGTGTCACACTATCGTCCAGAGGAGTACGTGTGGCCGTTCGAGGATGGTCGAGGTCTTAGGATCGGTACTTTTGAGGAGGTTATTCGTCTGACGAGAACGTGTGCGAATACCGCGGCGAGCACGATCACGGACGCGGATTGTACCACAGGTACGGTGGCCAGCACGCATAGGAATATGATTGCGGGCGCCGACCTCATGACGATTCCGTTCAGCATCAGATTCCAACTGCGCAAAGGATCTTTAGACGATGTGGATTACGTGTATATCGATGGCGAAGAGATTTCGGTGATGGACACCGATCCAACGACGACGCCGACGAAACTGCTACAGATGGCAGGGATCAACTCACTTGACGAAGAGAACTCATACATCGTCGGCGACCGTGGTTCAGTGACGGGCTTGCCGTATCGCCTCTCCGGCATACGTTTGAACGTTAAAGTCGTATTCACAAATACGTACTTCACTAAGCCGCTGAAAACGACCAAGATTGCGACTCTGTCCGTGGAACAAGTGCCTGCGGACTTCTTCAACCAAAAGAAGACAGTTGAATACCACCGAACCTCAAACGGCGCTGATTACGAGAAAGAGCGCGTTATTCACACTTGGTCGACGATGACGATCGCATTCGTACCATCGGGCGCGATCGGTCAGTTCGATTTATTCGCTTTAGCCTTGGCCATTACGAATGCGTTCGTTCTTATCGGTATGGCGACGACCATCGTGGATTTCGTCGGCGTCATGTCCTCGGAAACATTTTTGGATGACAAGTACGAAGACGATGGTGAACGTCTCGGTTTAGAGATGATGTTGGCGAATATCGAGGGAGATGACCATCCCGGAGTGCCGTTTGACCCCAACGATCTGCGTCTGAAGGATGCGTCGGGACAGCAAGGTTTGAGTTATGAAAAGACGTTGGAGCAGTTGTTGGAGGAGGTTAGAGAAATTCAGGAGCAATTGAGTCTGCTTCCGGAGGACGAGGCCGAGCTTCGCGCTATCACCACGGGAAAAGCTGAGCCCGATGAATACAGAAAGCTGCGTTTGGTGTACATTCCAGACCCGCTGTCCACGGAGGCGAACGACAAGAAATATGTACCTCCCGAGATCATGTTACACGACGGCATGCAAACCATCGGTCGAGGCATGGGTGGGGTCGACAACAAGGGCGTGAGTCGTCAACAATTCTCCATAGCTGTCGTCAAGGAACGAATAAGAATGAAATCTCTGCACGAGGGACCCGGAATCTGGCGCCAGAGCACTGGACGCTGGCAGTCGCTCCAGGTGGGCAAATCCGCAGTCCTGAGCGTGGGCGACCGTCTGTGCTTCCGTATGCGCGAAGGGAAGATGGGAGGTCACGAAGGCGTGTTTGCTCTCGATTACCAAGACAGTCGCGCGGAGTGCACCGTTTTCGGGATTCCCTTTCGATGAGAAAGTCGTGTAATTTAATTTATTTATAGCCAGTGTACGGGTACCTGACCTAGTCAAAATCACACCTCATTGTAGCGACTCTTCGCTTTAAACTTATCGTCTGGGTTTGCTACAACAAAATACTATGGCATCTCTATTTTTGTACATTCGAACACAGTTCCTGGATCGTCCCGATCGTGCCTAAAAATCCTAAAGAATCTCCGCCAAGGCGCAACGACGCGCAAGGGCTTTGTTCGAACCACCGATAGCAGTACCAAGTCAAGGTTGCAAGTGGATGTGATACGTGTGCGGAAAACAGGAAAATCTTGAAAGAGAAGCTTGCGCTTCCACTTATTCATCCATCATTTCCAACTTTCTCCTCTCCTTCTTGCTCAACTTGACTTGGCCGCCGGTGCGTTCGAACTCCTCTCGCTCGAGGCGCGATTGCTTCTTCGCCTCCTTTGCGGCGCGCCGCGACTCCTTTGCCGCTTGCTTTTCTCGCTCGTGATCAGCCATGAGCTCGATCGCCGACTTTTGACGTGCGACTTCGTTCTTCTTCTTCGCCTCGGCCTCACTCAAGATGCCTTGTCCGAACGACTTGATCGTCCCGTTCTACGTTTACATATACAACTTTCCGTTAGTCCATCATTCACGGCAAAACCCCTATCCGCGTCATCAAAGATGTCGAAAGCTGACTCAGCGTGCCGAGGGCGAACTCCTGAATCGCGCGTCTCGCGCCCCCGTCGACGCGCGCACGCTTCTCAACGCGTCCCGACCCTCAAACAGATTATTGTCGCGTCGCTTTAACCTACCGCGATGTGCTGTTGCACCTCGTACGCGTTCACCTGCTGCGATCGTTGCATGTACGCGAAGACGGCGAGCTGCTCGTCCGCGGTAAGGCCGTGGTGATCGAGCGAGGCTTGGACGTTGACCGACATTTGCAAGACGTAGAGTTTGTTTGAGAGTTGTGTGTTTGTTTTAACGCTTAAATCTTAAGCGTTGCGAGCGTCGTCTTTGGTGATCGACGAACGACTTGAGAGCGTTGGGTAATGTCGACGCGCCCTTTTCGCGCGGTCCCGTTGTCGTGGTGGGAAAGCTTTATCGCGTGAAGACGGGCGATGTGCTCCTATTTTAGTATTCGTTAAATCGTAAAAGTTTCGAGGTGAAAATTCGACGTGGCAAAGGTACGCGCGCTCCCGCGAAAAGATGCTCAAATATAGTAACGATGTTTTGACTATATATTGAGGATCTTCGAAGATCCACCCTCGAGATTGTGATGATCAATGTCACATTCTGAGTAATATACTACATTCGCGGATTACATGGGCATTTTCCATCTAGAATACTGGGAGGAGCGAGACGTCATCGCCTGGAGCGCCCGCACACGCGCCGCACGTCGACGCGCGCGCGCGATGGAGCGCGTCTCCGCGCGCGGCGTCGACGCCTCCGTCGTCGCCCGCGCCGTCGTCGCCGACGCGATCGCCAGAGAGCGTCCAGAGAGCGCGCGTGAGGAAGATGAAGACGTCGCGGCGGCGTCGACGCCGAGCGAACAACTGCTCGAGCGCTTGACGCGGACGTCGAGAGAGACGTCGGCGGAGCTCGACGCGGTGCGCGAGGCGTTGGAGACGATAGATGGAAGCGTGGACGCGCTTCGGGTGGCGATCGGACGGAAGCGGGCGGAGGGATTGGAGAAGAAGTTGCGGGAACAGGCGAAGGCGATTCGGGCAGCGGAGAGAGCGGCGCGCGAGGAGCGGGACGCGGTCGAGCGTCGGAAACGGTCGAACGAGGAGACTAATGGGACCACGAAAAGAGGCGTGATCGATCTGACGTCCACGAGCGCGGTGAGCCGGGGGATGGAGGTAAAGAACGCTCCAACTAAGAAGACAACTGTGAAGAAGGCGGCGCCAAAGGCGGACGACGATTTTTTTGACGATCTCTTCGACGCGTCCAAAGGTGCAGCGACGGAGACAGAACGCGAGCGGTTGATTCGTATCGGTGTTCTCACACCGTTTGATCGATTGGAAGGGTTTGAGCGCGCTGTGAAGGAGCGTGAGTCGTCGAGCAAGGCGGCGGCGGCGACCGCGGCGTGGCGCGAGTCGAGAAATAAGACGAAGACGTTGACCGCCGAGGAAATGCCGCGTTTGGAAGCGAACGCACGACCGTTCGCTAGTAGGGCAACGCGAAATGCGACAAGTGAGTCGACGAAGAAACAGATGGCCGAGCGACGAGCGGAGTGGAAGGCGAAGATGCTCGAGAATGACGGCGCCGTCGCCGGGAAGCGAACACGACAAAGCGGACGCACAATGCATGACAGCGACGAAGAATACGCGAATTACGAGGAGACGGCTGAGGAAGATAGAAACGTCTCGGAAGAGGTCGAGTTTGCGGGCGGTTTATCCATTCCGGGCGACACGTACGAGCGTTTACTTCCACATCAGAAGACGTGCCTGAAATGGCTGTGGGAGCTCCACTGCCAACGCGCCGGAGGTATCATCGGCGACGAGATGGGACTCGGAAAAACCGTTCAAGTCTCGTCGTTTCTTTGTGCGTTGCATCACTCAGGGATGTACTCCCCGTCGATCATCGTATGTCCGGCGACGATGCTTCGACAGTGGCGTCGTGAGCTTCGAATCTGGGCGCCCAAGCTTAAGGCGACGATATTACACGATTCAGCAATGTCGAGCTCGTCCGGGAAGACGAAGGCGCGCGAGCGCGAGCGTGTGTTCGACATGTGCGTGCGCGATGGCGACGGTATCCTGGTGACGACATATGAGCAGATGCGTTTATTTCGAGACAAAATATGCTCCGTGCGATGGGGGTATGCCGTGTTAGACGAGGGGCACAAAATTCGAAATCCGGATGCGGACATCACGATCGTCTCCAAGCAGCTGCAGACGGTCCATCGCATCGTCATGAGCGGTGCTCCGATTCAAAACAGATTATCTGAGCTCTGGTCGCTCTTTGATTTCGTATTCCCCGGGAAACTTGGGACTCTACCCGTGTTTCAAGCGCAGTTCGCGGTACCGATTCAAATAGGCGGGTACACCAACGCCAGCAACCAACAGGTGACGACTGCCTATCGTTGCGCAGTCACCCTGAAAGATCTCATCGCTCCATATCTTTTGCGCAGAATGAAGTGTGACGTGGACGTAAAGCTTCCCGAGAAGACGGAGCAGGTTCTCTTTTGTCCAATGACACAGGAACAGCGCGAGGCGTACCGAGCGTACCTGGCCAGCCGCGAAGTGGAAGAGATTCTGGATGGATCGCGCGAGGCTCTCGGCGGAATCGACGTTTTGCGAAAGATTGTCAATCACCCCGACTTGCTGGAGCGTCGCACGCAGGCAGCAAGCGAAGAGTACGGTGACGCTTCGCGAAGCGGTAAGCTCCAGGTGACGCTTAAGGTGCTTTCCCTCTGGCGCGAGCAGGGCCATCGATGCTTGGTTTTCAGCCAGACACAGCAGATGTTGGACATCCTTGAGGCCGCAGTCGCTCGAGCGGGATACAGTTACCGCCGTATGGACGGAAACACCTCGATAGGGATGCGCATGTCACTCATCGATGAGTTCAATGACAACGACAAGGGCATCTTCGTATTCCTGCTCACGACCAAAGTCGGAGGCTTGGGAGTCAATCTCACCGGCGCTAATCGCGTCATGTTATTCGATCCGGATTGGAATCCATCCACGGACGCGCAGGCACGCGAGCGCGCCTGGCGCATAGGGCAACAGAAAGAAGTCACCGTCTATCGACTCATCACCGCAGGCACGATCGAGGAGAAGGTGTATCACAGACAAATTTACAAGGAGTTTCTTACGAGCAAGGTGCTCAAGGATCCAAAACAGCGTCGGTTCTTCAAGGCTCGCGATATGGCGGATCTCTTCACGTTCGATGAAGTCGCGTGCGGCGGCGGTGGAGACGAATCGAAGGGCACTATTGAAACGGTCGAACTCTTTTCAGAGGTCGAGGGCCAAATTTTGCGCGGCGACGTCGAGGAATCCGTCATCTCAGAAGAAGGGGCAGAGGACGGTGAGGTCGAGCACGGTGAATGGGATCCAAATGATAATCATGCGCCGCCAAAACGCACGGCGAAGAAGATCGACGGCCACAGGGTGCGAGTGGAGACGGCGCGCGATCCGGATGCCCATGTAAATGGAGACAGCGGCGCAGGTGACGCGCAGATTTTGCGCGGCTTATTCGATTCCGGCAACATCCAGGTCGCGATGAATCACGACAAGATCATGGGCGCAGCTGGTGTTGATCGCATGGCTCACAACGCCGAGGCCGAGCGCGTCGCTCGAAGGGCGGCCGAGGCGCTCCGATTATCGGCGCAAAGCGCTCGCGCTGGATTGGCGGTGCATGTCCCCACTTGGACGGGAAACCGCGGTGCCGTGCACTCCACCGCACCGAGTGCATCTGTCGTGCGTCCGCTCGGACGGTTTGGGCGTACGAGCATCCAATCCCGCTCGAACGATTCGAGCACCGCCGCGTTGGGCTCTCGAGCGCTCCTCGAGCGCATCGCCGCTCGAAGAGAGGACAACGCTCGTGCTGTCGAGGCCGATCTCGAGAGCTCCGAGCTTGACGAGACGCAGGCGAATGACATGATGCGAGACATTATCCTTCTGCTCAAATCTCGGGGCGGTCGCGCGTCGACAAGCTTCGTCATCGATGCTTTTCAGGACCGAGTGCAGAGCCATCAGCACGCGCTATTCCGCAAGCTCCTCAAGCTCGCCGCCGACCTCGAGCGCTCACCAACGAGCTCGCGCGAGGGCTCCACAAGCTCTTGGGTGCTGAAACAAGAATTCGCCGATCTATGAGACGATCGCGCGACTAGCATAGACCATAGATTAGGCACATTGTAGAACGACGACGACGACGACGACGACGACGACGACGCACGTTCGACCGCCTGAATGTGTCCGACCACGACGTCTCACACCTCCGCACACCGAGCCGCGCGCGAGCGCGCGAGCGCCCTAGCGGCGAGTGCGCACGTAACCGAGACTCTTCGACTCGTCGAAATGCGCGCGCTCTTGCCGGAGCCGACCCCACGGGTCGCTCTCTGGACCTTTGCGCTGTTTCTGTTACACTTCCACCTCTCAGAGTTCATCCTCGTCGTGCGGTTCAATCCGCGCTCGGCGGGTCTCCGCTCGCTGTGCCTCTCGCGCTCGTACTGCGTCGCCATGTCGCTCGGCGTGCTAGAGTTTTACGTCGAGCACGCGATGTTGGGAGAGCTCAAGGAGCGGTGGACAGCTTCGGCGTACGGCTTCGGCGTCTTCATGTGCGTCTTCGGCGAGTGGTTGAGAAAGTCGGCGATGATCACGGCGGGGACGAGCTTCACGCACGAGGTGCAGACGAGTAGACGCGCAGCGCACGTGTTGGTGCGGGATGGAGTGTACGCGCACGCGCGACACCCCGGATATCTGGGATGGTTCATCTGGGCGGTCGGGACGCAGGTGATCATGGCGAACGCAGTGAGCGCGTTGGCGTTTGCGATCGTGACGTGGCGATTTTTTAAGCGTAGAATTGCATTCGAGGAGATGATGCTGCGAGAGATGTTCCCGGATTACGACGTGTACGCGAAGAGGACGAGGACATGGATACCATTCATCAAGTGAGGTGCGAGGGAGAAGACAGGCGAGGCATGACGTCTATTAGCGAGTCAGTGCCACAGCGATCATAGCAATACAGAATTACGTATTATACCTAGTCGTTTTAGGAGATTTTGACGAAGCGTTCGGCGCCGTTGGTCGCGATTGTTGCTCCCTTTGCGTTTCGTGCAAAATCATTTCCGCTGAGCTCACCTTCGCAATCGATGAGTTCGACGCCGTATCGCCCGTTCCCGATCACCCGCGACTTACTCATGTTTATCACGGCGCCGCCTCTGATCAATAATCCATCCTGCGCGTTGTCTTCAAACGAACATCGCGAAATATTTGCCACCCCGGTGCCCGGCAACCCGCTAGAGTCTCCCAAACCGACAAACCCGTGCGTGGCGCACCCTCTCGCCGAACACTCAACGAGCTCCACCTGTGCACCTTCGACACCAAACCCAGACCCTGTCGACGATCGCACGTCGCACTTTTCGAACGTCGCGTTCGCTCCCTCGACGACGAAGATACCGTAGTTGTTCGCCACTGACTTGCTCGAGTGCTCCGCGTCGATCCCTCTGACGATCACCTTCAGACCCCTGATTTCGATCGCGCTCTCGTACGGTCGCGTCGTGACGTGTCGCACGAGCGCTCTCCCCTCCCCCACTGCCTCGATCGTCACCCCGTCGACGTCGACGACGACGCGTTCTTCGTATGTCTCGCCCGCCGCCAACTGCACAACGTCACCGTCCCTCGCCATCGACAACGCGTGCGCGATCGTCTGACACTCGCTCGACGGTACGCGAAATACCATCGGCGTCGCGCTCGCCTCGTCCCGCACCGCGATCACGGACGCGAGCCCGACGCCGACGATCGCGTCGCGTCGACGAGCGCTGTGCGCATCAGAACGTCTCTTCGTATCGCCCCGCGACGCTTCGCACCGCGTCGATCGACCGACGCCTCGCCGCCCGCGCGTCGACCGGTAATTAAGCCGAACCGCGGCTCCCGTCGTGCGCGTCATCGCGTCGTCGCGTCGTCGCGCAGCGAGTCGAACACTGCGGACACGTCGTCACTCGCGACCTTTCACAGGGTTTGGCGCGCGGCGTCCATCAGCCGACGCGCTTCCCGCACACGTCGACGCTTGCGCGCGCTCGATGCCCGCGACGTCGACGAACACGACCTTGATCGCCACCACCCGCGTCGCGCGCGCGCACGACCGCGCGCGCGCGCCGCGACGCACGCAGACGTCGTCATCACCGCGGGTTCGCGTCGAGCCCTTCTCGACGCACTCTTCGCCCGCGCGACGCTTCGCGGTCGTCCCGAACGCCGGAAACTCATTCGGGAGAATCTTCCGCGTCACCACGTTTGGCGAGTCCCACGGCGGGGGCGTCGGGTGCGTCGTGGACGGCGTTCCACCGAGATTGGCGCTGACTAGGGAGGAGTTGCAGTTTGAGCTCGACCGAAGACGCCCAGGGCAATCGAGAATCACGACGCCGCGTAACGAAGAAGATTCGTGCGAGATTCTGAGCGGTGTTGGGTTAGATGGGATCACTCTCGGGACGCCGATCGCGGTGGTGGTGCGGAACAAGGACCAGCGAAGTCAGGACTATGGCGAGATAGCGGTGGCGTATCGACCGTCGCACGCCGACGCGACGTACGATATGAAGTACGGCGTTCGGGCGATCGCTGGGGGTGGACGAAGCAGCGCGAGAGAGACCATTGGACGTGTTGCGGCCGGGGCGATCGCAAAGAAGGTTTTAAAGGAAGTCGCGGGGACGGAAATTTTGGCGTACGTCAGTGCAGTACGAGACGTCCAGGCGACGAACATCAATCATGAGACGATGACAATGGCGGACATCGAGGCGAACATGGTGCGGTGCCCCGATGAAGGGTGCGCACAGAAGATGATCGACGCGATCGACGAGGTGCGCGTGCGAGGGGACTCGTGTGGGGGGGTGGTGACGTGCGTCGTACGCAGCCCGCCACGCGGGTTGGGTGCGCCGGCGTTCGACAAACTCGAGGCTGATTTGGCTAAGGCTATGCTCAGCTTGCCCGCGACGAAAGGTTTCGAGATTGGCAGCGGATTCGAAGGCACTTTACAAAAGGGTAGCGAACACAACGATGAGTTTTACATGGATAACTCGAAGGGCTTGCGCACGCGCACCAACCGCTCAGGCGGGATCCAGGGTGGGATCTCTAACGGTGAGATGATCGAGATGAAGATCGCATTCAAGCCCACGTCCACGATCACGCAAGCGCAGAACACAGTGAACCGCGATGGGCAAGAGGATATCCTAAAGGCGAAGGGCCGGCATGATCCGTGCGTCGTTCCGCGCGCCGTGCCGATGGTCGAAGCCATGGTCGCCCTCACACTCGTCGATCACTTGATGCTTCAACATGCGCAGTGTAACTTGATCGGCGCCAGTGATCTTACCAACCTCGTCCAGGGTAACATGCCGACGTTATACGATGCCAACGCCATCGCAGCTGCAGCGGAGAACGCTAAGGGGAAGATGGACACCAAGGCTATGTCGGACGCTTTCAGCGAGGATTAATTTTTTAATGCAGTTCGTTCTAACTAACGCGTAACGCGATCCATCTGTCACGCACCCTTCTCTTTCTTCTCTCTCTTTTCCTTCTTCACCTTCTTCTCCTTCTTCTCCTTCTTTGGCTTCTTTTCCTTCTCCGAGACGTCCTTGTGCTTTCGCTTCGCACTCTCCTTTTGCTTTGGCTCTTCGCCTCCAAACTCCTTCTCGAACGCGCCCATCATCGCGTCGGCTGTCTTCTGTTTGTTCTTCCACTGCTCTGGAGCCGCTTTGAATTGCGTTACGCCGAGTCGACGCATGAGGAACGGACCGTGTCGCGTCGCGTTCAGAGGTCCCTCCTGTCCCGCGAGTCCGCTCAGGATGAGCTCTTTCCCTCGTGCATCGGCCTCGCGGTAGCACGCCTCGAGAACATGCGAGCCGACGGGAGATAAACCGAGCTGTGCCCAACGACCGTTTAGCTTGCCGATGAACTCCTTCTTCAGGTTGACTTTGATGGTGGTCGAGGCAAGGAATGCCTCTACGGCGCGAGAGCCGGCACTGTCTTGGCACACCTTGAACACTTCGACGTCCGTCATGCTCACCATACTTTCAGAAAACATGGGAATGCAATCCGAGGTGAATTTGAACAAGGTTTGGAACATCGCACTACCCAGAACCGAGCACTTGCCGTAATTCGGCGTGTCGAGCCAGAACAAAGCGGGCGCGAGCTGTGAGCGCCCTTCTTTTCTCGCCTCCATCTTGAGAGTCAGACCTCGAGCGAGAGCCTTGGCGGCGTCTTTTTCGCTAGTTTTAAGTCGTGCACACGCAGCGAGCGTGGCCGCGACGACGCCAGAGCGCCTCTCGTGGAGTAAGGTACCAAAAACCTGCGAGAGCTCGCTGAGCGAGCTCGATACGTGCTCCGGATCCTTCGTCGCCCCCAAGAACGCCTGAAGCACAAAGTTCGACACCGGGTGCTTGGCCGTTGAAATCAACTTATCTCGGAAGAATCTTCTGTAGATCTCGTTGAACAGCCCTTTCGGAGCGACGGCCAGGATGGTCTCCATGAGGTGCGATCCCGAGCGCGACTGCATCATATTCTTCACGTCCCATTCCTGCGCGTCGACGAGAAACTCGCCCTCGTTCGTCCCCTCCGCCGGCGCGCATCCGAGGAGCCCCGGAATGATCCAGTTCAAAGCCTCGTCGTCGCCCTCGTGCGCCTTGAGTAGGGCTTGAAGCAAAGCGCTCCCGCATGTGTCCTCCACTAAATTCCACAGCTCGGGCTCGAGCGCGGCGAGCATGGCGTCCGAAAATTTTCGCAGCTCCTCTTCGAATCTGTAAGACGTGTTCAAGGACGCCGAAAATTTCCCCGCCGACGATGTCCCACCACGAAGCTTATCGGCCAAGCTCTTCCCGTCGCTTGCCTTGCCTCCGTTTCTTCCGCTTGGCGCGCCGGTCGACGCGTCGGCGCCACCCTTGTCGCCCGCTCTTCCCGCCAAGAGCGCGAGAAACCGTCTCACGACCGGACTCGCACGCTTATCGAACGCCACGTCCACGGCGTTCTCCACCATCTCCCGCCCCATATTCTCGATGAAATCCTCTCGCAGCGTCTTCGCGAGCGCCTCCGCCTCCTCGTCCTCCGTCTTCAAATGCCGCTCTCGCAGCGTCCCCATCACCGTCTCCAGCGTCCTCGACCCGAACAACGATTTCGCCAGGACGTAAAACCCACCTCGATCCCCGTCCACGGACTCGCCGCACTTTTTCAAAAACGTCGCGCACGCCGCGCCGCTCGCCGCGCGCGCGCACGCCTCCAAAGTCCTCGAACACTTCGCATCCATCGCCAGCGCGCGTTCCTGTCCCTCCGCCCCCTCCAGCGCGTTCCCTCCGATCGCCTCGCGCTCGCGCGCCGCCGCCTCGACGTCCGTACGCGCGTCCAGCGCGTTCAACGCGCGGTCGATTTCGTCGTAATACGCATTCGCGTCCGCGTCGACGCGATATCGACGACCATCCGCCCCACACACGCTCCCATCGTACCCTGACTTGGCCGCCCGCGCGTCGCGCTCGCTCGCCGTCGGCGCCGGCATCGACGTCGTCCGTCGTCCGTCGTCGCGCGCGGCGGCGTCGCGCGTCGGCGGCGGCGGCGGGCCGTCGTCGCACACGCGGGTGTTTGTAAAACCCATACACGCGGGTGTTTGTAAAACCCGCGTGTGCGGCGGCGCAGGGGGCCTCGGCGCGCGCGCGCCCGCACACGCGCGCGCGCGATCGTCCGCGCGCACGCTCGGGTCCCGCGCCCGCGTCGAGGCTCGACGCTCTCGGCGCGGATCGATCGACGACGGTGGCGATGACGCTGAGCGCGATCGCGAGATTCGGCGCGATGCGCCTGGCGCCGGCGGGCGCGTCGAGGCTGAACACGCGCGCGCGCACGGCGTCGTCGACGAGCGGACGGGCGGTACACGCGCGACAGTACGTGCAGGCGGCGATCGCGGATGAGGTGGAGGAAGAAGCGCGCGTGACGGCGGCGACGCCGGGGAAGAAGCGGGTCGTCGTGCTCGGGAGCGGCTGGGGCGCGATCTCCTTCGTGAAATCGCTCGAGCAGTCGGCGCCGTACGACGTCACGCTCGTGTCGCCGAGGAATTATTTTTTATACACGCCGTTGCTCCCGGGAGCGGCCACGGGAGCGGTGGAGGATCGGTCGATCGTGGAGTCGATTCGGAGGCCCATCGCGAGCAAGGGGTACAGGTACTTCGAGGCGAACGCTTTGAGCGTCGATCCGGTACGGAAGACGGTGCGGTGCCGCGGGAGCGATCACACGTTTCAAGACGAGGATGATCTAGCGAAGAGCCAGGCGTGGAAGGAGTTTGATCTCGAGTATGATTACCTCGTCACCGCGGTTGGGGCGGTGCCCAACACGTTCGGCGTCCCAGGGGTGCAGGAGCATTGCATGTTCTTCAAGGAGATCGAGCATGCGGCGCGATTTCGACGGGAAGTCAACGAAAGGTTTGAGTGTGCGACGCTTCCGGGCGTGCCGAGAGAGCGCATTCAGCAGTTGTTGAAGTTCGTCGTCATTGGCGCCGGACCGACCGGTGTGGAGCTCGCCGCCGAGTTGTATGATTACGTGTACCAAGACGTGGCGAAGACTTTTCCCAGTCGTTTGCTCAAGGACGTGAGCATCGAGATCATTGACTTGCAGGAGAAAATATTGTCCACGTATGACAGACGGATCGCAGAGTACGCTACAGAATTCTTCCAACGCGCGAATATCAAGTGCATCCTCGGAGCTGCGGTGAAGGAAGTCAAGGACGGCGCCGTGGTCATCGCCGACAAAGACGGGAGCAACCAGCGCGAGGTGCCGTTTGGAATCGCGGTGTGGTGCACGGGTATCAAGCTCAACCCGTTTTGCGAGAAGTTGATGGATTCCTTGCCGGAGGGCGCGCAAGAGAACAAACGCTCGCTTGCGACGGATAAGAACCTTCGAGTCAAGGGGAGCAACGGTACCATTTTCGCCCTCGGGGACTGCGCCACGATTGAACGACCGCGATCTCTCGCCAAGGCTGAGGACTTGTACCGTGAAGCCGCTCGGTGCACACCCGATGGCGATTGCGAGATCGACCTGAGCAAGGAAGGCGTCAAGAAGGCTTTGAGACTTGGTTTCGACGAGTTCCCGCACTTAGAAGAGATTTGCGCCCGCATCGACGAAGAGTTCCCCAAGTTCACGCAGGGTTCCGATAGAATGATGTATCCTGAGTTTCGCAACATGCTCGAGGAGGTCGACAAGGGACTCCGCGCGCTACCGGCTACAGCGCAGGTTGCTAAGCAACAGGGTCAGTATCTCGCATCGTTCTTCAACGAATCCGCCGCAGACGATGAAAGACTTCAGCGTGGTGTCGCTAGATTCGATTACGTTCATAAGGGTTCGTTAGCGTACGTCGGAAAGGACGCCGCTGTCGCAGATATCCCGGGTTTCGGTATCCTCAAGGGGATCGCAGCCGGCTTGATTTGGAAATCTTTCGAAACAATTTCTCAGGTGTCTCCCCGCAACGTTCTTCTCGTCGCTGCAGACATGTTGAGAACAAAGATTTTCGGACGCGATATCTCTCGCCTTAGCTGAGCGCGCGTTTCGCTGAGAGCTGAACTTTAGCAAATTGTCAAGTAAATCGAGAAACATTCACATCTCAACTTTATTTAAACAGCGGCTTTTCTACTTCGCCTTTTTGGCGGTGACACGGGAGGCGTCGCGATCTTAGGTGCGACGTTCTCATCTTGCTCGCCGCTGGTCTTACTGGTCGCTCGCTCGACCGTTTCGTCGACTACGGCGTTCTCTTCGGTCGCTTCACCTTCACATTCCGGCAGGTTCGCTTCGTCTGTCTCAGCCAAAGCTTCGTTGGCGACATCTTCTTCCTCTTTCAGGATGACCGTCACTGCGACAGTTTCTTTACCTTCAGCCCTCGCTGAAACGTTGTAAGCGGCCGCGCGTTCGACGTGACTCTCGTTGAGCTTCGCCTCATACACCTCGATAAATTGCTTCGCCTCTGGTTTGGCCGCGCGTTTCTGCTTTTGACACAACGCGATGAACGATGCATGCACCTCGTGGTCGTAGAGCGCAGCTTCGTATTGCTTCCAAGCTTCTGTGAATTTCTTGAACGCCTTCTCGCTGAGGTTGAGCTGTGATATGCAGAACGCGATGTCGCGAGCCGGTTTCGGTGTTTCTGCGAGCACAGCTTCCGCGAATCTTGCGCACATCTTCTCGCAGAGCGATTCAGCCTGGCGTTCCTTGTCGATAAAGCCGACCAGACGAGTCATGATACGCTTGAAAGCGTCGGGTGAGATGTCCTCATCTGTGGACAGTCTGGACAACAAGTCCGTGAGTAGATTGTACACTGGGTTGCCGTGCTTCTGAGCCAGTTCATGGAAGAATAATTTCGCAACACCCGCAACTCTGGGATCGGGATCTTCCAAACATCGAGCCATCTCGCTGATGTGACCCTTTACCTTCATCATATCGTTCAACACCAAGTGAGACAGCACCGTGATGGCGTGCTGCCGGACGCCTGCGTCAGTGTCATGGAGCGAGTTGCCCCATTCTCTAATACCGTATAAGTGTTCGGTCCACGGCTCGACAGCGTTCGGGAAGCGGAAGGCCAAGTCTCCGAGAGCGACAATAATCGCGGCGCGAGTTCCCTTGTCAGATTCAACCTTGAGACGAGCGAAGATCAACTTGAGATGATCCTCGCAGAATTTGACGTCGAGAACCATGAAACGCGTGAGGGCAGCCAACGCAGCGCCTCGAAGAAGCTCGGGGCCTTGCACGACGGCGGGATGAGAGCAGAGCTGCACTACGAACGGGGCATAGATTGCGATCAATCCATGCGCGGCACCCTTCATGGCGAGAAGCTCGGACTCGACGCGCTCGCGAGTGTTATCGAGAAGGAGATCCTCGGTGACGGCGCCTTCGCCCATAGCGGCAGCCAAATCGTTGTCATCGCCCTCGCCGTTTTCCTTCGCCTCGACAGCCTTTCGGTCTCGCTCGATACGTGCCATGCGCACCGAACGAGCAAGCTTTTCAATGTGCACGAGGTGTCGCAAAGACACTTCACCGAGCACAAAGAGGAATCGCGCGAGCACGGCGGTGGGGATCTTATCCAAAGAGTTTCCGCTGAAAGTCGCAGTGGCGAAAGCCTTGATAATCTCCGAGAACGTGTGCTCAGGGTCTGGATGAAGAGAGTAGAGAGCCGAAATCGCTTGTTCGGCGGAGGGGAACCACGCGCGTCCAGCGAGCGGTGCCGCGGGGTGGAGAACCTTTGCAAGCTCCGCGAACACAGGATGGCCGCGTTCCAACGGTTCGCCATCCTTGGCACGAACAACCGTCAGCGCACAGCATGCGGCTCGACAAAGAGTAGGCGACTTCTTTTCACCTGAAAGTGACGCCTCGATGGCGGCGCAAACCGTACCGATATGACCTCTGACGATTTCCGGGTTCGTGCGCGCGCACATAGTGAGAACGTTTATTGCCGCAGCCTTGCGGTTATTGGAGCACTCGCTGCTTGAGACCGTCGACCAGAGCGCCTTAGTCACGGCACCGTTCGAAGGAAGTCGCTCGGAAAGGACGAGTGCCTTGAGAACATCCTCCAGCGCTGCGAGCTCACCGAGAGCCGCCGTTGCGGCGAGTTCGCTCAGGCCAGCTGCAGCGACGAGTGGGCTTTCGGCGTTTGAAAGATAGAGGACATCCACAGCTTCGACGACGGCGTCCTTGATGACTTGGTCTCGCGAGAAAATGAGTCCCAGCAGGCGCCGAATGCCTTCCGTTGAGCCATCGACGTTGAACTGGCGCATGCGCACTAGCAAACCGATCGCCTCAGTCACGTCAGACGCCACAGACGACGTGAGTAGATTGCAAAGAATAGCCACGGTACCAGAGAGCTGGACGGTGAATCCAAGCGCGGTCTTGAGGGCAGCCACCATCGTTCGAACAGCTTCAATGCCACCGCCGAGGTGCACGGCAGCATTCGCGTCGCCCTCGGTCGGAGCGTTCTGCGCCTTCTGAGGAGCATCAGGATGTTTCACTTCTTCCACTTCCTCATTTTCGTCCGCCGGCGGAGTCATGGACGCGAGCTTCGCTTCGTAGTCCTTCAACGACTCGGCAAAGGTCGCACTTGGCAACTGCGGAGCGAATGGGTTGTATCCAAGGAGTGACGCCAACAATCCCATGGCGGCCTTGCGCACGAGCGCGCCCTTGTCATGCAGGCGACCAATAGCTAGATCGGCGACGACAAGCCAGTGCGAAAGCGGAATTGCTTTCGCTTCCGCCATGGTAGCCCAAGTGTTCAGAACACGAGCGCGAGTGAATGCGCTCGTGTCATGCACGCGCTCGACAAGAAGATCCAAAAAACCTTGCTTCGATCGAAGCAGCGGCGCGGTACCGTTGTCGTGGTGATCGCTCACCGCAACGACATCCTTCTGAGAGATCAGCAAATGCCCGAGCACTGAAACGATGGCAGAGCGCAGCGAGTATGCCTCACCATCGAGATGCGGCATAAGCATCGACATGTTCGTCATCGTCGTCTTCGGCATGCGCTCGGCGATCTCGCTGAGGAATGCGCCGATGCATCGCACACCAACGGCATCACTCGCTTGTTGCACTTTGTAATCGTAAGGATCAACGCGACCGACCTCTCGAATGAGTGCTGCGGCGAGGTGCGCATTTTCAAACCGATCCGCTGCGTTGCTCGCGAGCTCGGCGATCGGACCCGGAAGGTGTTCGCACTTGTTCAGAAGGTGAATCAGTGCCGTCGTCACCTGCTCGAGCTGGCCCCACTTTAAAGCGCACGATCCCATCATCTCGAACGTCGCGCGCTTGGTGACCTTGCTCTTCATCGCCGCCGAATTTTCCAGGCACATCGACCCGAGGCGAACGAACAACAACAGAAACTCCTCTTCTGGCTGTTTCGGTCGAAAAACCTGCCAGAGATCGACGTCCAACACGCCTGCCATGACGTGTACGACGCGCTCCCTCTGTTCGTCCCATCGCCACTCGACGAGCTGCGACTTGGTCTTTGCCTTTTTCCCTTTGCCCGCCGCCGCAACCGCCGCCACGCCATCAAAACTCGTGCTCTCCTTTTCGCATCGCTCACACACGTGAAATATGAACCCAACGTACGCCTTCAACGCCGCGCGCGTCCACGAAATTTCCTCGTCGCCCTCCTGTCGCTCCTCTCTCTCGCGCGCGCTCGCGCTTGCGCACAAAACGCTCAGATTCGAACACATCGCATCCATCAATCGCGCGCGCTCGATCGCCCCGAGCTCACCAAACGCCCGTATCGCGTTCGTTACCTTTCTCCGCGTCACGTCGTCTCGAACGACGTCGCACGCGTCGCCATCGGTGAGTTCCAGGCATAAATCTTCGATGAATTCTCTTCGCTCGCTCGGCGTGCGCGCGAGCTCCGAGTCGGTCGTTTCGTCTTCATCGTCTGCGTGATCGTCGTCACGCGCGCGACGGAGCTCGAGGAGGAGCGCGGTGAGGTCGAACTCGACGGCGGACATCGCGCGGAAGAGATCTCGCGCGTGTGCGACGTGCGCGGGGCGTCACTCTGACGAACGGGCGGTGGGCGTGACGGTTTATGTCGTTTTAAGTTCCCCTCTAGCGCGTTCGAATCCGAGCGCGCGGTCGGCGGGAGGGAAGGAAGATCGAGGGAGTGATGGACAACGTAGAACGTTAAATATTATTAATCGAGGCGGCGAATCGCTCATGATGACGCTCGGGCCGACGCGCGGTGGATCTATAGACTGGAGCCGAACGAGCGATTGAACGAGCGACCTCGGCGATCGAGAGATCGAGACGGCTCCAAGGGCTCGGGTTCGGCCGTAACCGCGGCCTCGACGATGGATGCGGAGACATCATCCTCGACATCGAAGATATCAGTATCGGATTCCATCTCCGAGGATGGTTGGGACGTTTCAGGTGGCGGCTCGACCGCGCTCGGGGCCGCCGCAAAGGCTTCTGGCGCCTTCGGCGTGGCGCCGCTTCTGAATAAACCGCCGAAGAAACCGGGTTTGCGTGTGCGCTTGCGCGCTTGTTTCATGGCCTGATTCCTGAGCTTTTTCGACGTCTTCAACGCCAAGATTTCGAGGCTCGCGTGCGCTGCGTTCGCGACGCTCAGCGCCCGTTTGCTGAAACCACACTGCGCGATTGACGCGGATGATTCAGAGCACCACGTGACGAAGTCTTCGACGTAATTATCCAACGCTGGCGCGATGCTCGCTTCGTCGTCCGACTGGATGGCTTGCACGGCGAAATTCGTCATTTCTTCGAGCACCATCGAGTACTTAACCCGACCGTACGTCTTGAATAGCACCTTCCATTCCCGAGCGAGCACCTCGAACGCGTTGATGAGGTACGCTTCGTGCGTCAGCAAAAAGTCGATCGCACGCTGTAGCAGCTCCTTGTTAGCTTTAACTTCGTCTCCAATGAGTGGCTCCGTTTCCGGATGCGAGAAAAGCTCAATGCACGCATCTCGCCACGCTTCGTGACGGACGACAACCTCATTCAACGCGTTCAACGTCTCTACCACGCCGTTCGTGTCGTCCATCCCGGCTGCCTGTGCCAGAGACGGCCCGTACTGCTCGTCTTGAACACGCAGCAAAGTAGCATTGAGTTCCTGGTTACCAAATCCCTCCGGCAGAAGCGCCTGCTCGTCTTCAAGCGCCACGACTTCGACGCCCAGATTGACCAACTCGTTGACGCACTCTGCGCGAGCATATTCAAGCATGTCCTCGTCTAGCATCTTCAGAACTCTGTCGTACGCGTGTACGCGCAGCACCAAAAAGAGAGCACCGCTGGTGATTTCTTTGAGTCGCTGCTGATACACTCGGTTAGCGCTGGTCATAATTTCTTCAAGCGCACTCGAGGCTCGTTGGATCTGCTCGTCCACGTCTCGATGGCCTGGAAGGGGTTGCACCGTGCACAGGTTGACAATTGTCGCCATTTCGTTGGCAATACCAAGTAAACACGCGACCTGCTCATCATCGCAATCGTCACTCTCTTTCATGTGTTGTACTCGCGTCAACATGGCATCCCGAGTCGCTTCCAGTCGCGCTCGGACCTTGCGCCGCTTCACCGTCACTTTCGCCTTGAGAGCGTAAATACTAACGATCCGGCCATCCTTACCGAGTTCCACGAAACTGCGATGCACCTGTCGCGCAGTTTCTTCGGGTTCCTTCTCGAAATTCCACTTGTCCCTCTTCGTCGCTAGGCGCTCAGATATGAGGAAAAACACACGAACGGATAACAAAAGGGCAATGATGGTCATGATGAAGCCGGTCGACACAGAACTCAAGGAGCTGTCTTGCGCAAATCCATAACCGATGAGCGGCACGCCCCCCTGCAAGAAGCTCGCAATCGACTCAGTCTTGTTCAGCGCGTTACGCAGTTGGTACTTTCCGAGACCAAGAGTGATGATGCGCCACGGTTGGCACACGATGACAAAAATGGAAGAAAACCAGTGCACGAAAACGAGGCCGTAGATGCTGATGTCAGCAGCAACGTTCGACGACCCGGCGACTAATACACCGAGCTTCTGACCCATCTCCACAGCGAGATAGTACAACGCCAGCCTGTCGAGCCATCTCATCGATTTCGCTCGCTCTCGTGCTTTAATAGAGCGAGACACTTTCAAACGTCTGATCAGTGACTTAGAGGCGCCGAATGTCGACCTCTTTTTCTTCTTTGGCTCCGCGACGGCTTCTTGCGGTTGTTCTTCGTCTAGCGACGCGTGTTCGTCCGCTTCCCGTTGTTCTTGTTCAATCTCATTCACCGCAGTTTGCGTCTCTTCGTCCACTTTGAAAGACGTCGCTCGTCTAACAGACTTTTTAAGACTAGTGCTCTGTGCCAACGACTTGACTCCCTCATCCGACTTTGGCATGCTGCCATCCTCAGGTGACGCCGCTGCCGCGTCTGAAGCCCGCATTGAAGCTCTCAACGTTGCCGACTTGGTGACTTGCGCAATCTCCAAGCGATCTGCTTCTTCCAACTGCTCGCGTCTGTAGAGATCATACAAAGCGCCCCAGCCATCGAGCGTTCGCGCATCATCCAGTTTCCCATCGAGACGGATGCTTCGAACTTTGAGAATGACATAGATCGGCAAGCCGATGCCCACGAAGGCCAATATCCCCGTCGCCACAACTTGCCGAATGAGGTGCGCAGTCGCCTCGCAGTCGACATCGATGTCGTGCTCGAGAACTTGTTTCGTGTCTGATCCGTATTCAATACAGTCAAACGACTGGAGACACAATCGACAGATGGGCAGGTACAAAATGGTCATACACAGAGTGCCGAAAACACGAAGCGTTGCTCGCAGTTTGTACTGTCGCTGAAGCTCCTTTACGACCCTGTCGCCGCTTTCGGACTTACACGTCTTGCGCTCGCCGTACAAGAACCCAGGTCTGCGGATCCAATACATGGTGCGCTCACCGTCAGTTTCGCTGACGATGGACAGAACGGTCTTGTTGTAGTAGTAAAGCGCATAGCGGTCGCGAAGGAAGAATAAGGCAGCCATGCAACAAGGAATGGTCAGCGTCCCAGCCCAGAAAATTTGTGGCCACGAAATATTCGCCCCAGCGCACTCTGGGGCGAGAAATTCAATGTTGAAATCAAACGCCTTGATCCAGTCGGCAAAATTAAGAACGGGAAGCGGCCACAGGTCGATCTCGACGCTGAACGAGATAGAGAAGAACTGGAGTGTCTCCACGATCTTCTTGATCATGTTCGTGGAAACTGCGCCCAAGGCTTCGGCCGCCTTGAAACCGACGAGACCGGCAAGCACGACAAACACAGCCGCGATGCCTGCACTCAAGGCACTATTATCAGGGCATTCCAAGCACATCGTGCCACTTTTGTAATACCCCTCCTGGCACGCTCGACACAGAAATCCGGTGGATCCCTGCACACAGTACTCGTTGCCTACCGCGCATCGCTCGGGAAAAGGACATTCACCCTCAATGATGCAGTTGTTCACGACGGATGCGTAGACACCCACGGAGTCCGTGCACTCTTGTACGAAGTTGCTTGGAGGGCCATCGATTACGCCCCCTGGAGTGAACATGAGCGCCCAATACGTGACGTTTGAGAACATGTTCACCGCGCTGACGATGTTCGGGGTGGACCAGCCAGTGATGTCCGTCTTGAATATCGGGTTGTTGATAAACATACTATCCATCGTGCGAACAGACTGCACGCTCCAAGAGGCGATGTTGCGATCAAACGCGTAAGCGTTCGCAAACATGAAGTTCATGTCTTGCACCTGTCCGGTACTCCACAACATTGTGCCATTGCCTGAATTGAACGTGGATGCTTCGTTGAACATGTACGCCATACTAGTCACCAAGGATGTGTCCCAGCCGCTGAGGTCGGCATCGAAGTGCATGCACTGCGAAAACATCGACTGCATATCTGTCACAGACGACGTCGACCAAGAGAGCGTGTTGGTTTGCACGCGAAAATCCCGAGCGCCGCTGAACATGAAGGACATATCGGTCACAGCCTGCGTGTTCCAACTCTCAACGCCACCGCCTGTGAAATCGGACACGTTTTTGAACATGTTAGCCATGTTACGAACTTTCGAGGTTGTCCATCCGCCGACATTGCTATTAAACCGAACAGCACCTGCGAACATGCTCTCCATTGTCAGCGCACTTGTCGTGTTCCAGGAACTTATGTCTTGGGAGAACGACGTCGCTGACTTGAACATGGATGTGAAATCCGACACGGCACCGACGGACCATCCAGATATCGCTCGGTTAAATGAAGTCGCCTGCTCAAAAGTGCTCGACATGTTTTGCACCACAGCCGTGTTCCACGTACTCACATCGCCGTTGAACGACGTCGCACCGAAAAACATGCGAGAAATGTCCGTGACGCTGCTCACGTCCCAGTTTCGCAAGTCATCGTTATACCCCCACGCGCCTTCAAACATACCTTTCATGGTGCGCACTTGATTCACGTGCCATGCGGAAAGGGATGTCGACACAAAGTTGGCGTCACCGAAAAACATGTGAGACATGTCGACCACGTTGTGCGTATTCCATGACGCGATGTTACCGTTGAACAAAGCCGCGTTGTAGAACATCCCAGTCATATATGTCACCGCCATTGTGTTCCATGCATCGATGTCCTGATTGAACGCAGACGCCCCCGAAAACATGTACGTCATGTCCGTAACAGCCGCGGTATTCCACGAGTTTATCGCGCCATTGAACGCCGACGCGGCGGAAAACATGCTGTTCATAGTCACCACGTTTGACGTGTTCCAGCTATTCAGACTTGCCGTAAACGCAGACGCCCCCGAAAACATGTACGCCATGTCCCTCACTGAGGATGTGTCCCAACTGCCGATGCTCACACCGCTAGGCAATGGTTCCGCGAATGCGCTCGCGTCCTGGAACATACTAGAAAAGCTCGTCACGGCACCTGTGTTCCACGACCCGATGTCATAATTGAATAGCAAAGCACCGCGGAACATTTTACTCATATCCGTCACGGCACCCGTGCTCCAATTCGTAATGTCTTGATTGAATGCTTGAGCATTTTCAAACATGGCACTCATGTCGATCACAGAAGATGTGTTCCAACCGCCGATGTCGATGTTAAACGCATTCGTACCAGAAAACATGGCTCTCGTATTTGTCACCGCTGTAGTGTTCCACTTGCTAATGTCCTTGTTGAACGTCGCTTGGTTGGTGAACAAGCTCGACATGTCACTCACGAAGGACGTGTCCCAGTCTTCCATTTGCAGGTAAAATGCAGCACCACAGTCAACTGACGACGACGCGCAGTCACAAGTGCCATCGGGCACGGCGGTCAGGCAGTTGGTTACGGCGATGCGTAAATCGTTTGAATTCACGAAATACGTCGGCCTTTTCCAGGCCGAGGCTGGACCGTCGTCGTTCGTGCTATAATCCGATCGACGATACAGTGATTTCCACGCCGTGGCCCCCGAGAACATGCTGATAGAAGAGACGGCAGTTCCGACGGTCCAACCGACAATGTCTTGAACGAAACTCGTTGCGTCGTTGAACATGCCATTCATGTTTGTGACTTTCGCCGTGTTCCAGTTGCCGATCGGATGGTTGAACGCGGAGGCATTAGCGAACATAAACGCCATGCTTTCAACGTTCGACGTGTCCCAGTTGGAAACGTCGCCGTTGAATACGGCCGCGTGGCGGAACATTTCGTCCATCAATGTCACCTGAGCCGTATTCCAAGCACTGATGTTCTGATTGAACGCCTGTGCCACCTGGAACACAGAAACCATATTCACGACGTTCCCCGTGTTCCATGCACCGATGGGCCGGTCAAACGCACTGGTGTATGCGAACATATAGCTCAAACTCGTGACGCGCCCCGTGTTCCATGCACTGATGTCCTGATTGAACGCAGACGCCCCCGAAAACATGTACGTCATGTCCGTAACAGCCGCGGTATTCCACGAGTTTATCGCGCCATTGAACGCCGACGCGGCGGAAAACATGCTGTTCATAGTCACCACGTTTGACGTGTTCCAGCTATTCAGACTTGCCGTAAACGCAGACGCCCCCGAAAACATGTACGTCATGTCCGTAACAGCCGCGGTATTCCAACTGCCGATGGGCTGGTTAAAAGCAACGGCATCCTTGAACATTCCGTATGCATCCTCGACGTTTTCCATGTTCCAGTTGGAGATGTCCTGATTAAACGCCTGTGCGCCCTCGAAAAGGCTTCGCATGTTTAGAACACTCCGCACGTTCCAGTTCCCGATCGGCTGGTCGAATGATTCGGCGAGATTGAACGTGTACAGCATGTTTTGCACGTTCGCCGTATTCCAGCTGGAGATGTCCTGATTGAATTGCTTCGCGTGCGAGAACATGCCATCCATCCCGTTGACCTGTGCTGTGTTCCAGTTGCCAACAGGCTGGTTGAACGATTCAGCTTTATGAAACATCCAAGTCGTTAGCGTGCATCTCGAAATATTCCAATCACCGATCGGCTGGTTGAACGCGGTGGCTTCTTCAAACATGCGATGCATGAATGTGACGCTCTCCATGTTCCAGCTACCAATCGGCTGATTGAACGACGTGGCTCCACTAAACATAAATTGTGTGTCTGTAACTTTTGCCGTGTTCCAGCTACCAATCGGCTGATTGAACGACGTGGCGCCACGAAACATATATTCAGTGTCTACGACGTTTGCCGTGTTCCACGCGCCAATCGGCTGATCGAACGCTTGAGCGCTTGCAAACATGGCACTCATTAAGGTCACAGAAGACGTATTCCAGTTCCCGATGTTCTGATTGAAATTCGGGAAACCGTCGAATAGATTAGACATATCCGTGATTAAGGCTGTGTTCCAGTCGCCTATGGCAGCGTGTCCCCCTGCGCCGCAGTCGAGCTCGTACGATTTGGAGCAGTCACACGCACCCGTAGGATCGTTCGCCAAACAGTTACCCACAGCGGTCCGAAGATCGGAGCTGCTTACGAACGCTACACCAGTTTTCGGAATCCACGAGGAGGGGGGACCATCCAGCGAAGATGAAGTGTCGAGTCGCGTGAAGCGAGCCAACCACGCCGTGGCGCCGTTGAACGTGTCCGTCGAATCGCACGTGTTTCCCGTTCCGCAATCGACCACGTTCCAGTGCGTGATGTCTGAATCAAACGCTGCGGCATTCATGAACATCTCTTTAAACATTTCCTGGTTCAGGTTTGATTGAGGCGGTTTCCACGTTCTCAGGTTTGTACCCATGAACGCCGTCGCGCCCTTGAACATCTGCTTCATCATCGTTACCGCGCCCACGTTCCACGGCCCGAGATCTCCGTTGAACGCTATAGCATCCATGAACATATCCTCCATCATCGTCACCCGCGACGTGTTCCAGTTCATACCGCCAGTGCCCGTGAACGCACTCGCGCCGTTGAACATGCTCCCCATGCCCGTAACGAGTGCCGTGTTCCAACTGCTGATGTTCTGATTGAAGGCGAGCGCGTTTTCGAACATCGAGTTCATGATGGTCACACTCGCCGTGTTCCATTTTCCGATGTCTTGATTGAACGCGTGCGCCTCGTGGAACATGGCGTCCACATCGGCCACCTTTGACGTATCCCAGCTCCCGATGTCTTGATTGAATGCGCGCGCGTTGCGAAACATCGCGTTCATGCCGGTCACGCTCGCCGTGATCCAGTTCCCGATGGGCTGATCGAAAACTTGAGCGCCGTCAAACATGCGCAACATCTCCGTCGCTCTCGCCGTGTTCCAGTTCCCGATGGGCTGATTGAACGCCGCGGCGTCTTTAAACGTCTCATGAAAAAATTGCACGTTCGCCGTGTTCCAGCTCCCGATAGGCTGATTGAACGCACTAGCACTGTTGAACATGCCCCACGTAACGGTAACCTGTGACGTGTCCCAACCGCTGATATCTCCATTGAACGTCGACGCGCCGTGAAACATGTTACGCGCGTCGACCAGCGCCGCCGTGTTCCATGAACCGATCTGCTGATTAAACGAAGCGGCGCCCTTGAACATTCTCTCCGTGATCGTCACCTTGGACGTGTCCCAACCGCTGATATCTTGATTGAACGCCGACGCGTCTTCGAACGTCGACGTCATGTCCGTCACCTTGGACGTGTCCCAATTTCCAATCGCGGCGTTAAACGACGTCGCACCCTTGAAGACGCCGTTCAAGCTCGTCACCTGCGCGATGTCCCAATTTGACATGACCACCACGTTCACGCCGTTCGACGACCCACAGATCGCCCCCGTGGGGTCGTTTTGCAGACAGAACGCCGCGGTGTCCAGAAAATCCGCCTGCGCCGTCGCTCCCCTGAACGCCCCGTTCGTGACCACGGCCGCGCGCGCCGCGCGCGCGAGCGCGCACGCGACGACCACGAGCGCGCGCATCGCGCGCACCGCCTCGGTCGTCCCCGATCCCCACGCGCGCCCTTTCCCTCCCCCGCGCGCCGTCGCGCGCATCGACGATGTCCTCGCCCGCATCGCCCCTCGCCCGCGTCGTCGCGTCCGCCGCGCGTCGTCGTCGTCGTCGCGTCCGCCGCGCGTCGTCGTCGTCGTCGCGTCCGCCGCGCGTCGTCGTCGTCGTCGCGTCCGCTCGTCGTCGTCGTCGTCGTCTCGCGCGCGCGCGGTCGTCCACCCCGCGGCCGGGCGAACGGTCGACCGCGCGCGGTGGGTGTTCGCCCGGTCGACGTACAACACATCCGCGAACGCGATCACGCGCGATTCGAGCGATCCACCGACGGACGCCCCGTCGCGATCGCGCGTCGCGTCGTTCCGTGCGCGCGATCGCGGGTGACGAACGCGCCCGTGATACCGTGCGTGGGAGGTACACTACGCGTCGAACGACCGTCGCGCGTTCGATGTTCATCCCGCGTCACCTTTCGAATCACCTTTTGACGCATGCGTCAATGTCCACGTGTGGGCGAACAGTACACATAGCCGCGACGGTCGACGATGGGCATCGCACGCGCTGATGGACGCGCGCGCGAAAAAATAATTTTGAGCGGTGTAGGGTGTAGGGTTTCGGGTTTAGGGACCGTGCCCGAGGCGTGGGCGACGACCGATCGGCGCCGGACGCGCGAACGACCACGCGCCGGAGGCGTCGACGCGTCGTCGTCGCGCGCGCTCGGACGTCCGCGCTCGGACGCGCGTGGGAGCGATCGTGAGTCGACGTCGAGCGCGCGCGTGGGCGCTCGAGGGACGCATTGATTTTGATTTCGACGCGCGGGCGATTGTGATTGTGGATTCGTCCGCGACGACGTGACGCTTGCGATGCCGCCGAAACAGGCGAAGACGACGGCGACGAAGACGAAGGTGACGAAGAAGGCGACGGCGACGAAGAAGACGACGGCGACGAAGAAGAAGAAGGCGACGAAGAAGAAGAAACCGGCGGCGAAGAAAAAGCAGGCGGCGAAAGAGGTTGAGAGCAAGTACGATTTGCTGGGACAGAAGCGCGACGCGCCGGACGAGAGTGATCCGCTGCGGAAATTCTACACGTCCCTGCGCACGCAGAACCCGAAGAGCACGATGGCGGAGATTTGGTTGATGGAGCACGGGTTGCTCGGGAGTCCAGAGGCGCAGCGAGACGCGTACGCGCGCATGTTGAAGTCCAAGGGTAAGACGGTTCCCAAGCTTGTTATCAAGAAGAAGAAAGTGGAGGTGAAGGAAGAGGTGAAGAGTGAGCGGGAGGAGGCGAAGGAGGAGACCAAGGTGGAGACGAAGGAGGTGTCTGCGCCGAAACCGATGGTTTTGGTTGACGACGACAGCGACTGATAGAACGTCGCCGACCGCGACGATCGCACGACTTCTCGGCGCGTTGAGTGAATAATACGTTGAAACGCACACGATCACACGCGTCGTGTCACGCCCTTTGAGCCCTTGTGATTGCTCGCCGCCGCGCTCGCTTCGAGTCTTCATAAATAGCCTCCATCTAGCCCACCCAGGGCCACCCCCGGGCGTCGCTCGCGATGCCGCGCTCGGCAACGTACGAGACCGTTTATCCAATCACCGCCGAGCAGTACTACGACCTCATGCTCTCCCGATCGTTCCAGCGCGATGTGCACGTCCACGGCTTGCGCATGTCCCGCTGGGAAGCTGAGGACGTGCACGACGGCTCGCGGTCGTGCTCGAGGACGGTGTACAGCGAGCCGCGATTGAACCTCCCGAAATGGCTCGCGCGGGTCGCTCGGAAGTCGCAGGCGTACACCGAGTACTCGAGATTCGACCGGGAGGCGCTGCGGCGGACGACGCGGGTGGTGCCGAAATACGCAGCGAACATGATGGAGATGAGCGTGGAGGAGCGATACGTCGACCAAGCGACGACGCCGAGAGGCGAGCGATTGTGCGTGGTATACTCCACCGTACGGGTCAGAGCGAAGGCGCGTTTATTCAGGAATATGTTTGAAAAGTGGTTGTTGGAGCAAAGCGCGCTAAAGGTTGGGCAGCGTGACGGGTACGTATTGAACGCGTTGAAAGAGCGCAGTTTAGCGGATTTGATGGGACAAGCGGACGAGGAGACGGACGGGGTCGTTGATGGCGAGGGGTTCGATACGAAGGATACGAAGGATCGTTGCGCGTTGGTTCGGACGGTTGTCGCGACGGCGTTCATCGCCGCGGCTCAGTTCTTCGCGCGAGAGCTCAAAGCGCGTGAGCGACGAAATAGCAATCGTCGATAGCGCATTTAGTTTTAGTAAATTCTAGGATAGCGGTACTATTCAAACTATTTGACGACGACTCATTCACGTCAGGGCGCGCATCCACGTCTCGTACTTGTGTTTGACCACGTTGACGAGAGGTTCGATCTCGACGAGCGCGTTGGACTCCGCGGGACCGACGACCTCGACGAGACCGCATCGACCGTGGTGCTGCGCAAGACTCAGTCCACTGAGGCAGTAGCACGTATGATAGTGATCGCGACCCGTTCCCGGTTTGTCTCGAAGACCACCAGCGCCGTTATCGCTCTGACAACAATCGAGAATCCATCCTTGCAACGCGCCACTCGAAAACGCCGCAGGTGTCGACGAAGATTCGAACGCGCCCGATGTGAACATGGTCGCCGCACACGCTCCTAATACGCGCGCCTCGAGCCCAAGATCGTCCGAACCCACGACGGTACGACCACCGACAGTCATTTTACTTCTCTCCATGAATTGCAACAGCATCACGTCGTTCGCTCGACGCAATAGCGGAAAACATCCGCCCTGCCAAAACGAGTAGCAACCGTCGACAAGCTTATTAGTTCGACCGCTGAACCCACCCTCGATCTCACCTTGCCTGTTCACGAGCCAACGCTCGAGGTTCTCCAAATCTAACGTCCCAAAATCGCCCGCAAGCGCGCACGCGGCGAGTCCGCAATACGTGTATCCGCCGTGCGCCTCACCTCCAGGTTCTCCCCCGATCCCACCTTCGTACGTCTGACACCTCGACACGTACGCCCCCACGCCACTTCGCACGTCATTATCCAGGCATCCGCACATATGCGCTGACGCCATCGCGGCATAACATCCGCGCGCGTCTGCCTCGCCGCCCTCGTGCACGCGAAACCCGCCCGTTTCTTTCTCCTTCAACGACATCAAAAAACGCTTCACGTCCGCTCGAGCGATCACTTCTCGCGCATCATCTCCGCCGATCGTGACCAGTGCCGCCGTCGCCGCGTACGTCGTCGCCAGATGTCCCATCTGTCCCGGTCCGCCGCCGAAACCGCCGCGCCGCGCGTCGACGCACGCGTCCAGAAACCCAACCACCCGCGTCCGGACCTCATCGTCGAGCACCCTTCCGAGCACGGCGAGACCGTGCACGCACCAGTACGCCATCCAAGCTCGCGAGGCATCGAGCGAGACGAAGACTTGTGGGAGCGCGCCCAGTCCGCCGCGCAGGTACTCTGCGTGCGCATCGCCTCTGAGCGGTTCGGCCGAGCCGTTTCGCGCGAACGCGTCGCGGTGTAGCTCGCGCGCGGTCGCTGCGAGATCTTCGATCGCACTCGCGGAGGTCGACGGCATCTTCAGCGCGGTGAAGCGTCGGAGAGTGACGTCGAGGCGTTCGTCCCGTATTCTGTTGGCGACGCGTCGCCAATAACAATGCTCGTTATTTCAACGAAAGAAGGAATGAAAACAATACGTGGGATTCGCTCAGAGCGGTTCGAGGAGGGCTTTGATCCGCTCGACGCTGACAAAGCGCACGACGTTGAGCGGGACCTGACGCGCGGTGGTCGGGACGAGACCTTTGTAGACGGCGGAGAAGCCCTCGCGCTGGATCGTCTTCGCGATGCAATCGAGCGTGCCGTTGTACGGCATCTTACCATTTTTATCCGCCTTCATGCTCATCAATCGCGATTTCGCGAGGTCTATGGGATTGGACGTGAGGGCGGCGACGACGCCCGCAGCGAAGGATGCGCCCGTCTGCGCCGCCAACCCGTCCCGCAGAGGCGTGTGTTCCAAGATGTAGTGCTTCGCCTGATCATACACCGCCATCTGACTCGCCGTGACGATCATCGCTCGATTCACCGTGGGCGCGCACCCGCGCCAGAGCGCGAAGACGCCCTCCTCCCTGACCACTCGCGCCAACGCGTCGCCGCCGTGCCTATAGTTCCTCCTCAACTCGGGCGGCAATCGCCCGTCCGCCTGCATGCGAACCATGGCCAAATCCGCGGGATTACCAACCGCTGCCCCGATCGCCCCGGCTCCGATCCCGCACGCCGTCATCTTCCAAAACGGCAACTTCCCATCGCTATCCTCCGCCGTCCGCGCCGCCGCCTTGAGCGCGTCGTACGACCCGAACTTTGTCCCGATGAACGTCGCCTGTCGCATCAACGACGCCGTGAGCCCTTTGTACAACGCCAGCACCCCCTCACGCTTCACGATGTGTCCGAAAGTGCGAATCATCCCGGGGCACCGGGTGTTCGACGCGACGCTCGCCGCGTCCGCGACGTCGCCTCTGAGCTGCATCCTCACCTTGACCAAGTCTATCGGGTGCGTCACCGCGCCGCTCGCCATGGCGCCGAGCGAACCGGAGGCGAACCCTTTCCACGGGTGCGGACCGCTCGGTTGGACCTGTCCGGTGGCGTTCGTCGCCATCGCACGCGGCGACGGCGGCGAGGCGGAGAGTGAGGGATAGCGCGGGACGGCGACGGGAGACGCGCGCGGTGGCGAAGAGGCGAAGACGTGGTGTTCGTATGGATGGATGGTGTTACAGATACGACGAAAACAGTGGGTGCGCGGGTCGTCACGTCGTCTCGGTCGTTTACGTTCGCGCGCGAGGAGTGCGTCATTGAGGCGACGCCGACAGTTCGTGCGGCTTCTGGTCGGCGCAGCGCGTGTTCCATCCGAGACTGTTCTTCACCGCGGCGAACCAGTCGGTGTTTTCGCCGTGCGCGCAGACGGTTGGGACGGGGTAAGCGGCGACGCGGCAGACGACGGAGTCGCCGCGTGCAAGCTCGGTTTGGGACTTGCCGTCGAACGCGACCCACGCGGTGTTTCTCGCCTTGGGCGGACAGGTGATGGTGACCACGACCGAGTCCGGGAGGACCACCGGTCGGAACGACAGTGTGTGCGGGCAAATCGGTGTCATTAGGAGCGCGGGGACTCCGGGGTGCACCATCGACCCCCCAGCCGCGAGGCTGTACGCGGTGGATCCCGTGGCGGTGGCGACGATGACGCCGTCCGCCGCAACCTTGGTGACCTTGTAACCATCGACAGCGATGTCGAGCTCGACCATCACCGGCTTCGGACCTCGGTCGATCAGGACTTCGTTCAGGACGTAGCGCCAAGGTGAGTGCTTGCCATCTACGGTGACGACCTTGGCGACGAGTCTGCTGCGCAGAGACAGAGTGAAGTCGCCGAGGCACACGTCGAGGAGCGTCTTCTCCATGTCCTCGACCCTATGCGAGGTCAAGAACCCAAGTGAGCCCATGGCGAACGGAACCACTGGGGGCATCGCCTTGGGGAAGTACTTGGTCGCCCACAGGATCGTGCCGTCACCGCCCAACACGACAACGAAATCGATGATCGAGTCGAGTCGAAATGTGTCATCCTTCTCGTCCCACGTCTTGCACGAGCACTGTAAATCTACCGCATCGTCCCACACCGCTCTTTCGAGCCAAGAAGTGATGCCTTGCCCCTCCAACGCCTTCACTGCCCGTCGCATCATCTTCGTCGCCGCTTCATCGTGAATCTTCTTAACCACCAGCGCGTTCCTCGGGGAGTCGAGCCAGGAAAACTTGCTGTGTGGAAGCCCCTTTTGTCGCGTTCGAATCCTCCGATCTCTCGGTTCCAGCACTTCCACGCCCTCGTCGTTCGCCAGGACGAGTTCGAACGCCGCCTTGGTCGCTCCGTCGCCGCTCTTCTTTCTCGCGCTCGCATCCGCGCCCTCGTACGACGCCAACGAATCAGACGACCCCATCACCGCCGTCGAGCTCTCGACCGCCCTAAACGTTTCACCCGCGCTCGTGAAATGCCCGTCGTCGTCCGCCGCCACGCCCGCATCGACGTCGTCTACGTCGCCGGCGTCTTCGTCGCCGTCCCGCACGTCTCGCACCACGAATCGATGCGTCTTCGTGCGAAACGCCGCCATCCGTCGTCGCTCGCTCGGTGATTGCTCCATGAGCGACTCGTGACTCGCGCTCCGTCGCGGGAAGGACGATTGCGAGCTTCCAGTCGCGCCGTTTCGTCGTAAGCTCGCGACTTCTCTCTTGAGCGATGCATTTTCACTTTCGAGTTTTTCTCGTCGTTCGTCTTCGAGCGCCAAGGTGCGCAGGCGCTCGGCGGCGTGCTCGAGAACCTTGGAGTCGAAGTCGTCGGTCGGGGACATCGAGGGCGCGCGTGCATCTAAGTGAGGAGTCTCTCGCTCGCGCGTCGCGTCGCTTTGAAACGTCACGAAATACGTAGGTTCAACTCAATTTCATCCTCGTCGCGCGCGCGATGATGATTTCAACGATGAAAACATTCGCGGTCTCAGTCTTCGTCGTCCTCGTCGAAGGCGTTTCGTCGACGGTCGAATGTTATGCTACCGACGCGTCCGCCGGTCGCGCCCGCCGCGCCCGTCGCGCTCGATTCCAACATCCCGATCAAAGCCTGTTCGCTCACCCGGTGCACTTTCCCGCTCTGCGCCGCGCGTAAGATGCTCTCCTCCAACGCCCGCGCCTTCTCCGGCTTCACGATCGCTATTCGACTCAACCGCTCGCGCGCCGCCGGTTCGAGCACGCTCGCCAGCGCCGTGCCGCGCCGCTCCTCCGCCTCTCTCGCCACCGCCTCGCGCTGCGCCGCGTCCTCGCCCGATCGCACGTTCCCATCCGCATCGAGCTCCATCGTCCGCCGAGCGCGTGCGCGAACGCGCTCGATTCACCGCGGTCGCGCGTCGGTCAAAGTCGGCGCGCCGCGCGCGACCGGATCTACCCGTCTCGCGACGCCGTCGCCCCGTCGTCGTCTCCTCGCGCTCGTCCTCGACGCGCGTCGACGCGATCGTTACCCTCGCCCGTCCTCGACGCGCGCGCGTCGATCGCGCGTCGCGTCCTGACGCGCGGCGCATCGAACGCGCCCCGCCACCGCCGCGCGCGGCACATCGCGCCGCGACGCGTTCGATGCCCCGCGACCGCGTCCACGGGTGCGTGACGCGCGCGCGACGGATGGATGTATTTTTTTGCCGCGCGTTTTCATCCTCGTAGACGCGCGCGCGGGCGCGGCGCGGGCGCGGACGCGATCGAGGTGGAGGCGAATCGTCCTTCGCGAGGGGAACGTGACGCGCGCAGAGGCGAACGATGGGCGCTCGACTGACGCGACGTGGACGACGCAGGGCGCGCGGGTCGGTGAACGAGGCGTCGGTTTCGTTCTTCGTCACCTCGCCCACCGCCGTGGTGGGTGGGACGAAGCGGTCGAGCGATGCGGCGGGATTTCCGCGACCGGGGGCGGAGCGCGGGCGAGGCGGCAAGCGCTCGAAAGGTGGGGACGAGACGACGCCGGGTGGGGCCCGCGTCGACGACGAGGGCGCGGGACGACGGGTAGCGGTGATCCCGAAGCCACGGGTGGGGGTGCTCGGATGCTTGACGAACGCCAAGGCGAACACAGCCGAGGCGGTTCGGAAGACGATTCCGGCGCCCAAAGCGATTCCGACGCCGAAAGCGATCGCGGTGAACACGGTTCTGGCGCCCGCTGTCGAGGAGAGCGAGCGATGATTTTGTAACACGATGATTCGATGTTGTTTAAAGCCGCGCGTTTACGACTTCACGACGATTTTGATGAATTCGTCGTCTCTGGCGTCGGCGTCGGCGAAGTCGTCGTCGAGCGCGTCGACGACGCGAGACCAGACGTCTCGGACGAAGGCGCGCTCGCGCTCGAGTCGGAAACCCGGTCGCTCTCCGACACCCAAAAAGTGCGCTCGCGGTGTCTCGCCGCTTTCGACGATGAAGTCGAGGTTCAGGAACAACGGAGCGCTGACGGCGGCGTACGCGTCGTATCGAGCGTCCTGGATGACGTTCCGCTCGTCCCGGACGGCGTCCCTGAAGGCGCGCATCACGATCTCAGCCTGGGCGATGATATCACTCGAAACGTCATCGATGCCCATGACGCGCGTGCACGCGTCTTTGACGTCGACCTCTCGCATCGTTGCGCTCGAGTCGCCACTCAGACCTCGATTCGTCATCTCTCGAGCATACATTTTGTCGTCGTACTCCGACGACGCCATGTCCGCAGTCTTGTCGTACGCGCTCGCCGCGGAGAGTATGCAAACGCTCTTTGCGATGAGAACGACATCATCGGCGGCAGCTTGATCTGGAACGAAGCACGCGCGCACGCGGACGGTGCACTTCCGTCCGAATTCATCCGTCGCGACTTCGCGAACGCGTCTCTGTGCGATGATCTCACCTCGCGTGCGCCTCGCCTTTCCGTCCGTGATTATCGCTTTGAAGTCTTTTAGAACGCCCACTCGATTGATTTTCTCCTCGACGACTCCGGGAAACTTCGCGTGCGCACCCTTGAGCACGACGACTTCGTCTAAGATTTCATCCGACTCGGTCAACGTTTCCAGAGAATCCGAGGTGAAGAGCGTCGGCGCGCGCACGAGACCGTCCACATCGCGATTAGCGATGATTTCGTACGCGCGAACTTTTGAATTGAGAATTTCGTGCCACTGCGGCCCAGCGCTTGCGGCGTTGAAAACCTCGAGAGACGCGAAGAATGAGTCGGCGCTCGAATCGTCTTCTCGACACGCGTCCCGCGCGTCTCTCCAAGTCTTCGCCCACATCGACGCGCCCTCATCGTCGGCGCAATCGTTCGCCAGCTTGCACAATGGATAAATCGCCATGACGCCGGCGCCCGCGTGGAGGGCTTGCGTGTACAGACTCGTCGGTTCGGCGGAGTATCCGGTGAGATGTAACGCGTGCGCGAGTGAGAACAGCAACAGAGGATGCTTTCCTGGTTTCGTGAATTTTGCCTCGGGCCCACCGAGCTTGGCGACGCGCATCAAATGAATCGCGCTCGAGATTGCGCCGAACTTGTTCACCGATAGTCGCGCCAGCGACACCCACGCGTCGGCGAAATCAAACGAGACGCCGACGCACTTGGCGTATTCCTCCTCGGCTCGATTGTACAGTCCCACGTCCTCGTACATCTGCCCCGCGAGTGCGTAGGCGAGAAAGCACCCAGGCGTGTGATCGTACGCCGCGGTGACGCGCTCGATCGCGCTCGCGACGTACCCGTGCGCTTGATACACCATCGCGAGCTGCAGAGACGCCTGATAAAAATCCGGCTCCAGAGCGAGCGCGCGTTCCATCTTTTCCGCGAACGCCATCGTCAATTCTCTCCCACGCGTCGTACCTTCGGGCGCCATCGCGAGCGTCTTCGCGTCTTCGATCAGCGCCTTCACCCTGGGATCGCGTTCACGCTCCTCCGCCTCGCTCTGCACGCGCGCCAGCTCCGCGTCCTTGCTCGCCTCATCCATCCCCGCGCGTCGATCCGACGCCGCATCCTTCTCGAGCTCGCGCTCGATCGCGTCCAGGTTCTCCACGCACGCGCGCGCGCGCTCGATCGCGTCCTCCGACCCCCCCTCGCGTCCCTCGATCGATCGCTCCAACGTCATCCGCATCGCTCGCGCCGCATCCATCACGCGCACCGGGTCCCCATCAAGCGCGTCTCGCGTCGCCCGTCGTCGCGTCGCCGCGTACCCCGATCGCTCGTGCGCGTACATTTATTTTTTCTCGCCCGCGTCGCGGCCGCGTCGCGGCGTCCCGTCGCCCGCGCGCGCGTCGACGCGGTCGCGTCGCGTGCGTTACGGTGGCTTTATAAAAAAAACGCCTCTAGGGTCAACGCCACATCCATGCGCGTGCTCGTCGGCGCCGCCGATTGCGCGCGCGCCGGCGTCGCCGTCGTCCTCGCCGGGTTCGGCGACGGGCGCGATGGGACGTTCGCGTCCGTGACGTCGATGCGGGACGTCGACGACGACGCGACGCGCGCGGGGGCGGGGGTGGAATCATCGAGAATGTCTTCTGAAGACATCTGTGCGATGGCGTCGACGCCGGACGTCGCGCTCATCGCGGTGAACGCGCGGTGCGACGGGAGCGATGGCGCGGCGTTGGTGTCGTACGCGGTGCTGGAGGCGATCGAATCGATCGAGGACGTGACGGAGGTGTGTTTTATATGCGCGACGCGGGACGAGGCGCTGGAGCTCGAGCGGAGAGACGAGGAAAGTTTTCTGGCGTACGAGGACGTGCGTAACGGCGCGCGGTGGTCGGACGATGTTGGGATCGTGAAACGACCGCTGGGAGAGCGTGGGGTGAACGGAGGGGACGGGGTGTTGGCGATCGCGCTCGCGGCTTTGGACGCGCGCGGGACGCGCGTGCGGGCGTTGTACGCGCCGGCGCACGCGCGGTGCTCGACGAGCGAGGCGCTGAGGGTGACGCACGGGTTAGGGCGCGCGGTTGAGAGAAGTGCTTTCGGTTTGGTCGGGTACGACGCGGCGGCGGTGGAACGTTTGGTGCCGGCATCGTCGGGGGATCGAGAGACGAACGAGTCGCTGTACACGTGAATCGCCGTGGTTGAAATAGAACAAAAAAAGAGCGAGTCGTTTCACACACACGTATCTACGATCTCGGCGGTGGCGGCGGTGGCGGCGGTGGCGGTGCGCGGTTCGCGCCGCCGTAGCCCTGCGGCATCATGATCACCGGTTGTCCCTGCGCGTCGTACGTCACCGGGACGTACATCGTCGGCGCGTTCTGGTTCGCCCCCGGCGCGCGACCCGGCGGCGGCGGTCGCGGCAAACCCTGCATCCCGAAGTACCCACCGCCGCCCATGACGGGTGGTGGCGGCGGTGGCGGCCCGTTCGACCCCCCGCTCCGTCCTCCGCGCGCGCTCGCCGATCGTTTCTTCGCCGGCTTTTTCCGCGCCGCCTTGGCCGCCGCCTCCTTCTCGTCGTCGCTGAACTCCTCGTCCTCCGCCACCTCCTCATCGTCCTTGCCGCTCGCGTCGTACCCCTTTTTATAAAGATTCTTCACGTTTGGAATCATCCTCGACCGTCCGACGACGACGAACACCTCGTCATCCACCTCGACCTCGGGAGGCGCCCGACCCGCGTCCTCCGCCGTCGGCAACCGCACCGAGTACAACGGCGAGCTCACCGGCCCAAAAACCTCCTCGATCGCCCCCAAACCTCGTCGATCCTTCAGACACAACACGCTCTCCTCGTCCAGGGTATCGCCGTCGCCATCACCCCCTCGTCGCCCCGGCGCGCTCGCGACGACGACGACGCGTCCCACCACGCTCGTCACCCGCCCGACGCTCCGAATCGCCTCTCCCGCATCAATATCCTCGATCACCACCACTTTTCGTGCCTCGAGCTCAATCTCATTCCTCGTTCTCGGCGGTTCCGCGTGCGCGGCGTCCGTGTGTTCATCCTCCGCGACGTTCGCGCCGTCCCGCACGCGCGTCAACCAACTCGGAAGTTCGCTCGCGTCGATCGAGTCGCAATCCGTCTCGCAATCCGTCTCGCGCCCCGTCTCGGCATCGCTCGACGTCCACGAGCTCGAATCGGAATCAAACGCAAACTCCGGCGCGCCGTCGTCGTCGTCGTCGTCGTCGTCGTCGTCATCAACATCAACATCATCATCATTCCGCCGTCGTCCCGCCCAAGACGCGCGATCGCCCATCGACGCCGCGTCCGCCCCCTCCAGCGCGTGCGTCGCGGCGACGAAGAGATCCATCGGCACCGTGGGCATCGCGCGCGCGCCCGCGGGTCCGCGTCCGGCGCGCGCGGTGACGGGCGCACCGATCGTTCGACCGAATCGACGCGTCCGCGCGTCGAAAGGTGTGTGATTCGAAAGGCGTCGATCGGTACATCTTTTAATCGACCGACGTCTCGCCCCTTTCGACGCGTGCGTCGATCGATCGATCGTTCGACCGAATCGACGCGTCCGCGCGTCGAAAGGTGTGTGACGCGAAAGGCGTCGATCGGGACATCTTTTCATCGACCGACGTCTCGCCCCTTTCGACGATCGATCGATCGATCGATCGACGCCCACGCGCGGACGCGTCGCGAGCCGTTGAACGCGACGCGCGCGCGATGGGGACGACGATCGAGGACGTCCTCGCGGGCGACGTCGAGGCGCTCGATCGATGCGTCGAACGGTTTTACGGGAGCGACCCGAGCGCGGTGCGTGCGTCGACGGTGGACGATAACGGGGGGACGGGGGCGATGACGCGGGATGCGTGGCGTCGATGGATGAATGAATGAATGAATGAATGGATGAACGCGCGGCGCGCGCGCGCGTGGTGGATGCGGAGTGGGCGAGCGAGGGATGGGGGGTGGGAGGATGATGGCGTCCACGCGCGTGGGGTCGGGAGCGGGGGTGGGCGCGAGGGGTGGACGACGGAGGACGGACGCGCGGGCGGAGGGCGAGATCGCGCGAAGGCGCGCGCGAAGGCGACGCGCGACGGAACGTCGTGCGCGGTCGCGCGCGCGCGGCCGAGGGCGCTGGAGGAGGGTTTGAGGTGGTGTGAAGCGATGCGTGGGGGGGTGAAGGTGATTTGGGCGTGGATGTGCGTGAATCTCGACAGACTCGGAGACTGACGACGTTGACCTCTCGCGAGCGCAGCGCGCCGAGGCGGAGCAAACGCTCCAGGCGCTTCAGGAGCACGAACAGACGTGGACCAAGGTGGATGCGATTTTAGAGACGTCGACAAACGCGAACACGAAATTTTTCGCACTTCAGGTTCTGGACGGCGTCATCAAGTACCGCTGGGGATTGCTGCCGAACGAACAGAGAGAGGGGATCAAAAACTTTGTGAGCAACTTGATCATCAAGCTGAGCGCGGACGAGGCGACGTTCCGAAGGGATCGGGCGTATATTAACAAGATTAATAACGTGTTGGTGCAGATTTTGAAGCACGACTGGCCGCATCGCTGGCAGAGCTTCATCCCGGATTTGGTCGGCGCGGCGAGGACGGGCGAGTCGCTGTGCGAAAACTGCATGAGCATTTTGAAGTTGTTGTCCGAGGAAGTATTCGATTTTAGCCGCGGTGAGATGACGCAAGACAAGATTAGGTCGTTGAAAACGTCGCTGAACAGCGAGTTCAAGATGATTCACGAGCTGTGCGAGTTCGTGTTGACGCACTCGCAAAAGCCAGAGTTGATAAAGACGACGCTGACGACGCTTAACGCGTTCTTGTCCTGGATTCCGCTCGGTTACATCTTTGAATCGACGCTCCTGGACACGTTGCTGGCGCTCGCACCGAATCCGGCGTATCGAAACATCGCTTTCCTCTGTCTCGCCGAGATCGGTGCCTTGAACGTCGAGGCCAAGTACGATGCGCACTTCATCAAGCTCTACACCACGGCCATCACGCACTTGGAGGGCATCTTACCACGTGGCGTCAACGTCGCGGAGGCGTACGCGAATGGCTCGGATGAAGAGCAGGCGTTCGTACAAAATCTTGGCATATTCTTGACGCAATTCTTTAAAGCGCATATCACGCTTTTGGAATCGAGCGGCGAGTTGCAGCAAAAGATGCTCGTCGGCATTGAGTATCTCTTGAACATTTCCTATGTGGAGGAACCGGAGGTTTTCAAGGTATGCCTCGATTACTGGCACTTCATGGTGTGCGACGTGTTCCAGTCCGACGGATCCAGTGGCGCGGACGCGGACTTCCGATTCGGGAACGAATTCGGCGTCGCAAACGCCGAGCGCGGCGCTAACCGCCGCGTGCTCTACTCGGCGCCATTCAGCAAGCTGCGTCTATTGATGATCTCCCGAATGGCCAAGCCCGAGGAAGTGCTCATCGTCGAAGATGAGAACGGTAACATCGTCCGAGAGACGCTTAAGGATAACGATGTGTTGGTTCAGTACAAAATTATGCGTGAAACGTTGATTTACCTCGCACACCTCGATCACAAGGACACCGAGACGCTTATGCTCGAGAAGCTTCACGCACAACTGAATGGGCGGGACTACACGTGGCACACCCTGAACACGCTCTGCTGGGCCATCGGTTCCATCAGTGGTTCGATGCAAGAGGATCAAGAGAATCGCTTCCTTGTCACTGCCATCCGCGATTTGCTCAACTTATGTGAAATCATGCGCATGAAGGATCATAAAGCCGTCATCGCGTCCAACATCATGTACGTCGTCGGACAGTACCCGCGCTTCTTACGATTGCACTGGAAATTTTTGAAGACTGTGGTAAACAAATTGTTTGAGTTCATGCACGAAACGCACCCGGGTGTCCAAGACATGGCTTGTGACACTTTTCTGAAAATCTCAATGAAGTGTAAGCGCAAGTTCGTGATTTTGCAAGTCGGTGAGAACGAGCCGTTTGTTGACGAACTCTTACGAGGTCTTTCGGACACCATCCGTGACTTGGAGCCGCATCAAGTACACTCTTTCTACGAATCCGTCGGGCACATGATTGGCAGCGAGTTGAATCCAGCGAAGAGAGAGGAATACGTTCAGCGATTGATGGCTCCGCCGAACATGCAGTGGCAGCAAATCATGACACAGGCGCGACAAAACTCTGAATGCTTGAAAAATCAGGATATCATCAAGAACATTCTGCACATCCTCAAGTCGAACACGCATTTGTGCATGTCCCTCGGACAGCCGTTCCAAAATCAAATGTCTGCCATTTATGCGGACGTGTTAAACGTCTACAAGTTGTACAGCGAACTCGTGAGCCAGAGCATCGCGCAGGGTGGTCCGTACGCGAGCAAGTCTTCCCTCGTCAAGCTGCTTCGTTCGGTCAAGCGTGAGGTGCTTAGGCTCATTGAAACGTTCGTTGAGCGTTGCGATGATCCGCATTTGGTCGCTCAGCAACTCGTGCCGCAGATGTATGACCCGATCCTCGGCGACTACGCGAGAAACATCCCGGATGCTAGGGACGCCGAGGTGCTGTCCCTCTTCGCGGCGATCATCAACAAGGTCGAGGGCGCGATGACGGACGAAATTCCAAAGATCTTCGATGCCGTGTTCGAGTGTACGCTCTCGATGATCACGAAGAATTTCGAAGACTTCCCCGATCATCGTTTGAAGTTCTTCTTGCTTCTTCGTTCAGTGACAAACCATTGCTTCCGTGCGCTCGTAGCCCTGAGCCCGGCGCACTTAAAACTCATCATCGACTCCATCATTTGGGCATTCCGTCACACGGAGCGCAACGTCGCGGACGAGGGTTTGAATTTGCTCTTAGAGATGATGAAGTATTTCCAGCTTTCGGAGTACTGCAACCAGTTCCATCAAAGCTTTTACCTGATGACGATGAGCGAAATTTTTGCCGTCATGACAGATGGTTTCCACAAACCGGGTTTCAAACTGCACGCGCTCATCCTACAAAATCTCTTTGCTATCAGCGAAAGCGATCAACTGAGCGCGCCTCTTTGGGACGTCGCCACGAAGGGAGCGTCCGCGTATCCTTCGAACGCCGCATTCGTGCAAGAACACTGCGCTCAGCTGTTGTGCACGTCGTTCCCGAACATGCCCCCGACGGAGGTCCAAACCTTAGTTCTCGGGATGTTCCAGTGCAAGAATGATTTGGCGGCGTTCAAATCGACACTTCGGGATTTCTTGGTTCAAACAAAACAATTTAGCAGCGTGGATTTCGCGGAAGAGGAGCAGAGCAGATTAGCCGCTCAGCGCCAGGCCAGACTTTCCGCAATCCCCGGGATGGTACAGAACGCCGCCGATATGGATGACGACGAGGAGTGATCCAATTGCAATCGAAAGAAAACAAGTAGCTTAAATTACACGCACAACCCGTTCGGATCGTAATCACGTAGCAACGCCGCCGCGGCGTCTGCGTACGTTGAGTCAGCTGTGTCGGGAAGGAACAAACGGGTCGAGTTTTCAGCCTCTTCCGGCCGAGACCGAACCGCCGCCGAGGCATACGCGGCGTCATAATGATTTTCTAAGATGTCCTGAACAAACTCATTCCATTCGCCTGCGTGAATCGACTTTTTCCACGCGTTCACGCGCTCGTGGCCGACACGCTTTACGAGCACGTCAACGCACTCGAGCAAACGATCCGTTTCCGTCGTCTCAAAGTGTTTGTAACCCGCTCGTATCCACTTCACCCGCTCGGACATCGGAATTTCTAGCTGCGTCACCTTGGCCCGACGCATTGCGCCCCACATCGTGCTCGGTACTTGCACTCTGCCGATCATTGAGCTCTCACCTTCGACGAAAACCGGACGAGACGGATCGAACTTCCTCGCCTTGCCCGCAATTCTCGAATCGAACAGCTTCTGACTCGGCTGCTCGCGCGTACCTGGCTCCTCGCCCAAGACCGACCCTCGATGGTTCGCCATCACCTCTAAATCGATCACCTGCGCCCCCGCAGTCTCGAGAGCGTCCAACAACTTACCCTTAGCGCACCCCGTCTTTCCGGCTATGATGTGATACGAAAATCTGTCCATTCCTCTCAAATACTCCAACACCCCGGCGCGATAGCGCTTGTACCCACCGGGCGCCCAGTAAACCTCGAATCCGATCCTGCTCAGCACGTGCGCCAGACTCAGCGATCGATCGCCCCCTCGAAAGCAGTACACCAATATCTTCGTTCCCTTTTCGCAGCCGGCAAAGTTCTCCCTTATGATGCCTCCCAAATTCTCCGACACCAGCGCCGCTCCGAGCTTCTTCGCCTCGAACGGGTCAATCTGAACGTACATCGTCCCCACCTCGGCTCGCTGCTCATCGCTCAGAACGGGCGTGGATATCGATCCTGGAACGTGGTCGTCGGCGTACTCGCTTGGCGACCGCGCGTCACACACGAAGTCGTACGCCGATGCGTCGAACGCGTCGTCGTCCAGGACCACCTTTCGTATGCGAGGTCCCAAGTCGAGAAATTCCTCCGGGTACGCTCCGAGCGCGAGCGAGCGACGGGTAACGCGCGCGCGGGCGCGAGAGACTTTCTTCACAGGTTTTGGCTGTGGCGGCGGCGCCGACGACGGGCGCGTGGACGCGCGCGCGCGCGCGGTGGCGTCCATGATGACACCTCGGTCAGTGTGCGTTCACGTCGTCTCGCGAAGAGCGAGGGAATCACGCCGTTCGGCGACGTGTGCGGAGTTTTGGGCACATGCCAAAACGCCTTCGAGCTCGGGACGGTTAGCTGCATCTTCTATCAGTTCTTACATCATCGTCAGGCGCGTCAGGCGCGTCGACGTTTGAGTTCCGAATAGTCTCACGACGGGAGAATTATGCGTCGTTGTCGTCATGGTCGTCATCGCAGTCGTCGTCATCGTCGTCCTCGAGGTCGTACACTTGTAGGCGAGTCGGGGTGACTAGCACCGCGCAGAGGCCTCTATTTACGGATACCGCCAGAGGTGCGAACGGTTCGACGCATGGGAGCGCACGCTCGCGACTGGATATAGAGTTAATGTCCACGTTCGTGCCATCGCGCGGAATCCCATCCAGGGCGTCTTCTTCGAGAAGGACGAGTCGAGCCTTTACGCCGGCGGCGGAATCCTTGGGCTTGAGTAGGAGCACGATCGAGCCGCCCTTGTACGCGCAAACGTGTACGACCAACTCATTCGGAGTCGTCAACGTCGCAGATCGAATGCAACTTCCATCGAAAGCACGATAGAGGTGAACGCGATCCCGCAGGTCATCCACGTGAAAGCTATCTCGATGCGCTCCGACTGTTTGAGCGTTCGAGAAAATAGACAACATGGCGCCATCGGTCACGTCACCCGCGTGCATCCAGACGCACTTTTCGCTCACCAACGCGCACGGTGCACTTATGATGTCGTTCGCGTACTCGATGATGTAATCGAGCATCTCTCGGAGAGGCACCACCTCGGACATGCTCACATCTGACATGTAGCTGACGGCTTCTGTACGAGACTGCGAGGCTCGTAAGAATTCAAGTGAGCTCTTCAGAACGTGATCTGTTCGTGGAGCGAGCGCATGGTCCAGATAGTCCATCGACATGCCACGCTTATCTTCGAACGCCACGTCCAAAAACTTGCGAGCCAAATCTAATCGTGGTGCAGGGAGTTGCGCTCCGTGCCCGTCGCCGCCATCCGCGATGATTTGGGAACGAATGATGCACACGAAGAACGCGCGAAGCTGCATCGCTCGATCCGTAATCAGGCGTGTGACATCGACGACGACAAACGCGAGTCGTTCGCACATCTTCATCAAGTCGTCGACCTTCGACTCGCTGATCCCAATCCCTTCTGAACCAAACGCGAGTCGAGCCAAGCCGCGAATGGATCTTAATTGTAACATGATACCGTCGATCAACGGGGACAAGGTCGCGATGAGACCATCGTGCGCGTTCGTGAGCGCCGTATCACATTCTTTTGCCATACGCTTCACCAATCCAGACTTGAAATTTGTCATGAAGAAGTGCTCCAAGGCCTCGTCGAACGTCTCGCACATCAACACCTGTGCGAGCCGCTCTTTCAGTTCACCACGGGCGTCCATGGACGACGAGCCCATTTCGATCATGTCCAGTGACTGCGTGAACTCGTTGAATTTCGCGCAAAACGGCTTGCGATACCCCGACGAATACTTCGACGCGGCTCGATCAAGGATGGTTTTCGCCTCTTCTAACATCGTCGTCACGTGCGACGCGTGTGTTGCCATCAAATACACCTCCCGTGCATGCGTCGCGACGTACGAAGCATCTAATCGCGTGAACGACACCGATCCACTCGAACCATCGCGCATCACCGCGTCCACGAACCCGAGATCATCCCTCACCGCAAGTCCCACCGCGCTTCTGCTCCCGCTCGCTGCGCGCCACGTCCCTGTTCGAAACATCCCGAACACGTCCATCGCCAGCGTCCCGTCTTCGCGTGCTAAAACAATCGTGCTCAACTTCCCGGTGTTTTCGAAGTAATCGACCAGGCATCCAACTTCGCCGCTCTCCGCTTTGGATCCGCTCTGCACGCCACCGCCGTCCGACCTGCCTTCACGCGTCGCCAGTCCACCACGCACTCCACCCATCGATCCATCGAGCACCGCTCGCGAAGTCTCCGCCCACACCATCGCCGTGATTCCTTTTCCATCACGGTCACCCGAATCGCCCACATTCATCGTCTCGTCGATTCCTACCGCTCGCTCGCTTCGTCCTCTTCGTCTCAACTCCCGTCCGTCCTCCGTCGCGTGGATCGTCACGACGCCTCGTCCGTATCCGATCGCGAGCACCTTCCCATCGCCGCGAAACGCCGCGCAGAGTGGTTCGCCCAACTCGCGATCGAGCGCACACGTCCAGAGTTTCGCCCAATCCAAACGATGAGCGAAGAGCGTTCCGGTCGCGCGGTCAGCGATGACGACGACGTCCATCGCGGGCGATAGGGCTATGATGGATGGGTGAGCGCTCACTCTCGCGTCTCGCGCGAGGGCGAACGCGCGCGCGCGCATCGTGGGCGTGCGCAACGGTATGTGGCGCAACGCGCGCAGAGGTGCGAGCGACAGCCACGTTTGAATCGAGCGCGTCAGGTGTCGAGCAATCACGGACGAAGAAGAGCGGTGCGTCGGCGTCGCGCGTGTTCTGTTTATTTTACAGTACGATATCGATATCGAGATCGGGATCAGAGCGCGTTCATACTCGTCGCGGGTTTGTGTGAACGCCAGAGGAAATCAAAGCTTGGCTCGATGACGGGCCGAAGAATGCGAACCACCGGTCCGAGCATCAAGACGTTGCCCACGATGAGCGGAAGGAACAAACCGAATACCGGGAGGTAGAAGCTCAGTGGGGCGGCGGCCCAGACCTCGTTGATGAAGCGGTAAAAGCCGTGGATGAGGAGGAGGTGCACGAGGTAGCAGTACAGCGTGCGAGAGCCCATGACGGTGAAGCACATGGTGTCGCTCGGAACGAGCGCCAAGAACGCAAAGGACGCCACGCCGGTGAAGAAGTAAAGGAATACGCGCTCGCCGAACCCTTTGAACATGGACATCACGGACGTCGAGTCGTACGGCGACGTGGACCATATGGCGCGCTCTGCTGTGTCGAAGCACTTGTCGAAATAGTTGAGCGTCAAGTAAATTCCGGCGTAGGACGAAACCATAATGATCAGCCCAATGACGACGCGCTTACCGTATTCAGTTCTATGCAGTCGCTTTAAGTGATCGGGCCTGATCACGCACAGACCAAAGAAGAAGTACACCGCGTACACAAAGAGGCGCTGCCAATCGAATATCGCCGCGCCGTTCTTCCCAGACGGCGTCTCCGTAAAACCGACGAAGAGCCCCATGAAGAGCGACAGACCCAAAATCACCCGATTTTTCAGCGCGCCCAAGACTAAGACGCTCATCCGCCACAGCGTGAGCGCGAACAAATACCACATCACCCCGATCGGTCCCCACCACTGCACCGGCGTCACGTCATAATAATTTATCACCAAGTACAGCGTCTGCCACATCGTGTACGTGCCCAACAGCATCGCCGTGGAAGATCGCACGCGCACCAACAAATTCGCCGCGCTCGCCTCGTCCTCCCTCGCCGCGTTGAGCCAACTCCTAGACAGATACCCGCTCACGCACGTGAACACGGGCATGCCAATCACGTTGAGCAACAAGTAAAACGCCCGCGCGTGCACGTTGGAGAACCTATTCGTCGCGTCCATCTCGCACCACCCTCTATTCTCGTGCTTATCCAGCGCCTTTAAGAAGTCCTGCAAAGAGTGATTCCACACCACGACGAGCATCGCGAGGTACTTCACGTTGTCCA